TGTCTCAAAATGAAGCTTAAAAATTAAATCTTTGCATTATATACCTCTCAATGTGTTTCAAAGTTCTTTGAAGTTCTAAGAAAAGTCTAATTAAAAGTCGAAATTTTTTACCCCTTCACCTCTTCCATGGCGAAGATTTTTATCATTTTTAGAGAAATTGTTATCAAGATTTCAATGCATTTTTTCGGGTATTATTTCTTGTAATTTTTGTATATACATGTACCAATGTTTATATATTCTGAAAGCAGGTATAGTGTAGTTTCTAAAAATGATTATAGAAATATAATTTCAGTTGCCATCGCGAAATACACAGTAATCATGCTGGAATTTCCATTTATTCAAGAATGAGTTTCATTGTGTTTTTTAAGTTAAGTATACTTAAAAATATTTTATTGTTGTGTTGAAAATTATGAGCATGCTGTACATTTTTGTAAAATCCAATTTAAAGTACTTTAGAGAAATGGGGTTGGGTTGGGAGGTAATCGCCAGAATTTAGCATTTTTACATTTTACGTGTTACCACCGCATTAATTTCAATAATGGCAAAATCGCTCGAATAGTGCACAAAGTTTAACTCAAGGTAGCAAAATACTGGTACAACCAATAAAAAAAATTCTGTATAGTATTTTATCATAATTATTTTCTCTTTCTAACGGTGCAAGAATTATTCTGATATTTGCAGTATTAACGAATTCAAAGTTATGAATGTTTGTTCACACTATACTTGTTTTCAAGTCAGATGCGTAGAAATGCGTATATGCCATGGAAGGGGTTAAAAGCATTTTAAAATTACATATATCAAGATATTGATGTTCATTTTACTCTAACCATAGATACTTATGTTTATTAACAAGATATGGAATTAAAAGTGATTTATGGACCTTTGCAATGATAAGAGAATCTTTATACACTTCGCATTGTAAAATGATCGAAGTAAATACAAGAAAGTAAAGTACATTATATGTATAAAAATTGTGGAATTTCTTCAAAAGCCTGGATACCTATGATTTTTATTTTTAAAATGTGTTAATTGATCATATTTGAATTTGAAAATGCATAACAGGTGTTTTTATTCGCAATCCCTGAAAATTTTTTGAGAATTGCTAATTTTCTCTATATAATCATCGTCGGAAACCCACGGGTGATCTCGTCTTTACTTAAAGACGAGATCACCCGTGGGTTTCCGACGATGCTATATAATATGATTCACTTGAAAGATGAAGTTTCAAAAAATTATTATGAGTAAAAACACGTTACTTAGAAAATTCAGTGACATTTTTACGAGCATTTTCTATTAGTCAATGCTTGATTTTCAGAACCTTAGGATCGGAGTACCTTAATATTAATCAAACAACAAAACTGTATGATAAACGTGATGGCTTTTCAATCGTCAACTTAATTCCCTTACTTATGCAGCAATCACCTACTTACTGGGTTTATATCTCAAAGGCGTCAGAAGCAAATTGAAAGGGGGCTAATTGAAAGTTGGGGGGTGTCTAAACCAACAAAAAAAGGTAGGTTCCAATTCTAAATACCTATATTATGTCTGTATTAGCTAAAAAAAAAAGAGGGGGGCTAAGCCCCCCAATAGCCCCCACCCCTCGGTTCAGACTCCTATGTACCTCTCAGTTGATTCGAAACGCAAGAACATACTCTACGTATGAACAATTTCTAGTACAATGCAAGTTATTTACAAACATGTTGATGAAACAAAGATATCAACAGTTTCGTTTGAGATCATAATTTTGTAAGTTTTATGGTCAATACAAAGACCTTGTTAGGAAATTTAAACTGTCATTAAGTCAAATGCTGAATGACGTTTATCATACTATTTGTTGAACCATTATGAAGCAAATTTAATTTTCTACGGATTTTTTTTTCGATCAGGACACAAGGAGCACACAGCGGTGTGGTTTTTCGGAAGGATATGCTCACTACGCATATTGCGTATGTATGCATATTGCAGATAGAAGGGAGGGCATATTGCTTTGCTGCTGTCTGTCGTTCGGTCGGTCTGTCGGTCCACAATAAGTTTCTATTCATTTTCTTCGCAGATGCTGCACATATTGAAATGAAATTTAGATTACTATTAATCATAAGAATATCTATGTCAATTTTGGCTTTTGGTATGATCGGGTCACTTTAGTTGAACAGAGTCATGGCCCTTGCATTTAAATTGATTGATTGTATATCGTTTAACGTCTCTCTCTAGAATTTTTCACTCATATGGAGACGCCACCACTTTGCCGGTGGAGAGTTGCAAAGGAGATGGGTGAACTTAGCTTGCAGAAAGCCCAATAGCTTCAGATATATAAAAATCATATTCAAATTGTGAATCTAGTATTTAGAGTAAAGTTCCCATAATTGATATTTATGAAATCATGATAAACAAAAAGTTTTGAGGAAAAACTTTCGTTAAAATTTATTCTTTTATACAAAAAAAATGTGGTAGCCATTGGGTTCGATCCTTGGCAATAAAAACCCTGAGTTGCATTCTCTATTGTGACTAGCACGATAACCACTACGCTACACAAGTCCTGATGAAGTTTGGCATTTAAATCATGTTTGTGATATGACCATCGACTTAAGGGACTTCAGGCACGTAGTAACGGGGAAGCCAGGGGGGGCCTGCTCCCCCCCCCCTTTTTTCGCCAACATTACCTTTGCTATAGAATATGTCCTTTGAAGAGATGGTTGGCCCCCCACTTCTTACCACAGTATATTCATAGCAGGGAAATATAGAAAGAAATTGGAAGTTAAAGGAAGTTGGCCCTGCAAAAAGTTACCCACTAACCCCCCCCCCCCCCCCCCCCCCCCCCCCCCGAAATAGGATTTTGGAGTTTGGGAAATTTGAATTTTCCGGTTTTTTTTGTTTTTTTTTTTTTTGCTTGTCACTTTTTTTTTAGGTAAGTAAAAAAAATTTTCTCAGGTTGGCCACCCCCCACTTTCAAAATCGATGCTACGTGCCTGGACTTCCAAGTATTTCTTGAAAAGATACGAACATTATGTCATAAAATTATATTTTCAAGGTATAGTGGGTCATTACTCCATAATTTTGGAAACCAAAATATGTATGTTTTTATGCAATCTTTGGGGATTAACTTTCAAAAAAATGGAGAGAGGACCACTCATATCGAAAAATATAGTGTTATAGTGTGAAAAAATGACTCGTTTTGTCCTTTTTCGTGTGTGTATAATATTTCATAGGCAAATAACTTCAATCTTCGTGAGATTAGTGCAAGTTGTAGAGATTTTACATAAAGTATACTTTAATGTTAGATGAAATATTGAGGAAAATTTTGATAAAATTGAGATTTAATTTTTCACCTTCATGTTTGTCGCACTATGGGCTTATCTCTCGTCATGTTCACCCATCTCCTTTGTCCTTTACTCGGCACTTAGGGTCATTCAGCAGAGAGGGATCTTTTTCGTGCCTGCACATACTGCGACACGGGACCTCGGTTTATACGGTCTCATCCGAAGGACCGGTCTCCACGTCCCACGGTGGGATTCTTCGCAGAGGTGCACATATATATTGAAATAAAATTTAAATTAATAATCAGAATATCTAGGTCAATTTCAGTTTTTGGTATGTTTGGGTCATTTTAAACAGAGTTATGCCCCTTGCAACCTGGGACGTAAGGATTTAATTCCTTTTTCACGACTAGAAAGCAGACGCTCTACACACTGTGCCACGCGGGCGACTTAGAAATTCAATAATTTGCAGTTTTCTTTTTTCTTCACAAAGATTGCACAAACTGAAATGAAATTTAGTAAACAGATTTATAATAAGAATATTTAGGTCAAGTTTGGTTTGGGATCCGATCGGGCCATTTTGAAGAGAGTTATGCCCCTTGGACTTAGATTGATTGATTGTATATTGTTTAACAAAGTAGACGCTCTGCAAACCACTGCGCCACGCGGTTGAAATAGAAAAATTCCAATAATTTACAGTTTCCCTTTATTTTCACAATGGGGGTCAAAATTTAACATAGGAAAAATCTTTAAAAATCTTCTCAAGAACAGCAGAGCCATTAATGGTCATAGTTATATGGAAGCATCCTTTGGTAGTGTAGATTCAAATGTTCAAATCATGACCCTTGGGGGAAGGGTGGGGCCGCAATGGAATATCAAAGTTTAACACAGGATCTTTAAGTGATCTTCTTCTCAAGTACCAGCAAAGCCATTTTTGGTCATAGTTAAATATGAAAGCATGCATCCTCTGGTAGTGTAAATTCAAGTTTATTCAAATCATGAACAAACCTTTATTAAGGGTGTCCTTTTTCTAGCTCGGTATAAAATGATCAGAATCCTTTTCGGTGATTAAAAACTAACAATTACCTGGTATTATTGCAAATTTGCAGATTAATTGACATTCAAAGGGAATTTATATCTGCAGCAGTCCAAATATTTGCGTGAAATTATAAGATTCTGTAAGAATATAATTATTAAAAAATCATGTTAATCTTATTTTGTGTTGATTTGTTGTCCATTCAAGCAATATATTGTAAAATATTCTGTGTTAATAAATCCTTTTTTGCATTTTGAAACCATTTTTTTTTGGGTTATATTCTGTGGAATCATAATTTGAATTTGTGGGGGCTAATGTTCATTGGTGAGCAAAATTTTCATTGGTTTGTGGAGAGGCAGGAGATGTTGTATAATTTTGTGGGTATGATTAACTTCTATTCAGAAATAAGATATTGATATCGACTGAATCAGTGCAGTGAAGAAATAACTGTTTATGGGGATGTAAATTCATTGATAAGAGTGACCCAGAAAATCCATGAACATTAATTGGTTCCCCAGATACATTGATGATTCCACTGAATATACATGTATAAGTATGAAGGGTGTGTATATTATACAAGGATGAAGTCATCTTGTAAATTTTAAATTGACTAATTTCAATCTTTAGTTAGTACATTAAAAATTTACAACATGACATTTAATTTCAGCATTCTGTTTTTTTTTTTTAATAACTTAAGGTTGATGCTGGAAAAAGTTTAAGTATTTATTTTTAAAAAAATTGAACTAATTCAAACAGCAATGAAAATTTTAAAAATAAAAATATACAATAAAAATACTTCTTTTTTTATGTTTTAAAAAATATATTCATGAAATTGATGTATTAGATTGTATTTGTGCTGTATTAGGTTGATTTTGGCTTTGGACGAAAATCACTGGTATTCTTGCCTAGAAGAACAAGAAAAATGTGTCAATGTCTTTAATATATATTTTGTATCTTTTGCAAACATACATAAGATAAAAGTTTTATTCATTCCTTTTCACAAAAAATGCAAAGTCTGGTGTACTATATTGACATAAGTCTTAAGTAGAATTTTAACATTTGCATAAATTATTGATTTCTTGTTTTGTTTTTTTTGTTAAAAAAAAAAATAATAATAATAGTCAAACACGTTGCCAACTCTGCATAAATTGTGAAAATCTCCATACAACATATACATGAGCATATTAATAAAATATTACAAATTTAATTTTAAACACAACTTGCAGGCACATAAATTTAAAAGATGTATTTTTAATTATTCTCATCTATAAGGTTAGATTAAATAGTCGTCAAGATGTGATCTAAATGATGAGCTTAAAATCTTTAAAGATTTATACTGTAGGTTTATATAGTAATCAATTTCACTTGTAAGAAGGCACAACATAACAAATATTCTTCTCAAGCAAAGGAAAGGGTAAATTATCAGACGCGGATCCAGAAATTTTTTCCAGGGGGGGTCCACCCCAGCCAAAAAAAAATCCAACCCCAGAAATTCCTTGACAAGCAAAAAAAAAGAAAAAACAAAACCTTAACTCGCCCAGACGTCAAAAACCTATTTCGTTGGGGGGGGGGGGGGGGGGGGGTTAGTGGTGACTTCTGTTGCCTCAAATCTTTCACTTTTCGGGGGGGGGGGGGGAGGGGTTAGTGGTGACTTCTGTTGCCTCAAATCTTTCACTTTTCATACCCTTTTTCACACATATTCGCGTTTACCAGGGGGGTCAACGTTTTCCAGGGGGGGGGTCCATGGTAACTTTTTTTCTTTTAGTATATACATTTTTTAACCTGCCAAATTCTAGGGGGGCTCCTGACCCCCCGACCCCCCCCCTCTAGATCCGCGCATGAATTATATATAGGGATCATTAGAATGATGTTATTTTTGAGGGACAAAACTGTTAACCATCCTATTGTTAAGGATGTGATCAAACCCCTGATTCCTACAGATTTGTACTGAAACATGTACAGACAGACAGGCGGACACTACGCTGTGATCCCAGTATACCCCCTACAATTATGGTGTAGGTGTAGGGTGAAGTACTTAATTAACGTACATGTGCCAGTCAGGACCCGTGTAACAATAAATGACATCATCAACACCATCACGATGGATCCAACCAGTAAAGTGTATGGCAGTTCTTCGAGCGCCTCCATGTCAACCGGTCTTTAATTCCTGTATTGTCAAGTTGCGCAATACCAAGTGTACATGATCTTTAATAAATTGTTTTTCCGTACCAGTTAGCCGGGGAAATACTATAGCTGAAAGCAAAGTTCGAAATGCTTATCATAATAAGATAGGCCTTTAATTTTATAATCAGACTGCTTCTCGAAAATAAACACGATAAACAATAAAACATCCACCAACACATAGTGATTGTATGAAGTGAAAGTAGACAATTATTTCCCACTTGGCAGTTATTTACTGGGCAAATGATTACTCAATGTGCTTGATCGATATCAAATGATAGGCCATAAAAAATCAATGTTATTGCCATTACAAATTGTTAGTCTTTATCTGTTTAAATTACAAAACATGATTTGACAATGAACAACAAGTCTACTCTACTGTCTACCTTGACAGGTGCTTGAATCCGGAAATTTTTAGGTTTCTCGTTTTCTACTTCACGATCACAAACATTAGAGCGCTTGGCAATGACTGAACTCATTATGACAAACGCTTTAAAGATATTGAATAAATCGGCATCTGTGACCAATGAAATTGTTTGTATACAAATATGGCGTCCACAGAGTGCTCTTTTTCAAATGTGGACATTCATAGGCTCTGGTAATGTTGTTTAATGTACTCAAGAAACTGTTTAAATGTAGAAATTCTTTTCTAAAAGCCAAGAAATGGATATTTTTAATTGTTTCTACTTTATATTTTCTTGCTAAGGTATACAATTTTTTGTCTCCAAAATCCACTGAGGTGTGAATGTTTATCGATGCGGATTTGCACCTACAACCAGTGTAGTTAAACCCCTAAGTTATGTATTTAGATTGTAATACAGTCATATTTGTGCATTAATAACAAGAAGCTGGTAATATTTATTTTTGATTATCTTAAAAGGTTTTCTATTTGCATTTCAATTTCCATACAAGTTTGGACATGTCAGTTAGCAGTAATTACAAATCGGTTGTTTTTTAATTTTTATCAGTGAAATATGCTTATGTTGATTTTTCTATGTGTAACTCACAGCGTATTTTATGTGTTTTATGGAGTATACTATAGTAGCAATGCTTCTCTTTGAGAAGTTTGTACACCTTATTCATCTTATAACGACATATAGCTCAAAAGTCAACAACTCATGTTATTAAAGGCCCTACAGTATGTTTGCTATACACACAAAGAGGTTTAACTCTATCGCTCAGTCACATTGTATAAGGAAAATATCACTGTCTTGTGCGCTATCTTAAATCTGTAAATCAATGAAGCTGTCAATAACTTGTATCCAAGCTTTTATTTGTTCAGGCATAAGTTGCAAGAATTCTAAACCATTATGGGATCACTGTGGTGAATGGAGATTTAAATGTACCTATAATGTCAGTGTCTAACATAATTAGGAATTTTATCATTGCCTTGTCTTTAAATGTGTGAAGCATGCTGAAAAGCACTGATAAAATCTAATATCATTGATTCACAGGTCAGTTTTAATATATTTAAATGGGACTGATTTGAATCTCGCATCTCAACAATGAAGAACTGTATACAGGTTCAGACAACAAATTAACAAAGTGGAGTGTTTAGATTGAAATGTCACGAGCTGTTATTCCACCAATGTCAATATCAATGGAGGGGACTTCATCACAACAGACTCTTGATGTGTTGGAGAAACGTTTGGAGGTAGCAGAGCAAGATACACAGGACTTAATTGAAAAATTAGGCACCATGGGATTTGGCAAAAATATTCGTCCTGCAGAGAGGGATGTGATAGATCAAAGAGAGGTTATTTCCCCTTACCAAGCTCAAATTGTGGATGTAGATATACTGAAGGATAATTATGAAACCCTTGTTTCAAGAGTGTGTAAAACAGAAAGTGTAATTCAGACACTGAAACTGAATATGATAAATTTACATGGTGACAGAGATTTAAAAATGAAAAATTCAGATGACCAAGAACAAAAATATGATATGCTGAAAGAGACATATGAACAAGAACTTGGAAAATTAAGACGAAAACTTGACCAGGTGACTGATGACTTAAAAACAGAGCATGAGGCCAGACTAAAGTCAAAAGAGGAAATAAGGTTACTTAAAACAGAGCTGGAAAATGCAACAGTTTCAAAAGTAAGAAATTCATGCTTTAAAAGTGGATATTTTTTCATGATTCAGATTAAAAACTACTACATATGGGGTTTATTTCTATTGATACCAAAATATTATTGAAATGCTTGAACAAAAGCATTGGTACATGTACAGGGAATATTAAGCAAAATTTTTCTCATCATGTGTAAGCTTTAGTGATCCCCATCATCATATGTGATCATGCAAACATTTCCACCTTTACAATGTTTACTATATTGTTACCTTAAAAATTGCAAAATCCTTTATTGGCATTGCAGATGAAACAAATGATATACAATTGTAATTATATACCTGGTGCTTTATTGACATTATTTTGCAAAGAATTATTTGACACTAAATTTTTTTCCTGATGTATAAATTTTCATGCAGTTTAATAGTTAATATTAATTGGAAGATTTCTAGTATTTTGCTAAAATTGCTATAATATCTGTACCTGTCTTCCTTATATTTTTCTTGTCACTTGCTAAATCTAAACTAAGATTCTCATCAAGACATCCAAACTATCATTGATCATATGATAGTTTTAGTGTCTTTTGACCTCTGAGTATTTATATCCCTTCTCACAGGAAACCATTAGTGCAGCAACTGATGAGTTGTCATCCCAGAAGTCTAAGTTTCAGAAGCGTATTAATGACATTCGTGAAGAACTTGAACGTGAAAAAAGTCTGCGACACAGTTTAGAAGAATCTCATAACACATTACTGGCCAGGATAAGAGAAATGGAATCGATAGTTGAATCAGAAAGAAAAGAGGTTTGTGCATTTCCTTAAACAGTAGAACAAACTTGTGTAGTATGAACACGGATATGGCAAATTCACGGATATGGCGAAGTTATCTTGGATCCCCAGCTTTAAAAATTAAATACGGCTATAGCAAAGTAATTCCATAGGTCCCAGTGACTTCGTTATAACTGAGTTTTACTGTATTAATGCAGTATAGTACAGTGTATGGGCATTTCATAGGAGAAATCTTTATAGTTTAGATTAGTTTGGTGACATAATATTTTTTATGTATTTCAATTTCTTTATAGAATTTTTTAAATATCAAGTTTCAAATGAATTTCTTCTTACTGTGCTTTATACATAGACATGACAGGTGTAAATTCTTGTAAATTCCTACCACAAATACTGAATGATAAGACATAAATAAATGTCAAGGATCACACATTTTTTTTTCTGTAACTGGACAGCTCAGGTTCAGTTGATAAGACATGCATTTGGATTACAGGTAAATAAAAAACAATAATCTGTGACAAAGTAGGTCAATAAAGGAATTCCCTATTTGTTGACAGTGTCCATTCATTTTTTACTGGTAGAGGAACAAAATTAAGTCCTCTGCCATCACCAAGTTATAATAGCAAGACTATGCTATCTTTAACATCTGTGACACAATGAAAAAAAAGATAAGAAAAACTTTCGTTGTGTTAATAAATATGTATATATATTTGTGTACATGGAAGTTTCAACTGATGAGTATCCAGGATGTGTCACTTCAAAGAAATGGGTTTATCTGTAAATTAATATACGGGTGTGTTCCTGAGATTTCAGAAAATGTCCTTGAAGGAGGTACACTTAAATGAATTGAATTTTTGTATTTGCAAGTATTTTATGTAAAGAAATGTTCAAACTCAAAAAGTGCTTAAAAAGGAAATGTCATTCTTGCATACCAGGTAATTGATATATGATGAGGGCAGTATTCATATCTATCATTATTTCTGTATGTGAAATTGGGATATTTTAAGATATAAGGCCTAACTATTTTTGTTTGTTTTAGGTACAGACTTTATCAAATGACTGTTCCCATTTGAGGAATGATGCCGTTAAAGTTAGAGAGGAGCTAAGGCAGGAAAAGTCACAGAGGGAATTATACGAATCACAATTTAAACAGACAAGTCATGAAAATGGTACAGAAAAATTTAGACTGCAGATTTATCAGCCTGCATATTTATCTGATTTACCATTAATTTATTTTCATGCAAAATGCATACTTGAACTTCATTTTCAAAAAATTCTGAATTCTATGCTAAATTTATTTCATGGCATACCATAAAACACTTTTATATATGAAGATTTTTCGTTTATATTTTTAAAGTACTAATATTTATGTTTCTCTAAAGATCATTTAACTCAAAGATAATGTCATAAAATTTTATGCAATTTGTTTTTGATAGAAATACTCAGGAAGGACTACGAATCGGCTGAATCTGACAGGAAGTTGTTAATTACGGAGATGCAGAGGCTGCGAACTCAGTACGAGGATCTGATTAAACAGCTGGAACAAACGCAGGTCATAGTGGACCAACAGAAGGTAGGGCCCTCTAACACATTCCTGATGTATCAATATCAGTCTAGTCTGATCTCCGAGTATTAAATTTAATAGGAAATAAATACCAGTATTCAACAATTATAGACTGTTCACTGACATTGATTCACAAGTCTCAAATTTATATGGAAAATTAAGAAAAAAATATATCTCTTTTATGGTAGGATTCTTCTCTGGTTTCTGACTAGATGGAATATTCAAAGTACATTTATTGATATGTCATATATTTAGATGTAAGAGATTTAAAAGACCATATTTTTCTTTCCTCGTCACAATTATACAAATTTGAATAGAAATGGTAAACTGCGTTGAAAACTAGCAGGGACTATATTTTTGGTGGAATGGTGGTGTATGAAAATATCTTCTTTTCTGCCTCTCAAAATTATCTTAGAACATTGAATTTAGTTATAATTTTTAGGCAATCAAAGACTAGACAAAATTTTCAAATGTAAGTTAAATTAATAATAAGGGACTAAAGTTTCAAATATATCAAATAGATAAAATTTTTCACACATACTAGAACTATATTGGCTTTAAATGCTTCAAATCAAAGTACAGATTTGAGCCAAAAATCCAAAAAAAGTGTTATTTCTCTCTTAGTAAACGATCAAAACTTTTAGTTTTTGTATCATTTTGTACCTTTATGTGACAACTTTACTATATGCAAAAAGTGGAAAAAGTTAAATATAGGAAGCATATAAAAATAACTAATAAATCCTGAAAATTTAAGGAAAGTAGAGGAAATTCGGATTAGCAAATATCCATTTTATTTAAATTATCCATGTCAATTTGGTAATATCATCTTATAGGCCCTATATGGTAATATCTTTTTAGGCAAAAAAAAAAAAACATTCATTCTTTTGAATTACATGTAGGGATCGATTGATTGGAAACAGCATACTTGCCAACTCACCCGATTTCGTCGGTTCACACCCGATTTTTCAACCCGTAACCCGATTATTTTTTATGACCCGGCGGGTCATGCTTATCACCCGATTTTTGGCGAACAACCCGAAAATCTCCCGATTTCCGGATTTGGTTCGTAAATTAGGTTGCACTTTTAACTTCCAGTTACAACCCAAGCTTAGATCTACGTAAACAATGCCGATGGATTAATTATCTGTGCAGGTGTAAACAATTAACTGGGTGTTGTTTTGACAAATCAATGTTTGAAGTCAATTAAAATGGCTTCCGATAGAACTAGATCGTTATCAGGGCCAGCAGGAACAAATTGAACCAAACACATGTCTCTGATTGAACCACAGGGGCATCTTATCCACTCTGTTCTCTACTTCACATATAAAAATACACAAGGGAAGAATCGAAAGTAGCACACGAATTTAAAAATAAGTCCAAAAAAAACTTACTTGAGAAAAGTTACACAAATCCTGAAATGAACTAGCGCAAATGATGTCCTAGTACTTATCCAGGCTAAAATATTCCAAATATATCCATCGAAAATAGATTTTATCCAACGAAAATCCCAGCTTTCTGCACAGTGTGAAACTCTTCGCCCAAGAAAAGATAACTCACTCGGATAACAATAGGGTAGTACCAGAGGCCTTCAGATTGCACTCGGAAGGCCTCGGGTACTACCCTATAGTCATCCGAGTGAGTTATCTTTTCTTGGGCGAGTGTGCTACTTTCGATTCTTCCCTTGTGTATTTTTATATGTGAAGTAGAGAACAGAGTGGATAAGATGCCCCTGTGATTGAACCAAGAAAAAGAGAAACGATATTTATGTGCATATCAAGGAATCTTTGGAAAAAAAACTTTCATTCTAGATAAAATAAAGTGATCAAAGACAGTGTAGGCCTAACTTCAAATTTAAATCATGTTGCAGTTGTTAATTAATTAAGAGAGAGGAAAAATAACTTCAAAACTGAAATTGGTATACTTTCAAATTTAGCAGAAACTGAAAAGGCTTTTAAAAAAAAAAAATGCACATTTACTTCAGTTCAATACTGAAATATAAAACCTTCAATTTTCATTTTTAACATGTAAGTTAAAGCAAATTATGTATGAATTTTTTGTCATAGTAAATTAAATCCTTTTTCAATAAAAGAATTCTCAATACACAAATACTTTGTACATATGTATAAAATTTAATCATGGTAAAAATGTCGTGAATGTCATTACGCGTTATGACCAGATTTTTTACTTTGCAAATCTGGTCATGACCAGATTTTTACATGCTGGAGGTTGGCAAGTATGAAACAGTAATTTTTTATTCTTAATGTCCAGGAAAAAGGTAATGACCATGACCTGACCTTGCCTCTAATATTAAATGGTCAAATGTAATCTCACTGATACCATCACTTAGTGATATAGTGATATTGTCCTCTTGATTCTGTGAAAATTTCATTAATTTTTAAATACAAGAAATGTGAGAAGAATCCTACCTTAATATGATGTCCTTATTTTATGAAATTTTACAATGTATGATACATGATGAATCACCCTCATGATGGGTGTTACTTAAATTCTTACTCTGTAGGCTACAGTTGATAATGTTAATATGTTACACAGGAAATGCTTCTGATAGACAAAATCACATTAGCCAATCAGTTTACTCGTTTAAAGGTAAGCCTGTGAAGGGCATTATGGGATACTATTATGACTAAGAGTTATGGGATAAGGAAAACATCTAACATACAGTATATTACAGTTTGAGTGTTCTAAAACAGTTATATGTATAATAAAATATAACACGGCCATTATTGTGAAGTAAGGCCAAATGAAAATATACTCTTGTTTCCTGTCCCCTGACCAAAAAAATTAGGGTAGGTAGGTAGGGAAAAAATTTTATTTTCAAAACTCAATGAATGCAGAACATATATCATGTAATAACACGAAAATAATATGTTAACAGTTTACAGAGCAATTTTGTTAATAAAGATTTAAAAAGTAAAGGTATCCTGTACACTTGTGATGTATTAGTTCTGTAAATATTGTTGGTCAACTTTAGTATTTTCGGAAAATAGCTACCCAAAAAATTAAAATGTAATAAAACTTTTAGGGTCGGAGGGTAAAATGTAGGGTAGGTAGGGTGACAGGAAACAAGAGTATTTTTTATTTTGGCCTAACATGAATTACATGTATGTTGTCAAACTGTTAACCACAAAGATAACAGAAAAATAGAACATAACTAAGGCTTACTACTAGTATGTTAATACATAGGTATATATTTGTATAGTGCTAACAGTAGATTTTGTTTGTATCAGTCCAATAACACCAAGTTAGAACAGGAGAATGAACATCTAAACAAAATCCTTAGTTCTGCATCAGAAGAGAAGGAGAGGATGAAATCCATGCATGACAGAGAGCTGGAGGTAAGGCTGATATCTTCTGATATCTATATCATTATAAAGCTAATAGCTAAAATAGAGCCGATATCTGCTGATATCTATATCATTATAAGGCTAATATAAGTCTACAATTAGGCTGATATTTGTATCATTATAAGGCTAATGGCTACAATAAGGCTGATATCTGCTGAAATCTATATCATTATAAGGCTAATATCTAGAGTAAAGTGGATATCTTCTGATATCTGTATCATTATAAGGGTATAATGAGGCTGATATCTTGTGATTTCTAAATCATTATAAGACTATAATCTACAGTAAAGCTGAAATCTGATGATATCTATATCATTATAAAGCTAATAGGTACAACAGAGCTGTATATCTATATCATTATAAGGCTAATATAAGTCTACAATTAGGCTGATTTCTGTATCATTATAAGGCTAATAGCTATAATAAGACTGATATCTTCTGATGTCTAAATCATTATAAGGCTAAAATCTATAGTAAAGCTGAAATCTTTTGATATCTGTATAATTATTATGCTAATATATCTACAGTGTATATCATTTTGTGGCTGATATCTATAATAAAGGGTATATATCATATAAGATGAATATCATCATTAGGCTGATGTCTTTCAGTATTATCAAAAGCCGAATCAATATATGAACATGTAAATTATATTATTGCACAGTTTTTAAGGTGCCAAGTTAGCACCTTCTTTCATCATGTGATATGACAAACACTTGTATTGCTGAAAATAACAAATATACCTGTATTATGACTATATAACAGCAGCGCTAGTACAGCGGGGGAGATGGATTCTTTAACATAGTGCTATTTGATTTTATGTCAGTTGATGTGTGCCTTTGACATAGTTCAGGTTATTGAGTGTTGGTTAAGGCTTGGTATAGGGTGGAGGATTCTACAGCACTGTCTAGAATCTGTAGATATTAATGATTTGTTACATACTGATATTCTATTTCTATTTTCGTTCATAAATAAACTGTTACTCTATATCCTGTCATCACTTGAATCTTTTTCTCTTCACATCAGTGATGTTAACTTGAAATACACTGAATCTTTGTAATATTTTGTATACATATACATGTATATCATGGATAACTTAACATTTTCACTACTTGTAAATATTTCATTCAATAATCATTGTAAGTAATTCTAATTATTAAATACACATATATTACAGGGAAAGGTTTTCTAATGATGTTAGAACTTGTAGCCAATCCCTTCATATTAATTATACAATAAAATATATTTTTAAAAAACACTGAGTCTGAGTGTCTGATTGATCTCAATCAATGTGTAATCTCTGTATTCTAAATACTGCCACAATGCTTCCTATTATATCTTGTTAAAGCAATGTAAAACTATTATATTTTTATTTAAAAGAATTATGAGAATGGAATATATGTACTGGACTTTTCCCCTTCTTAATACATTTAATCATATTTGTGTAAAATAGGCTGAAAAAAAGAGAGTGAATGAAAAACAAAAATTTGAGGAAGACGCTTTGCAGAGTAAACTACGTGTCCAGGAGCTGTCTTCACAAAATGAAACCCTCAAGAAGAAATTGTAAGTTTGATAGTTAAAATATTTAAAATATCTGTTGAATATGGATAATGATTACATCCATTTTCTAGTTTAACAAGGCTGATTCTAATTATTTCTGCCCTAAGGATTTTGATAATTTTTTCATAATTAATTTTTACTCTTATATTTATTGTTTTAAGATTAAAAAATCGATTGTTCACCACCCCGATTTTCTAGGGGGGCCATCTCAAAAGTTGTCAGATTTGACTATTGGACCCTATGGGAATTTGTTAAAAAGCGTCAAATTATCACATTTTTCCATATTTTTTGTATTCCTGCCCTAGGGATTTCTTTTTCATTCAAAGTATATGAAAGTTATTGTAAAAAGTCACCAAATTGTGAAATTTCAAAAAACTTCACCATCTACGTTGGTCTAGGAATTAATTATAAAGTTTATTTTTTTCAAAGCCCAATACCTCTAAAATTGCCATATTACGGTATAAATAAATATCAGTGCAGATGAATTATCGGCGCATATTATTTTTTGGTAAAAATAGCAATGTTTAGATTGCAAGTAAGTTTCTTTGGATGATCTGTCATCAGTTTTTAGGTTAAATTCCATGGACGTCTTGAACATACAAGCGAGTCATGCGTCGTTCTTCAGCGTCATGCATTGCTTACAAAATCCGAAAATGGTGACGTCGGTAGGGCCATTTCAGCGTGTTTTCCTAATTATTGTCTAAAAATCACATTTTCAGACCAGTAGGAGTTACAAATAATGTTAATTTTGTATTTAAATAAAAATTATTTGGAAAAGGTGTAATTTCACACAAATTTCTGTATGAAATTAAAAAGCTGCGCAAAGTCGTGCGCACTCGAATTAGACTCGGCCTCGTTAAGTATGAGCTTTGATATGTTCTACTGTTTTGTATGGCAATATTCTTCTTATACATACAACATACTTATAAATTATGTATTTATACACATATTAATAGACAGGTTATGGATAAGATTGCCTTCGTTTTCTCAGAGCTCATTTGGAGAAAGAGTTGCAGAGTTTGAACAAGAAGTATGTGGCGAAGGATGAAGAATACAGCCAGGCATCAGAAGGGCTGGAGAAGGAACTGAGTACACTTAAACACAAATACACAATTCTCAACAAAGAAAAACTCAAACTGACCAAAGATAAGGAAAACCTGCTGGAAGAGGTAGGTGTAGATAGAGCCATCTTCTGTGTTCCTGATATATTTTGTATTTTATGAGGAGAGAAGATTTGATCAATTTAACAAAAATTGCATGTATAAATATCTGGTGAACTGTTATATGAAAAAAATACTTGTTTGTATGTATTGATTACTTGTGCACAAAAGTATAACAAATCTGAGCTTCATGAGGCCTATTAATTTAACGTTAATGTCGTTTAGGTAAGTCAGACTGTGGACTCCATGCAAGAGGAGCGTAACAAGCTGACCAATGAGATCCACCAGCTGAAGTCGGAGCTGGAGACCCAGACCAAGCGGCGGAACGCCCTGGAACAGGAGAACGCCACACTGCTAGAGAGGGTCTCACAGTTCGACCAACAGAGGGTATCGCTTATTGTCTTATTGTGTTAGGAGAAAATACAGTAACTGTGCTCCCCTTCGAAGAAGGCAGAGCATATTGCTTTGCTGCTGTCGGTCATTCTGTCGGTCCACCAAGTTTCAGTTCATTTTCTTCACAGCCGTTGCACATAGTGCCACATACTGAAATGAAATTTGGTATACAGATTTATCATAAGAATATCTAGGTTAAGTTTTCTTTTGGGTACAATTGAGCCATTTTTGACAGAGTTATGCCCCTTGGACTCAGAAAAATTCCAATAATTTACTGTTTCATTCATTTTATTTGCGGTGGCCGCACATACTGAGATGGAATTTTTTATACAGATTTATCATGAGAATATCAAGGTCAAGTTTTGTTTGTACAATGAAACCATTTTTGACAGAGTTATGCCCCTTGGACCTAGAAAAATTCCAATTATTTGGGGGAGGGGGGCAAAAGTGTTTTACAAACATTTCTTGTTTTATATGTGATTGATATGTCATGCTGTAAGAAATATTTATTCTTAAACTTAAGATGTTTTAAATAAAGAATAAAGCTTTCATTGAAGACTTGAAATTTGAGTAAATTGTTATCTGTTTGATTTCCAGGACTCTCAAAATCGAGTGGAGAATGTGATGAAGGAGATGATGGAGCAGAAAAATAAACTGGCATACGAGAACGGGCGTCTCCAGACAGAGGTTCAGGAATTACGGGGTCAAGTGGACATCCTCAAAACCTCCAGCACGGACTCAGAGCATCTCAGAGCGAAAAACAGCAGTCTACAGTCTCGATATGATTATGTATGTATTCATTACGGTCATAAGTTTGAGAACATTTAAGACGTAGCAGTTGTGTGATAATCTTTAATCTATAAAACACTTATTTTCCATGATATGTGATTTATGAGCATTTAAACAAAACAAAAAAATTAGAGCAGTGTCCTGTTTGTAAAGAAATTTTGTCACCTTCTTATTCTGAATAAAATGTTTTAAAGCTGGAAAATCATTAACTGAAGGGATATAATTTTTACATTATTTCAGGCTCAGAAGGAAATAAGTGATTTGAAGATTAATGTTCAGAGATTAGAGAATCAGTTACGTACCTCACAAGGCTCCGTGGAAACCAGGGAGAGGGATTACACGTTTGCTGTAACAACCCGTGACGAGGCACTAAGGGAGAAAACTCAGCTGATAGAAAAACTTAAAGAGGCAGAAGAAAGGGAAAAGAAAAAGGTAGATAATCAGAAAGTTATGAATTACGATGAAACATAACATTTAAAGATTTGAAACTTACAGGTATTTTGCACAAATATATGAGAATAATTTTAAAAGATGTAAAAAATTAGAGATGGCCATGAAATTTTATGGAACATACATGTACAAGTACTTTGGGGATTACAGTATGGTATAATAAAGGATTTTAAAAAGAATGTCTTCTTTATTTGAAAAAAAAAATCATTACAATGTTCAATTCTTCAATGTAGATGTAGATGCTTTCTCTGTTATGTAGAAGATTTTCAGTACTTAGTATATGAATTTGTTACTACAGACTACAGTGACAGAATCGGAGGTTTGATGTGAAATGTTGATGTTATCAATCCATGTTGTTTTTGTGTAGAGATCAGCTGACGAAGAGCTGATTCCACTAGTTCTTACTGAATGGCTTTCCTAACCTCATAACATCATAAACAGCATTTAACATACATGTATTTAGAAGTGTCTTTGATCCTTATCTCATATTAAACACATCATATATACTGTATAATAGTGGTAAGGAAATTAATGCGGGTGGAGGGGATAGTGTTGTTAAAGTTTCTGATTTTATCAAGGAAGCTCAGAGAATTATGAAAAGTATCGTTAAATTAAAATTCTATGGCATTCATTATTCTGCATCATTCTTTTTTACATTTCATGGAAGAAAGTCATCACCATCAGTGATAAATGATAAATATGGAGTTGTAGACTTGCCTTTATGTTTACAGGTGGGCAGTCTTCAGAAGAACTTGGACGATGCTAAGGCAGTCAATAAGGAGGTAGCGTCCACTTTGGAGGCAGTCATGTCCTCCCACTCCCAGCTACAGTCCGTGGTGGAGGGGCTCCAGAAGGACCTCGGGAAAAAGGACTCCCAGATAGCAATGCTCAAGTCAGAAAAGTAAGTAGGAATCTAACATAGCAATGCTCAAGTCAGAAAAGTAGGTCAAAGGACTCCCAAATAGCAATGCTCAAGTCAGAAAAGTAAGTAGGAATCTAACATAGCAATGCTCAAGTCAGAAAAGTAGGTCAAAGGACTCCCAAATAGCAATGCTCAAGTCAGAAAAGTAAGTAGGAATCTAACATAGCAATGCTCAAGTCAGAAAAGTAGGTCAAAGGACTCCCAAATAGCAATGCTCAAGTCAGAAAAGTAGGTCAAAAGACTCTCATAGTAATGCTCAAATCAGAAATGTAGGTTAAAGGTCTCTCAAATAGCAATGTTCAAGTCAGAAAAGTAGGTCAAAGGACTCCAAAATTGCAATGCTCAAGTCAGAAAAGTAGGTCAAAGGACACTAACATAGCAATGCTCAAGTCAGAAAAGTAGGTCAAAGGACTCCAATGCTCAAGTCAGAAAAGTAAGTCAAAGGACCCCCAAAAAGCAATGTTCAAGCCAGAAAACTAGTTCAAATGACTCCAAAATAGCTTGCTCAAGTAAGGAAAACAAGTCAAAGGACTGCCAATTGAGCAAATAACTGATGCTTAAATCAGAACAGTAGGTCTTTTTTTTTTAAACGAGAGTTGAAAGCTGGTTTAAGATCCATGCTTACTCAAAAAAAGAAAAATGTATGTCCTTAGGGTAGAAATTAACAGATTTAATTAGATATATTTTAGATTTTAATAAAAGCTAATAATCCTTTTTGATTTATCTTTACATGAAATGTGTTTAAATTCCAGTTATGAAATGTGAGTAAATGTTAAAGAACACAGAATTTTTGTGTGCAGTTTTACACATCATCAATATTCATTCATCTGTTTTACATAGTTTTTAAACTGACCAATATTCAATGCATCTTGCATATGTCATAACATCATAAATCACTGTAAAAGAATTTTTACATTATGATAATTGTGTGTATTATAATTACCATATTATAAAGTTGATTTGAACTGCTGTGACATGATGTTCATATTTATTTCATATTTATTGTAACATTACAAAAGAGTTTTGTTTTTTTTTTAATTGTTTTGTCCATGTCCATCACATTCACTCCTCATACAATTGAACAGCAAATACATTTGATCAGAAGTATTCATATATTCACAGATTAAGAATACTATATTTATCATACTTTTTCAATATTTCTGTGACAGGAAACTAAATCATTTTAATCCCATTAAAAAATGCAAAAAAAAAAAAAAAATCTATCACAGATCTATAGAACCTAAAGCAGCAAAGAGATGCCAGATTTTACAAGCAACAGAAACAAATTGGTACAAATAATTGTTTGTATTTTAAACAGAAACAAAGAGCAGGAGGAGTGGAAGCAGGAAATGAGGAAGTTTGAGGACAGAATGGAGGCCCTCCGAGGGGACCTGAAAAAAGAAAAAGATAAATCACAGAAGAAGAATCTCAGGGACATAGCCGAGGTGAGGCTCCAAAGGGGAATTTCTTAAAAGTATTTTTAATATCTTATCAAGCAGGGAGACTACTCAGTAAAACCATCTAATAGATAATTTTTATACAAGGGATACTAAATTTAAGAAATTTTAATTCTTCTCATGCATGATGATTTGTTTTGATTGATGTATGTTATTTTAAAATTCTCTAATTAACACACAGATAAAGAAACAAAATGACAACCTGCAGACTCGTAACATGGAGCTGGTGAAAGCGAACACAGAACTACGACACAAACACTCGGAGACCGAGACTCTGATACAAAACCTGAAGGACAAGGTGTCAGAACAGAAGAAGAGGATCGAGTATCTGAACCGGTCAAAGAAAGACATGGAGGATAGCTCCGACAGATTAAAGGTAAGGAACATCTCAGATGCTTAGCAATTGCACCGAGTTTAAAGTCTCGGAATTCAAAAAATTCCCTTTTAAAGAGTGTGAAATGTTATTGTACCGGTAATATTTTGAATTTAAGTTAAGGCTGTTCAAAGTTAATTCTACGTTTAACGTCACATCTAAAGTTCAAAACCTACGAGGGAGGGAGGAAAAAAATAAACAAACAAAATTTTCAAACAATTGTGAATTTATTCAAATTAACCTATTCAGTACATTAAAAACATTACAATTAAGTAATAAGAGCATTTAATTGATATGACACCTAAGATTAATTTCCCTAGCAGAGTATTTCCTTAGTATGTAAATCAGTTTGAGTCCTATTGTTAGCAAACAATGTGGTCTGAGACTGAATATGCAGGAAAGTGGCTTTTAACTAGGCCTCAGTTGTCCTTTGGATTTATATTGCCACACATCCATGGTACCCTGGAGGCAAATGCTTCTTCTTGTGGGAAAAGTTGATCAATATCTACAATTAAATTTACTGATGACAATATTTAAAACTGTTCATGTTGAAACATCCTCAAATTGAATTATGTCGTATTTTATCTTAGTACTAGATCTACTAGCATTAAGTTTTGAAAGTGTGAATACTAATATTTGGACCATACTGATAGCTGACAGATTATCTTTAATACCTTGATTGAATTTCACACAAAAGACAGGATTCTTCACGTCTTGGAATACCCCAACCACTTTCCTTACTCTCCTTCACTTGAAAGGCCCTATCTTCGGTAAGCTTCTCCCTGCTCAAATGGTTATGACAAGTATTATCTTTTTCCGAAAATTGTAGCTATTTGTAGGTACATGAATTATGAAGAAATCAATTACTTTACTCATTACTGTTCCTTTCGATTTTTACAGAAATATTTTTAATATGAAACATATTGGTAAGATTTAAATGATGCTTTTCACTGTATATAAATCTGGGTTTTTGACACAATAGAATCACGAACTGAGAGTCTGTCACTGTCAGTCTGTACATGTGATTCGAAGACTGACTTTAGAAAAAATCAACAAACTAGACTTTGTCATTAACTTCAATCATAAAATCATCTATTTTTTACTTACATTTATGGTCCCAAACTCTTTAATTCACTAGTTTTCTTTAATAAGACACCGCCTTCACTGCGGCTTTCAAAGCACATTTTCTGTCACTACGGGAAGCAGAATTCAGTCGCTAATTGAAGAACCAAAACCGGAATGGACGTACGGAATTCCGAATTGTTTGTTTTTTTCAAAGACGAATTTCTCATAAACCTACGCGCGCGGGTGACGTTAAACATAGTTTTAATTTTAAACAGCCACTTTTGATAAGTGCAATTAATTTCTAAAGACTCTGTAACATTAGAAGGATGCAGTGATGAGTATAATTTGTATTGTGATGTTAATTTACAGCAAATGAGAGAAGAAATGGAGGAATTGGAGAAGCTTAGAGACGAGTACATCCACAGAAACGCGGAACAGGGCGAGATGATAAACATGTTCATGACTCAGATCAGCTCACTCCAGGAGGAGCTTAAACAGCTCGCTCAAGCTCAGCTCAGAACGAACGACCTGGTCAAGCAAAGAGATGAAGCAATAGAAAAGGAAAGAATGCTCAAAGACGAACTCAGGAAAAAGTACAAGGTTAGGGATATTGTGTTTTAGGTCAGCATTTTTTTATTTTTAGGTTTACGAACATCAGAATGAAAAAGTCCCGTAGGAGGAGGAAATAAAAAAAAAATAAAAATTTTTTTTTGGATACATTATCGACTTTTCTACATTAATTTTTGCTTCTTTTTTTATGCTCTCCTAACAGGCTCCTTGCCACTGGACACATAAGGGTTACAAAGGGGAAAATAGAACCTTTAATTGTTTATTTCATCATCTACCAGTTGGGGTCAGTGATATAGATGATAAATCTTGTGATGTTGTTCAAAATACAGATAAAAAAAACAACAGTTTTTTAAAACTCTTTCAATATATATGTATCTTCATATTTTTAATATGTACATGTATTAGGTGAATGTGTTGAAATTGTTCTTTATATACTTGAGACCTAAAATAATAATTCCTTTCTTAAAACAGACAGGGAGTATTGGAGAGTAAGATGGAATTTTTTTTTCAATTTGAATTAAGTGTAAAATAATTTTCCTGGCTACCACAAACGATACTACATGCCTGTATATATTTGTAATTTGTATCTACTTGTTTTTAAATAGTTGAAATATTTTGTTTCTTTGGGCAAAATTATTGTTTATTTCTTCCTCAAATGGACTTAATCTCTCGCATAGTTTTATTCAGTACATCTGATGCATAAGCGACCATCTTCTGAAGAATGATGCTGAGACTGAAAGCTATAACAGATACTTAAACAATGTCTTCGACAAAAGCTATCATGGGCAGTTTTAAACCTGTGGGAGGAAAATAATTTACAGACTGTGAGACAGATGACAGATACTTTTGAATACAGATACAAAATTATCTCACCAACATGTCATTCTGCAACAAAGTTGTCAGCACTTTATTTGTTCTCTGAATGAGTGAAACGTTTTGAATGGCACTCCTATCGATAAATATTTACATTTAACCAAGGTTTAGTGCTGCTATGGACTTGACAAATCTACCTTCGTTACCGCCATCATGCATTTTAAAACCGGAAGTACGAGTTCGTAAATTTGAAATCTCGATCCCGACTCAAATTTGACATCGGAAAGAAAAAAATCTGATTTTCTCAATTTTATTTTTTTTCTGAAAATTCAAAAACTTGAGCGGCGGGTTTGTAAACCTAAAAATAAAAAAATGCTGGCCTTAATGACATTTTAAATGAAGACTTTGACACATTTTCTGACATTTTTTGCTTCATCACTGAACCTGATGTGAAAAGGTCTGCAAAGTTTAGACAAAAAATAATCAGAAATACATGTAATTGATGACAGAAACAATTAATAGCAGAAGTAGATTATGTATAAATCCAAAACTGATAACAATAAGCAGTCTTGAAATGTGAAATGTAATGTATTTGGACAGAGTTCTTCAGAAACAGAAAATGGAAGACACAAACACAAATCTAAGGTAGGTGTATCAGAAATCCCCAGATTGTGGAAGCCATTGTAGAATGGTGCATGTGTGCTTATATAATGAATTGTTCACCCACAAAGAATATCCAGTAATATCAGAATCTATCATTTTGCACTCTGACCTTCAGTATGATAAACAAAGGAATTTAGTAAACTTTTCACTTCTTGAATAATATTTAACTATATAGCACTTACATTTAGCTAGTTAAGAAAGGAATAGTGTAGTTAAAAGATGGTATTTATATAGATCAACATTGATTTATTTTTACCAAGACATTTGCATCATACCAACAAACTGCTATCATGTTTGTTACTTTATTTTGTAATTAAATTTTCTGTTCTGCACCTCATTAAAGTGTAATTTAAGCTTTGTATTATTTTGCCTGAAATGAATTTTGAATTATTTTTATTAGTTTTATCAGCTTTTATCACAGAATAGTAGTGGTGTATCATGTGATTTGTATGATAAATTTCAATAGATTCATGTGTGTGAAAGTCAATCAGTATATCGGGTCTCAATAACTTAGTGGTTAAAGTGCTGGCACGGTATGCCAGCGGGGGGTTCGAGTCCCAGTTAAAGACTTGATTTCTCACCACCTGTGACATAAATGATGTGATCAGTTGGACTGTCACAGCCTACACTGTTTTTAAGAAGTGGAGAATTAGGATCAGTGATGCATTTCAGAACATGGCTTATGTTTAATCTATATTGTTTTTCAAAGAAAGTTATGACAAAGGTCATTATGAATAATCTTAAAATAGTTTTAAAGTATTGTATGCATTCAAGTGCCATGCATTGTTATTTGTACTGACAGTTTCAGAATTAGATTCCAGTCTTTGATCAAGTATTCATAATTGTTGCTAACTCATGTATTTCCAAAATTAAGAAATTCAAAAAAAAAATCTTCAGCTACGAATGTTGGGTTTATAACAAATATTTTCCACTGTGTATACAATACAAAGATACAATCACTTATGAATTCTTGAAATAGAAATCTTGAAATGTTGTACATGTAGGACATTTTTGCACGAAAAAGTCTGAAATATACTAGGGCTGGGTATTGGGCAGAAATTTCGTATTGCGATATATTGCGATATTTTTAACTGTATTGCGATATGTATTGCAATATTTTCAACGAAAATAAAATGGCATTTTCTGAATAAATTTACTTTAATTTACACGCAGAATGTACATAACTATGTTAAGTAGCCAAAAGAAAAAAATCTTGTTAAATTTTTCAAAGTAATGCTCTGAAATACAACCATAAAACAGCTTCTGTCTTACTGTTTGGCTTAATAACAAGCCTTTCTTACATTTATTTTTATATTTAATGATAAAATTCCTTAGTCTAAGCATTTTGCCGATATATCGATATTACAAAAACGTATTGCAATACGATATTTTTTGTCATTGTATTGCAATATACCGAAATATCGATATTTTTGCCCAGCCCTAAAATATACTGTGACTTTAATTTTCCCTTGTCAGTTTGAAACAAATACAAAATAAGGGCCAATGGAGATGTAACATATTTTGGAGTAACATTGAAGATGGATTGCTGATTTTATTTTCTATAACTGATGTTATGTGTGCTGTGTCTAATCAATAGGAAGATATCACTGTATATTTGGAAATAAACCCTTAACTTTTAACGTTGCTTAGATATGGGGGGAACTTTTCAATTACATTTTATAGGCTCTCTAACCTATGTGAAAAAATAATTATGTTTCAGGAATCCAAGAGACACCAAGATGAAGTGGAGAAAATGAGGAGAGAGACAGAGGAAAGACTTCGCCGAGCTCAGAACGAGTCTATGGAGGTTAGTTAATGAAGGCAAACTATGGTCACTGTTTTCTATGGAGGTCATTAAATGAAGGCAAACTAGGGTCACTGTTTTTCTGGTAAATGACCATCTTTTGTCAATTTTTCACATACTTGAAAGAGTGTTTGGTTAGTGGCTTCCATTTTGCAAATTTTTTGTCAAACTTCATGGATATATTTCATATTGTGAGATGCAATAAATGAAAGTCACATCCAAGGTCAAAGTCAAGGCAGATGACTTACTTTTTTGAACATTAAGGTGTGAATGGCGTAACATGTTAGTGGAATGTTTTTTCATTTATCCCCCCAGTGTGATTAGGGACAGTTCCCAGATCAAAGGGAAACTTAGGTGGCTGTTTAAGTGTGGTATATGTACTCCTTTAAGCACAGTGCCTTCCATGTGGATGTGTATGATTAAAAGTAAACATCTGTATTTAAGGTTCATTATTCCTCTGCTCACTGTAATATACATGTAGCTTTGATTTTCTAGAAGAAATATGATTTGAGGGTAACAAAATGTCAGCATGTTAAGCAGGGCAAAATTTGACAGGAATGGTCTGTTATCTTGTTTATTTTACAGAAGAATAATTGTACAAAGTCGAGTAATTTAATCCAGTGGAGTTATTTCTCTTATCACAGAGTCAGTGAACCTAAACTCAAATGTCAATGTATGATCACATTGAGAGGACAAAGTTAGTGTCAAGTGTATCTTCATAACTTATCTTTTCTTAAAGAGAATAGCATCAGATCTGAACATCCTTTGAAAGGAGACATTTGTTTTATATGTTTATGAAGAAATAAACATGTATTTTACACTAACTCTACATGTATTAACAGGTGTCTGGACACCTACAGGACGCACATGAATGGTTCAAAACAAAGTTTGATCTACTGCAGCAGGAAATTCTAGACTCTAGGTAAAGAACAAGACCCACTGAGGCATGTTGTGAATGTACCTCTCAAATAATAGTCAAATATTGAAATACATGTGTATTTATAAATTTGTATTGAAATCCCTTTGTTTATATACATGTACCACCACCTTTTTGGGGAAACATATTCTGCTCTTAGCCAAAACTGTAATATTATACTAAGGGCACCATGCAAAATTTTATTTTCTTGTAACAGCATTATCTTGTTAAATTTGGCTATTGTAGGAAAACCCAGAATGTGTTGGAAAATGAAAATCAGGCCCAGAAAAAGCAGCTGGAGGTAGAAAGGTGGAAGGCCCACGCAGCCGCGGAGAAGGCGAGAGACATGATAAAGGTAACTTAGTTACAGTAAACAGTAACCATAACAACATATCACAAAGCAGTGTCTTGTCATGAATGTATTAATTCACTTTAACACCATCTACTTATGTGAAGAACTGAGTATTTTAAAAAGAGTATTATAAATATACATGTACATGGAAATGAATTAATATTTATTTACTTTTCTTATACTTATTTTTGTATCTTTCATTTACATGAAGGCATATCAGGGTGAAAAGAAGCCGAGAAATGGGGTACAATATTAGTGACAGTTTTAGCTTTTAGCACCTGCTACTAACATGGCACTCAGCTTACTTTTATTTTCCAGTGCAAACCGAGGATATATCAAACCTTTAAGATACACTCTTTATTAACAATATTCACACCCGTGCAACAAAAACTTACCTGAGTTTAACAATTAATTTATAGAAAGGTATCTTCATGGATACATTTATGATACTTCTATAAAGTTACATGTAAATAAAGTGCTACATGCTCTAGTCTTGTTTAATTATGCTTTCGTAAAGTGAAGTGCACTGGGAGAAATTTATAATACCCACCCCTATAGTAACAGCCCACCCCCAGCCCCCCAAAAAATCTCTAAAGCAATATTACCTCTTGGTTGAATTTTGCAAAATGTCGTGCAAATACATTTACTATAAGAATGAAGTATATACATAAGAAAGAAGAAGTAAACTGGGTTTTCTGTTCTAATCTAAATGCACCACAGTTTAAGTTAATTGTCACAATTAATTTACAATTTGCCCTACCACCTTTCATACTGTTAAAAGAAATGGTGATTTGTGTGACCTCTTCATTAGAAATTCAAGTTTGTCCTTGGTACTTGGGTACTAACTAACTTTTTAAATGTGGTGGTTTTAAATGAAAGAATTCTGAAGACAGAAATAAGAGAAATACTACTCTGAATATGCAATGGAAGAAATGCTAGATTTTATGACTGATGAGAGTTTTTAAAAATTTGAGCTTTGCAATACTGTAAATCACATTTTATTCACAATTACTTTATTTTTGTCTAATTACATAAGACACTGTGCTCAAGTAATTATCATTCTTGCATATATTTATATTCCTAAATATAATACAAATGTATAAGCAGTACCACAAGTTGTGAAAAATTTGTCTCACTACTAAAGATTAAAAGTCCATCTCAGGAAAAGAAGTACATGTCGCAAAAATTTTAGTGATCTACAGTAACTTGTGGATATGAATTTCTTTACTCATAAAGCTGGAGTTTTGTGTTGATCTTGAGGGGTTTTTTTTCCTTTATATCACAGACAAGCAGACAGACAATCAGTCAGTTAGCTAACTATGCAGAGATTGCTGACACTGACACAAAACATCAGCTACTGAAGCTTCAGGCAGAGCTGGAACAGGAGAGAGACCATGCTAAGTACCTGGAGATGAAGCACCAGAAATACAAGGTACACAACTCACAACTAAATCATACATGTACATGTAGCTCAGAACAAATTTCCTTTCCTGGTGGTAATAAACCTAGTTTGTAAAGCTTAAATTAAGATGTTGTTTGTGCACTGCGATTTAATTTTTTTCTGTCTGTATGTAGGAAGCCAGTGCACGTCAGTTGGAACACCTCCTAAAAGAATTCCATTAGCATTTTGAATCATGTAAAAGCCATCAGAATTGCTTCCACAGAAATCTACAAAACCCAGCACTGGAAAAAGTGCAAACCCAGAGCTAAGGCCAGTAGACGCAACCAGTAAATGGTTCCACATCAAAAAAGAGACAAGAGACAACTGGTCTTATCTCCAGAAAAAGCTTAAGTTTCAGGAATTTGCCAAAACTAGGGAATTCATCAATTACTGCCCTTATATTGTTTTTGTGATTACCGTTGTGTGACTCCATATAACTGCCATTGTCTTTTCCTTTCTAGTCTAGTATACTTGCATGTTACAGTGTATGTTACGACGTGAATCATCAGGAAACATTCCAAATCACCGAACTGGTGATGTTATTGTGCTGGTGTATAACTGTGATATCTATATGTGCAGCAATATTTATTTTCTTAATATTTATGTATTCTGCATTTTGTGCCGATTTACCAGTTTTATTTGAATTTAAACATTATTAAATTATTCAGATATATGGTAATGGTTTACCTGAGTTCATTTATAAATTTTGAATCATGAAATTATAAAAATATCAAGATATTTTCTTTTATAGCAAGTACAAGATATCAGTAACATGAATTCTTTACGTTTAATATGATGCATCTAACCATTCTGCATTTCCTGTTATCAAAAACTATAAACAAATAAATTATATTTACTTGAAATCTGTTGTTGATCGAGATTACCAATTGAAAGTAAACTACAGTTACTGGGAGCGAGTTCACAATATTGTATTCCCATCAGCAATTTGATCAAGTGCTAATCAACAGTTTTCTGATAGAGACCTTAATGTTGCCAAGATGACCTTGGTTCAGTTGTTCCAAGGGAAGCAGAAATTATTCAAAAACTTCTACAAGAGAAAAACACTTGCTGTGGACTAGAAATGAAAGACTTCAAAGAGTGCTACATCTGTTTCATATTTCAATGTTTTACTGACTATAGATGATAAGCCAACAGCTAAATTGCATGTCAAATGAGATGACTTCAGCTTTTCCATTATTATATAGTAATATCTCATTATCACTTGCATATGGTGTTTACATCTCCCGTCTTATTCCACACTTGAGAGCGTGAACTGAGAAAGATAAAATTTTAAATCAAGGCAGGCTACTGACAAATAAGTTGATGCTGTAAGGACAATGTCCTTAAAAGTCAGCATTTTGAAAAATGCTATGGTCATTATAATGACATAATTAGCAAATAAAACCTATCATTAGATCATATTTTGGCTGACTTGTTTCGTACCCTTGTAAAGCTTTTATTTTTATACTAAATTAGACAACAGAATGTTTCATCTAACTGATCAATACATAGGATCCACAGCAGGCCTGACCGGTCAGGGACAGGTGCGTACTTCTCCTAGGCACCTGGCTTCGGGGCCATAAAACTTGGATTACTGCAGTAGTAAAACTGAAATCAAAAGTGACCTCGATTTTGTCACAATATGATCAACAGAGCCCTATACTAACTCTAAATTCCCTTACCCAGGGGCAATGAATTTCACAACTGTGGCAGAGGGCTCATTGCTCATTACAGTTATTCCAAAAGCGGTAAATGAAAATGTGACAAAATTACAAAGAAACAGATGGATGGATTTTGATAGAAAAAAATCAATTTGAAAGCTCTCGACTCAAATGAGCTTAAAGCAAAATAGATGAAATAATCTCTATACTCTGTGAAATATAACTGTCTCACTTCACTGGTCTTAACAACACTCATAACAATCCAGGAACTCATGGAATTTTTTCACAATTTTTGAAATGAGATGAAGATGAGGAGCCTTCACATGCAAAACTTAGAAAACACATATTCCTACATAAAATAAATGTTGGAGTTATATAAAAATTCTTAGATGATCCATACTTTCTGAACAGAACATTCAAATTTTTAAAAGGACAGTATTACTTGTTTCACCAACTCCATGTATCAAAATAATAAAACTTCAAGTTTACAGGTTTTTTCATTTAATTCATTCTGTACATTGTGAATAAACACAAGGTTTAAAGAATTATGCACAAAGTACACCTTTTAAAAAAATTGAACAATTCTACTTCAGGTTGGGATAAGCCTGCAGGAAAATATTTAAACAGTCTTAAAATACAATGTAAAACATCAAATACTCTGAAATAATGGCAATCTAGCCCATATCAAATTTTCCAGTTATAAAAAATATAATGAATGCCCCTGGACAATTTAATTAATTTTTTCTCTCTCTCTTAACTTCAAAGTATCCCTACAGCATTCACCTGTAATATTTAATTTCTACATGATGTCAAAGGTCAAATTCAAAGAGTTTCTTGTAATATCAACATTTATGAATAGCATCCACCTGTGACATTTAATTTCTACATGAAGTCAAAGGTCAAATTTAGGAAAAATGTCTGTCTGAATTTCAAAAGACAATAGAAAATTAATATTGGTCACACAATACACATCTTAAACATCAAAGTCCCATTTTCATTTGAAAAGAATTTACATGGTACTTCAATGGATATCCAGGTCACATGTCAATTATAAAAGGTCTTGTTACACAAAATATACATGCATAATATCAATGTAGAAATTTCCATGGTAAACTGATGCTAGCAGTATTAAATATTGCTGTTTTAAAAAAATTAGTAAAAGATGATGGTTAAGAATTTTTTTTACCAAAAATAAGTGAGAAGCATTAAACACTATCAAAATCTGACCTTTCATGATTCAATGGATAGAAATTGTGACAGGAGAACAAACAGACAAAGATATTATAAAGCTGGTGGTATAAAATTTCAAACATTCATTCAACAATATCAACTAAAAATTAAGGGAATTCTTACTAAAGTACAAATATATGTCAGGAACTTCTGGCTTCCATATCAAAATAAATAATATTTGTGTGTGCGTGTGTGAATATTATTTGTGTAAATATTTGTAGACACCACTTGTACATTTTAAAGTTTTTGATTTACAAAATGCTCATTATTAAATCTATTATACATGTGATTATTAAAACAAATTACAAAAGTCCAAAGTATTATATAGCAATTGGACGGACAGCTCTTTGCTAAAATATCACAAAATTCCAGTACAAGTGTCTACAATGCTGAAAACTTATTAAAAACAAAATTATGAAGCACCAAAGTTCAGGTTTGCTGAAATAAAAATAAAAACATTTAAACAGCTTCTCTATGAAGCACCAAAGTTCAGGTTTGCTGCCATTCGTGGTCTTCTCTTGGGTTGTTCCCCTTGCCTTTTCTGTGGCGTTTTTTCCTGTTTTTTCGTGTTCTGAGCTTCCTTAGATGTAGATTTGGCTTCTGATTTTATCACAGTCTGATTAGGAGCTTTCCTATCACTGGTAGCTGAACTTGGTTCTTCTTTTGCGACTTTTTTTTCTGCTACAGTCCTTTCACTAGACTCCCTAACAGATTCTGAGGAATCTTTTTGCTTACTGGGAGTTTTCTGTTGTCTTGTCACCTGAACACAAAAATGTATCATAGTTAGAATCAGCTGCAAATTCATTTTTTATACCAAAAAAGAAAGTAATCTTCAATTAAAAAAAAATAAAAACTGAACAAAATGAAATCATTAACTAATTATCATCTGGAAATAAACCAAGGACATAAAAAGTGTGGTAGGGGATTAGGGCAAATTTTCATTGTGTCTAATAGGGGAAACATTTTTGTGAACTTGGCATCTTAAAATTTTTTAAAAATCTGCATCAGTCAGCCACAGTATAAGAAATTAGTTTGGAGACCATCCCCTCACCTGTATAAACACAGATAAAGCTTTATCTAATTCTACCTATCATGCAACAGCATACCTGTAGTGGTACAAAAGGGTTGCTGTGAGGGTCTAAGTCAGACTTGAATTCCGCCGAGTTTGGTATTTGATCTCCACGTCGAGCATTCTGATTGGCTGATTGAGGCTTCCTCGGCCCATGTTGATTCTGGTTGTAATGACTATGATAATTGGCTGATTGCTGCCTGAAGTTTCCCTGCTGGGGAGGTCCATAATAACGCTGATGGGGAGGGCCATATTGCCTGGGTGGCCTCATGCCTGGGGCCATATTCCTATCTACAATGATCATATGGTCTATATTAAAAAGAAATCAAACAATCAATATAACCAATCTATATCAAAACACAAACATATTCCTATCTACAATGGTCAAATGGTCTCAATTAAAAATATCAAATAAACAATATATTACCAATGTAAAATAAAACATGCATGCTGCAGAATGCTATTTGTGTTCTACTGTACAAAGCATTTCATAGAGGCATCATCAATACTGCTTCATATAGATACTCCAGTTTATTACATTTATAACTGAGTTTTGTTTATGACAGATATCTTGCATTGACTGTATTGGATAATTAAAACACCCTTACTGTGATATTGTAACATCTGTGGCACTGGTTTAAATGCTGAATTTGGTGAGGCTAACTGTCTCATCATAGAGTTTGCTTGAGTCTACAATATATCAAACACTTGTTATTTAACAGGACCTTGAAACAGACATTCAGCAAGCAACAGAGAAGTGAATGGGAAGCAGAGAGTTCACATGTAATATTACTGCAGATCTGTTTAAATATGAATTATTACAAATTTTCAAATATCTAAATCAAATTTAATCTCTTTTGGAACAATTACCTATCCATATATCATTTTATTTCAAATAAGGAGTATTTCCACTTCAGAATGAATTATATCTTTATGATTTCAATCAATGTAAACTTTTATTCCGAGAGCACAATACAATGAATCTCCTCTATATAAAAGTGGACACTAAGTGTGAATCTTACAATCTGAAGCATGGTAATGGCTGCTGCATTTTCGATGGCCTCCTGTTGAGACTTCATTTGAGATCCTTGAAATCTAGCACCATCAGGCAGTGAGACAATACAGCTATAGGCACCTGGCTGTAAACATAATCCACAGTCTCAGTCAAAACATGGTACATCATCACAAGACAATCTATCATCACAATCCAAACAGAAATCGTTTTGAACTTGTTTAAAGTAATCCTGTACATAGGTGTAAAAGAACTCACCTGTCCTACAAAATCATATCTAGGTTCTGGTTTTCCCAAAGACCTGCACCACCCAGCTAAATCCATCACCGGGTTCCTGCGGTTCCCCTGGTGCTGGTGGGCTGGCTGGTTTCTTTGGTTCTGTTGCTGGCTCTCTTTCTGTGATCTTGGTCTTTGGCTTTCACCACCTGGACCAGAATGACCAGGGGCCGACTGATCAGGGCCCGAATGACCTGGGCCAGACTTACCTGGGGCCGACTGACCAGGGGCTAGCTGAGTGGTTGGAGGAAGCTGCTTGGCTCCTATGTACATGAAGAATTGGAAAAATAGCATCACTACACATCCTTTATAAATAATGTTACTTATTTTAAATAAAATCATGTACATCTTAGATGCATCAGGCCTAGAAAAAAAATATATAGGTATAATGTATAATCTTATAGATATTAATATTACATGACACTTATAATAGAAAGGTGACCCAAACTTCTTTCTGGAAAACAGCCTTGAAATCTTGCACATCATGCATCACATCGGGAAAGCGGAAACAAACCATCAAACAGTTCCTGAACTGAAAGCTGTCTCCCATAACTCTTATCAGACTTTGTTGGTGAATTAACTTCCATACTTCCTGGATCTGTTCCTATTTTCAGCATTTGCTTTAGAGCTGCCGCAGTTTCCTAACAAATATACAAAGCTTTAATATGTTTATCTGAATATATTTACAAAAATATCGGTATGATACTCACCTAAAAGAATGCTGCAACTTCACTAATTTAAAAAGATTATAGGCAAAATCAACAATTTTTTTTTCTTATATATATTATACAGAACGAATTACATGCATCCACATACTTATATGTTACAAGACCTTGTTTAATGATCCCCTTCGAATTTATGATACAACGGAATACATTTAAATAATCAAAACAAAAACAAGCTTATTGAGACAAACTGAAAACAATGAAACTTTATTCTCAGTCTAAAAAATGAAAGTTATAATAACCCTGCCTTTATAATTGGTTTCCTGCTATAATTTACCTCCTCTCCAAACTCTGTAGAGATTGGAGATTTTTCATTCTCTATATCCTACCTCTACTCCTATCTATGTAGAGTTTGAAGATCTTCCCTTCTCTATGACTTACCTCTACTCCCATGTCTGAAGAGTTTGGAGATTTTTCCTTCTCTGCAGACTGCTGAGACTCCTGTGCAGACTTGGCCTGGATAAACAGCTTCTCCAGTGTCAGGTTGTGAGGTTTTTTGTCGGTCTCACCCTCAGCTCTCTGGAGACTCTGGACCTTGTCTAGGGCTGCAGCCGCCTGGTGTAGTGAGGGGGGATCGGGCTCTGTCTTCTTGTCAGGGCTGGGTTTACTGGAGGACTGAAGCTGCTTCCACATGTTGGCAAACTCACTCTGTCCCTCTGGTAAACTCTGTAAACAAAGAAAAATGTACTCAAATTAATTGTTTCCTTCAAAATGTCAATGATGACAGTAATTAAAACTTTTTAAGCACATCTGACTACAGCAGATTCAAATATTTTAAGAATGTTAGAGAAAGAAAATATTTTTTGATTTATGTTCATAAAAAGAAACAGTTGACTTCCACTTCTGAAATGGTGAAATGATATCATTTAACCTTACCACCTTCATGATCAAATGTTCATGTATGTAGTTAAGCCTTTAAGGGACTCCTACCCTCAGCCAGGAAGGACAACTCTTTAATTTATAATTTAATTCAAAAAGTTTTTAAATGAACCTTGAAAGCTTCAAGGTTCTTTGAACTTCTCAGAAAGGTCTAATTAAAAGTAGAAATTTTTAGAGAAAAGCATTTTTTGTGTGATTTTGATTAACATGATATGAAATTAGAAGTGATTTATGGAGCTTTGCAAAGAACCTTGTGTTGCCTTTCATTAGAAGGTCACAATCACAGACTTGGTTTGACTGTACACTTAGTCTAATGTTACCTTCTGATGAATTGCCTGATACAGGTTTAACTGTAGGTTACATTACCTTTCTAGCACTGCCCTCCTTTCGGGCCTGCTGAGCTACTTTAGGAGTCACAAACGTAGGCTGAGTAGAATCACTGCCATCAAAACTCTGTTGCCGTAGATACATGTCACTGTTGACTGAGGGTTCCTTGTTCTGTAGAGTTTTTAACAACCAATGAAATTATCTATGCAAATCATAACATACACTGAAACTTCACAAAATTCAAAATAAAACAACAACACACATTATTCATTTTCTTTACTTTGTCATTAGGTTTTCTATGTTGCCTACTGCAATATTGTTTTGCTTACTTTCAAGTATTTGTGAAAGAACTCATCAAATTTCATTTAGATTTTTTTGAAAATGTATAAAATATTGTTTTAACTTCCCTGCAGAAACTTTGATCTTGTTTTAATATCTAGTTCTTTATTGTAAGCTTTAATATTAAACATGAACTCAATACATTTGAACTAAATACCTAATGTTAGTTATCTGACTTGCCAAAGTTGGGTTCTGTTGAAACTTGTTCTGAGTTTTGTGTAGATGTGTTTGAGTTTTGTTGCTATGATTCGATTGAACTTTTTTCTTATCTTGGTTTTATACTGTCTGGATATAATCTGACTTACACATGTAGTATGACTTAGCTAACTTACCAGAGTTTCTGGGTCACTGTTCTGGGTCTTAATCCCATTCTCACTTCTGCTCTCTTTTCTTCTGCCACAGTTATCTAACTTACATGAGTTTAACATGCTGGGACTTGATCCGATTTTCCCTTCGGTTCTCTTTCTGACTTGCCTGAGTTAGCTTACTTATCAAATCTTAATTTCACTGGGACTTGATTAATTCTCTTGTTTTCATATTCTTACCAGATTTTTATTTTCCTGGGAGTTGATCTGATTTTCCCTTCGGTTCTCTTTCTGACTTGCCTGAGTTATCAAACTTACGTGAGTTTTATTTTGCTGGGACTTGATTTGATTCTCCCTTCTGTTCTCCTCTTTCTGCAGCTGCCTGGAGTCCCTGTTTCCAGCTTGATTCCTGCCTCCTCTTCCACCACCGCTGTTAAACCCCCCTCTTCCTTGAAAAGTCTCTGAGTAATACTGTCCATCACTGTATCCACTATAATCAATGTTAGCCTGGTAATCTCCAGAGAACCCCCTACCCCTGTAGTTACCCTGTCTATTGGAACCCCTCTGTCCTCTTCCATAATCATTATAGCCCCAATCATTCTCATACCCCTGATCATTATAACTTCTGTTGTCATTCCTATTCATCAGGTCACTATATGACCCTTGACCTCCTCTTGATGCATCAGCGTATGAGTTATATGTCCTGTTCTGGTTTCCCTGACTGTAGAGTTTCTGTTGGTAAGGGGTACTATTATAATTGCTATTCTGAGACAGTCGTACACTTTGTTGGTTTGTTTTTGACTTGAGCTCTTTAGCAGCACCATTCTTGCGAGCTCCGTGAGTGATATTGATCATTCCTGCTGACTGTAGTCTATAACCTCTCTCCGTTGAACCCCTGAAAAGAAAGACATGAATACCTGTAAATCAAAAAACCACTAAACAAGCTGTCTTCAAAATATAGCCATGACTTCACCAATAGGGCTGTACTCAATGCAAAAATCATCTACAACAACCATTTTTTTTATCAAATTATAAATAAACATGAGTTTTAATTTTCCAAAAATGTACCTGATAACTATTCCACCAGGGAATTCCTCATCAAAGATGACATCATACATTGTGTCTGAATCCTTCTCCCCCTTCTGTATTCCCACAACAGTCCCCCTCAGGCCAAACGGGACAGAGTAACCAGTCCTTATGTTGACCACGCGGTCAAACATCTCGTAATGTACTGTAGGATCTGGTAACACGCCACCTTGAATGATCAAAGGCTGAAAGTACAGAGAAAAGTGCAAGGATTTACATGTACAAACAAACTACTACTAAAGTGTTATACAGTGTATGTCATTGTTTTTAAATCTGATTTATTTTTGTATAAGACTATCCCTTTAATACAATACCTTGTACAGAAGATAAGGTTTAACTTGCATCTTGACTTTCTTGACATTTGTCTTCTTTTTATTTCTCTCCTGTAAAAAACAACCATCATATAGTTATATTTATCACAGAAAATAATGTGAAGCTATTTACATTAATCTGTCACATTCAATGAGACAGGGGGTCATTGTTTATTGGACTTGACCCCCTCAAATTAGAATGATTCCAGAGTATATTGACAGTTACTACAGGTACATTACTCTAGGATTTAACAATTGCCAGCCCTATTAATTGACAGTTTTTACTTATCTTCTAATAATGATGTAATGTAACATTTTGGTAACCTTATTATATACTCCATAATGTGTCATTTGGGTATTACATTGAAAATTTTTACTTAGTTTATTTAATAACTGTATTATGTGTCATTTTGACATTACTTTGGTATTATTTTTATATAATACTTTATAATGTAAGAACATTACATTGACAGTTGTGACTTCTTTCTCAATGGCCTTGATGACCCCTTCATCCAGTACATCCGCTCCAACTTTCTGTGGTTTGATCTGAGAGCAGGGCTGGGCCTTTATGTATTCAACTACACTGTCTAAATTCTCTCTATAATCACAAAGACATAGTAATATAAAAATTTATTCATCAGAATTGTTAAAAATACTGTAAAGAAAAAGAGATCAAAACCTTAACTAAAAAAATTGTGGATGTGATAGACTTGTACAAAATAATTTATGATGGAAAAGACTTTTAAATTAAACATAAAATGCAAAAATTCAAACTTCAAGTTTTTAAAGATGTCGGACTCATAGACCACATCTTTCTTTTCTCTGTCCAGATTGGCTAGAACGTCCCACATGTCAGGAAATCTGAAACAAATAAGGACCAGTTTTACTTAAGGACACTATAAAATATATCATTAGGAAACAATTTCGGAACTGTCCTCCACACTTACTTCTGTAGGTACGCAAGAACCATGTCTGTAGCCTTCTGGGAGTATAACCACCCTTCATTTGTTAACTTGGTATAGCCTGGCACCTCCTCGTTTTTCTTTGTAAATTTCAGATTGAGCCCTATGTTCACCATTTTAGAATCGTCTGGCTCTTCTCGTGATCCCCGTTTTACGAAGATGGAGCCGGTGATGCGTGACAGGAAGTGCGAACTGGTTCCCACCCACTGGGCTGATTGAAATGATGTGTAATACTGGTCGTTGTACCTCTACAGAGAGTGGAATAAGAAATGAAACATGGGAGTGCATAGAGGGAGTAGTGAACAAGTTCACTAACTGCCTACTGAAATTATAATTGGCAAAGTCCTTAAATTTTGCACCTATACATCTTCAAAATACTCTCACTTCACTACAGGCAAATTAAGTACATGTACTTTCTAATCAATGTACATGTACATGTATTTCATTCTTTGTAAATTTTGTGGGTTACCTTACCCAAAAAGTTATAACCTCTGTAAAATAAAGATTATTTATGGGCAACAGTAATCATTTACCATCCACGAAAATTTCTTCCTATCAATTTCAGCATTTTTCCACATTAAAATAATAAATAGTTACATCCATTATTATATGTAAGTACATGATTTACACTTTACACAATAGTTGTAAAGTTTAATGACATTTTTTATTTTACAAACCTCAGTATTGATAAATTTGGCAAGGTTGGGTTCCTCCAGGGTGGTGACATTGATCCTGACCCTGGGGCTCTCTCCCTCCTCTACATCCAACACCTCTCCCTGACAGCCATAGTGTGGCCACCCCAACATAAAGGCCACCTCCCCCACAGGAAACATCTCTGACAGGGTCCGGAACTGACAGAAACTGGGGTCATGTACAGATAGATCCTGAAATAGGGCAACGTTTAAACTAGGTCATACACAGATATATCCTGAAACAGAGCATTAAAAGTTCCCTTTATAATGAATATAGAGCAGTTTCTTACTTAATTAAAAAGACAGAGATTTTTAATTTGTAATCCCTGTGAACAATTTTAGTTCAGAGTACTTTTCTTCTGTGGTAGCTAAATGATGGCATTAGACTCATACATATTTTTTTAAAATAAAAAAATAATATAACATCTAATAAAGTGTACTTACTGTGCCATAAGAACATACGATCTACATGTACACAAAGATTCACTTACCTTTACTGTGGCCTGATAAACAAAGGGGACAGGGTTTTGAGCAAACTGTTTCTTTAGTGTTATCACACCATGGGAGCCACAGACATACCTGAATCAAAAACGAACAGAATACATTTATTGGAGTCATATTTTTTCCGTCAATATTAACAGAAATATTTAAGTCTTTAATGTCTTGAAGAGATTTATCAATACATGTCAAAAACAAGTACAGTGTCAGGTTAACATACTGTACAAAGTGAATGCACTGTACGTAGAACTACAAGTACAGTGGTTTAACTTACGTTCTGCCATTCATTGGCAAGACTTTCAATAAAATGGAGGTTTCACCAACCATTACACCCAATCTGTCATGATATCTGTATAATAAAGAGAATATTTTAATGAAATTGCTCTCATTCCATGTATCAACCAAACATAATGTTATTCATTATAAACCATGATAGGGGGGATAAGAAGACAAGAGTTACCTTTCTTTGATACTGGCCACCTCTCGGTGCCACAGACTGCTCTCTGTGTTGTTCTGGGACTCCCTCACAATCTCTCTGGTCCGGGGACTCTTACCTCCCTTCTGTGGGGCCTCAACAAGAATATACCTGAGAATGTAAGAAAATAAAGCCAGATGTAATTGTATGAAATACATGTACACTGTACATGTGTATGTACAGATTTCCAGAGACAGGTCCTTGTTTACCTTTCTGTGTCATCAGACACCTGGACAACCTTTGCCTCAAACAAATGAGGCCAGCTAACAAAGGTTGTGTTCCCCAGCAGAGTGTTTGCAACAGCTTCTAGATCCTTTGGCTGAAATTATAGTTATATAGTGTTTCAATACAAACAGTTCTAATAATACACAAACCAATCTTATGTGTAACTCTCATACACATCACTTTGATTTCTATCATCTTTCTCTAAACTGGACTTCAATAAGAAACATTTTGAAGATAAAAGAACACAAGAAAATGTTATCATGTGATATATTTGGGGACAGGTGGGTTGATGGGGGATGAATAACTCATTCATTAATGGCAAAAATGCCTACAGTATCTCATCTCTCTCCTTACCCTATCTGGATCTTTCATTATCTCATCTCTCTCCTTACCCTATCTGGATCTTCCAGGATCTCTAGTATCATGTTTTCACTTCTGCTGTTCATCTGGAAAACCTTCACTCCCTCCTTCTTCAAAAATGCCTACATCAAAATAATTTTAGTGGTCAATTCAAATTTCACAGATAAAATCAATTCTACAAACTACAAATCAAATTTTTACCCAGATCAATAAAACATGCAAACATAAACCCCATTGTTCAAATCAATTATAAAACTGAAAGGAGGGCTGACCATGCTGGGTATTTGTTTGAAGGTGAGGATTGTTGACCTTTCCCTATAGGTTTTTATGAGGGTAAGGGATTCTGGTAAGAAAACTGTAGGACTTACCCTTTAGGGCATGTGAGGACAATGGGACTTATGAATACAAGGAAATGTTCACCATTGCCCTTGACCCAAGTGGGCGAAATTAAAACAGGGCAAATTTTAGGAACACAGTATAAATTCTTAAACAGAACAAAAATCGGTAAATTTGGATTGTGCAAACTTGATAAGCAAGTGTAAAAGGGGGATGCACCCTGTATACAGTACTCTGTGGGGTATATGTTTTGTGATGAGGACTAGAGGTCTTGCTCTGTGGAATAAATGTTTGATAAGGACTGAGGGACATGCCCTGTAGGTATATGGGGTATGTACTTGATGAGGACTGGGGGGGCATGCCCTGTAGAGGTTCGTGTTTGATGACAAAGACTAAGGGACTTACCTTATGGGGTATGTGTTTCAGTGTAGGGAATCCTGGGAAGAAAATGTCCAGTCTGACGTCTGGCATCAGACCCTTTACCATCTCCTCAGGATCAACCCGGAAGGCATCAACTCCCAGCTCAGTCAACCTGTAGTTTTAGCATTGTGGATTAGATACAAAATACCTTTTTCAATAGTACATCAAAATGTAAAAAAAAAAATGCCTACTAAAACAAACAAAAGTAAAGTAAGCAACATTTACCTGGCATGGTTATTAATGATATCAGGGAAAGCGTCTGGTAGTGAGGAGGGGTATGGTTCCAGCACGTCTGGTGTATAGTTATACAGGAGACATGGACCGTGACTGTTCCGCCTCTTCTCAGCAGGCGTGAGTTCATGCTCCACTGACTTCATGGCATCTATTAGTCTTTTCTAAAAACATAACTGATGATTAAATATCACAACCTTACACGTTTTATCAAAATATCATACATTGCAGAAACTGTGTTTGATTCACTGAATTTCTGATTTCGTGCTGTATATTTCTATGTAAAATCATTAACCCCATAGACTTTGACTGTCAACTGGATGACATTATCAGGCATTACTGCAAACCCCCAAGATATTAACTATCATTCCATCAAATACAAGCTCCAAATTTCTCTCAAACTTGTTGTAAGAACAATTTTTTGCTTCATTTTTTTATCTCCTAATTTTCATGTTTTAAACTTTCAAGGGTGAAGTAGAGCATCTTTAAAGTCATAATTATTTTAAGACACAGTTTTTTAAAATATGTATTATCACAATTAAACACAGTAAAAGACAGAGATACACGTCAATGTTTCCAACCCAATGAATCTGATAATTCTAACAAACCTCCTCAATGAACGGAATCAGGACGACTGCCTCCCACTCCTGTTGTTTACCATTCAAATCCGTCTGGAAATCCACTGGATAAAAGTCGATAATAGGGGACGTATCATTAGTCATCAGTTTCTGTAATCACACAAAAAACATAAATTATAATCACTGTATTTATACAAAGACCTCTAAGTATCAAGATGGTAACATTCTAACTGAACTGAAGAAATTAATCCTCATCACAATTTGTACTGAAAGACAGCAACACTGGACTCAATGGGCAAAATGATGTTGGCTAAAAAACAAAGAGAATATAAGATCTTGCATTCTGATTTCTGATAAACCACCTAATCATTAAGGTTATTCTACCTTGCCTTTACAATACATGAACCACATCGATTGACTCTACTTATGTGTCCTTTTTGTATTCCACTACTTATAAATGCATCATTAGCAGTTAAGAGTGAGTGATTAGATTAATTACACAAGAGGCCCATGGGCCACATCGCTCACCTGAGCACTAAGGGCAGGAAAAAGTAGAAAACTGGTTTTTATTGTAAAGTTTAAATCCAAAAGTAGTCCCATGACCAATCATGGATTTGCTATTTTTCAGAAAATGATTTTTAAAGAATTTTCCTATATATATCTTTATTAACTTTGGTCGGCCATTTTGGCCCCGCCCTACCCCTGGGGGTCATGATTTGAACAAATTTGAATCTACACTACCTGAGCATGCTTCCATATAAATATGATGAATTATGGCTTTGTCATTCTTGAGAAGAAGATGTTTAAAGAATTTTCCTATATATTTCTATGTAAAACTTTCGTCGGCCATTTTGGCCCCGCCCTACCCCCAGGGTCATGATTTGAACAAACTTGAATCTACACTACCTGAGCATGCTTCCACATAAATATGATGAATTATGGCTTTGTCATTCTTGAGAAGATTTTTAAAGAATTTTCCTATATATTTCTATGAAAAACTTTGGTCGGCCATTTTGGCCCCGCCCTACCCCTGGGGGTCATGATTTGAACAAACTTGAATTTAAACTACCTGAGCATGCTTCCATATAAATATGATGAATTATGGCTTTGTCATTCTTGAGTAGAAGATGTTTAAAGAATTTTCCTATATATTTCTATGAAAAACTTTGGTTGGCCATTTTGGCCCCGCCCTACCCCCGGGGGTCATGATTTGAACAAATTTGAATCTACACTACCTGAACATGCTTCCATATACATTTGGCCCCGCCCTACCCCCGGGGGTCATGATTTGAACAAACTTGAATCTACACTACCTGAGCATGCTTCCATATAAATATGATGAATTATGGCTTTGTCATTCTTGAGAAGATGTTTAAAGAATTTTCCTATATATTTCTATGTAAAACTTTGGTCGGCCATTTTGGCCCCACCCTACCCCCGGGGGTCATGATTTGAACAAACTTAAATCTACACTACCTGAGGATGTTTCCCCATAAGTTTCATCTTTCCTGGCACAGTGGTTTTTGAGAAGAAGATTTTTAAAATATGCCACCAAATTTTCATTAATTTCCAATTATCTCCCCTTGAATGAGGGTGTGGCCCTTCATTTGAACAAACTTGAATCCCCTTCAATCAAAGATACTTTGTGGCAAGTTTGGTTGAAATTGGCCCAGCGGTTCTTGAGAAGAAGTCGAAAATGTGAAAAGTTTACAGACAGACAGACAGACGGACAGACAGACAGACGCCGGACAAAATGTGATCAGAAAAGCTCACTTGAACTTTCAGCTCAGGTGAGCTAAAAACTGAAGTAATCCCACCTGATATGACTCAGGTAGCAGTTCTTTACTGGCAGCTGGTAACACGGCCATCAACTGCTGGAATGGTAGGAATGGTTTGGCCATATCAAATTCTATCTTCAAGTCCTTAAAGTCTTTTACATCACTGATGTAGGGTGCATAGTGATGTGGATAAAACCTACAAGTCAAAAATTACTCAGAATTGTGGCGGGTCAATAAACCATATAATGGCTCTATTAGGAAAACTATCTAATTTTTGTAAACTTCAAACAGCAAAATTTATCTTAAAAATGTACCATTGTACCCCTTTCTCTTTGATGCTGAGACTTATTTAAAACAATCATCAATACAAAGCCTAATGACTGTGAACATCCAGTGATAACCCTTACCAGCTCCAGGAGGGGACCCCCTCAAAGTAGTAGAGCAGGATCCACTGTATGCCCCTGACGTACTGCTCACTCTGATCCCTGAGGACTTCCTTGTCCACATTCTCGTACTCTAGCTTGGTCATGTAGTAGTTACGTTTGTGGAGGCGGAACTCCTCGTCAAACGTGTCACTGTCCTCATCTTCCTCCTCAAGGTCCTCCTCCTTCTCCTCAGTCGTCCTCGATCTCTCTATACAACAAGAGGCCCACGGGCCTTATAGGTCACCTGAGCATTATGCAACAACTTTCCAGTTACAGTGTATTGAATTTGATTCATGTTTTAAGCCAGATGTTATATGGCATTCACAATTTTGAAAGGGCACCATTGATCATCATAACAATAAACTTAGCAGTTGCTTAGCTTGGTTACTGAATACCCATACGCAGGGTAGGGGAACAAAAATGCACTCCAACTAATCAGTAATATTCATCAATAATCAGTAGTGCCCCTAACACTCTGACATAAACCCCTGACCCTAGGTTGCACAAATTTTTAAAAGGCACCCTTAAAATTGCCTATCAAAAAGTAAATAAATGTTTTATAAATACAAAGGACCAGATTTCAAACAATTAATTCATTTTCAGTATATAAGTAGAGCCCCTCCCTGACCCTGGGGCCTTGAAATTCACAATTCTGGAAGATTAGGGCCCTTGCTCATCATAACTATATAGGTAGTTCATCTGCTTCATACCCAGAGACAGAGAAGAAAATTTTCAAAGATTTAATGTATTTTCACTACATAATCAATAGAGCCCCACCCTACACCAGAACCCCAGACCCTGGGGCAATGAAATTCATAATTTTAGAAGAGGCATTCTTGCTCATCATAACTATGCACTTACTTAGTTTATTTAATACCTAGGAGCAGAGAAGAAGATTTTCAAAGAATTCATGTATTTTCACTTTATAAACAATAAAGCCCCCCCCCCCCCACCAGAACCATTGATGCTGGGGCCATAAATTTCACAATGCTTGTAGAGGCACTCTTGCTCATCACAACTATGCACTTAGTTATTTTATTTAATACCTAGGAGCAGAGAAGAAGATTTTCAAAGAATTCATGTATTTTCACCATATGATCAATAGAGCCCCCCCCCAACACCAGAACCCTTGACCCTGGGGCCATAAAATTCACAATTTTGGTTGAGGCACTCTTGCTTATCATCACTATGCACTTAGTTAATTTATTTAATACCTAGGAGCAGAGAAGAAGATTTTCAAAGAATTCATATAATTTCACTATATAATCAATAGAGCCCCCCCCCCCCCCCCCCAACACCAGAACCCTTGATGATAGGGCCATTAAATTCACAATCTTGGTTGAGGAAAACTTGCTTATCATAACTATGTACTTAGTTATTTTATTTAATACCTAGGAGCAGAGAAGAAGATTTTCAAAGAATTCATGTATTTTCACTTTATAAACAATAAAGTCCCCCCCCCCCCACCAGAACCATTGATGCTGGGGCCATAAAATTCACAATTTTTGTTGAGGCACTGTTGCTCATCATAACTATGCACTTAGTCAGTTTATTTAATACCTAGGAGCAGAGAAGAAGATTTTCAAAGAATTCATGTAATTTCACTATATAATCAATAGAGCCCCCCCTCCCCAACACCAGAACCCTTGACCCTGGGGCCATAAAATTCACAATTTTGGTAGAGGCACTCTTGCTCATCATAACTATTTACTTACTTGGTTTATTTAATACCCAGGGGCAGAGAAGAAGATTTTCAAAGAAATCATGTTATTTTACTATATAATCAATAGAGCCCCACCCTAACACCAGAACCCCTGACCCTGGGGCCATAAAATTCACAATTTTGGTAGAGGCACTCTTGCTCATTATAACTATGTACTTAGTTGGTTTATTTGATACCCAGGAGTAGTTAAGAAGATTTTCAACGAAATAATGCATTTTCACTATATACTTATTTAGCCCGGCCCTAGCACTAGAACCCCTGACCCCAGGGCCATGAATTTCACAATTTTGGTAGAGGACTCAATGCTGATTACAATCATGCAAATAGTTTGACTGCTTGATGTCCAGGAGTAAAGAAGAAGATTTTTAAAGATTGCATTAATTTTAGTGGTTTTGGCCCCAGCCCTCAGGCCCCAGGGGGGCAGGGATCATGAAATTCACAATTTTTGTTCCCCTTCACCCATAGATGCTTTGTGCCAAATTTGGTTGAAATTGGTTCAGTGGTTGCAGAGAAGAAGCTGAAAATGTTCAAATGTTAACACACGACACACGACGGACGACGGCGGACGAAAACGGATAGCAATAGGTCACCTGAGTTTACTCAGGTGACCTAAAAATAAGTAGATATTAACTAGTCTGTCACAGTACTAGATCTCTCTATACAAAAATAAGTCGATATTAACTACAAGTCTGTCACAGTACTAGATCTCTCTGTACAAAAATAAGTAGATATTAACTACGAGTCTGTCACAGTACTAGATCTCTCTATACAAAAATAAGTAGATATTAACTAGTCTGTCACAGTACTAGATCTCTCTGTACAAAAATAAGTAGATATTAACTACAAGTCTGTCACAGTACTAGATCTCTCTATACAAAAATAAGTAGATATTAACTACAAGTCTGTCACAGTACTAGATCTCTCTATACAAAAATAAGTAGATATTAACTACAAGAGGCCCACGGGCCACATCGCTCACCTGAGAAGCTTTGACCATTCTGTTCTTTACCAGATTTCCCCCTTTAAATACATACTGCGACCCCTACCCCACTGATCATAATTTAGACATTTTGAAATCTACACTACCCCAGGATGCTTCCATGTGCACATAAGTTTTAGCTTTTCTGGCCCAGTGGTTCTTGAGAAGAAGATTTTCAAAGATTTTTCCTATATATTTCTATGTAAAACTTGGATTTCCCATTGTGGCCCCGCCCTACCCCCGGGGGGTCATGATTTGAACAATTTAGAATCTACACTACCCCAGGATGCTTCCACATAAGTTTCAGCTCTAAGGGCCCAGTGGTTCTTGAGAAGAAGATTTTCAAAGATTTTTCCTACATATTTCTATGTAAAACTTGGATTCCCCATTGTGGCCCCGCCCTACCCCCCAGGGGTCATGATTTGAACAATTTAGAATCTACACTACCCCAGGATGCTTCCACATAAGTTTCAGCTTTTCTGGCCCAGTGGTTCTTGAGAAGAAGATTTTTTAATGACCCCACCCTATTTTTGTCTTTTCTTGGTTATCTCCCCTTGTGAGGGGACTTGGCCCTTCATTTTAACAATTTAAATTCCCCTTCACCCAAGGATGCTTTGTACCAAGTTTAGTCAAATTTGGCCCAGTGGTTCTTGAGAAGAAGTCGAAAATGTGAAAAGTTTACAGACGGACAGACAGACAGACGGACGGACGGACGACGGACAAAATGTGATCAGAAAAGCTCACTTGAGCCTTCGGCTCAGGTGAACTAACAAGTCTGTCACAGTACTAGATCTCTCTGTACAACAACAGTTAGATATTAACTACAAGTCTGTCAGAGAGTCAGTGAATCAATAATAACTCTACAAGATTTTCTGGTTTATGCTTTATGTATCTTATTTTCAATAAATATAGAAGAAAATGTAAATCTGTTATACCAGTAGTTGTATTTGGCGTAAACATTTAGCGGAAATTGATTTTTTAATAAGTTAGCGTAGATTTGATTTTGCGCTATCTGAATGTGCTAGATCTATATAAATGTATGATTCACAAGACATTTAGCAATGTACTTGATTAAGTGGATTCTGCTTTCTGCCAAAAACACAAATAGAATACACCGTTTCACCGCTAAATGTAATATGTTTACCGTATTCTTGTTGTCAATTGATAGTGCATGTAACCCTACTGTAGGAGATAACATATACTGTATGATTTACATAACAGCATTAATCTTACCTTGACTTGTGCTTGGTTGGGAAAAGTCTCCTCTGCGTCATTATCAAGAGATTCTAATAACAAAAACTGGTTTGTACTCTCTTTCTTATTCTGAAAGTAAATCAACATTGTACATTACAAGTACCCCAATATATAAAATTAGACTATCAAAAACGAAACTCAAATTTATATGCAAAGTACATGTAAATTTATACAATCAAGTATGCAGAGGACAAAGTCTTTATTGCATTTTATTTTGGGAATATCTTTTTTTTTTTTTAGACTTTTGGAGATTTTTTTATACTGTTTTGTTTCAAACAGAAGTAATTTTATCTATAAACTTCATTTCTACACACCTTTCTAGTTTGTTCCACCTGTGGCTCTTTTTCTGACTTTTCCAGCTTCTTTCCTTCAAACCATTTCAGGTCAGTGAATACTTCACTGAATTTATCCACGTCATACTGGAGAAAATGAACCACATGTTTATAATAAAGATACTGGTCTAATGTAACAAGACACCCATTACCCACAATGCCTTCAGTGACACAGGGTAAATATAGCATAATACAGAATTAAATGTATTCATCACATAAGAAAATTCTTCCCCTAAAAATAGGTATTATATAAGAACCTTAAAAACAGATACAATAAAATTTATTCACATTTTTATTGAAATATGAGCTAAAACATTTAAGATATATGTCGAAATTAAGCGAAAGTTTTACACAATATCTTTTAACAAACAAAATAATTCATGCAACACAGAACACTACCTTTGCTAGTTCATTCATAAACTTCTCAAATCTCTCAAGGTTCAAATGGCCACCTTCATTCATGTACCCTAAAATAGGTCAAAATTATACACTTTTAGCTAGATCTTGTATCCTCTACCTTGGTATTTACGGAATTTAAGTGAAAAAACATGATCAAGAAACCTTTCTTTCAATAAATTTCACTGCACAGTTGATAAATTATTTGAAGAAAAAAAAAAACATTTGAAAGTCACATATTGCTTTAATATCTGACTCACCTCCACATTCTGGGAGGATGGTCATGTAGGTTTTCCAGAGAGTGGGGAGGGCATCATGTTGTATGTGGAGGTGGGGGAGATGGGGGATAAAGTCGTTTCCCACCAGGAACCCCATCAAAATCCAGTCATCTATGATCTTCTCCAAGTCATAACCAAAGGGCAGTTTACCCTACATAAAACAAGATAAACTAGAACTGTCCAATAGGGACAAATACCCCCGCTGGGTTTTTCAGAGTAGGTGCCAATTCAGAAATATTTTATGGATCTAGTAAGAGGTGTTCACTACTGTCTAATAAAGTGCCCCGTCACAGCATGATACGCCCATCAAATATTGTTCAATAATCATAAATTGGTTAAAATATTGTACATATACATCTCTAAGAGACTTACAGTGTAGGGATTAATTAAAACAAATAATACATCATATAATTCTAAACTGGCTGTGTTACAGCTTAATAAATATCCATCTGCAGCTTTAAATTGTTTATTGCATATTTTATGAAATAATGGAAATGCTACAGTCTAATTAAAAAAAAAATCAAAAATTAATTATTCTTTAGACTATAAAATTCTAAGTGAGACATGACTGCAATTTGTTGCAAATATATAAAAATTGAAATGAAATTTTTTTTTCTCAATGAACACATTTTTAATTAATTTTAATTATATTATACAATACTAATTCAGTTTTAATCATACACTAAAACATCAATTTGTTTTAATTACATTACACCAATTGAAAGATCTTTATCTGAACTACAGTCATCAAGAACTCTTAAGTAACTATAAGGCCATTTCTTTTTGCCCAACTCCCAAGAGATAAATTAAGATAATACTGCATGATGCTCTTGCCAGTTAACTCCCGACAGTGAACTCATTAATTTCTCTCTAATTTGACATGCACATTTCTGCTATCAAAAATTCTCCTTGACCAGTGCTTGATAATTATGCCCATGGGACAAATGAATTCCTCTCAAATCATTAACATTTGTTACAGAATTTGCTATAAAGTATATGATGAAAAAATAAGTTTTTACTGAATTTAACATTTTTTAATAAGGATACAACTATATTTTTACATTCTTTAGGATTATGAAATTTAACATTTTAAAGACTTAGTTTTTTTTAAAATATCACTTAAATTAAAGGTCACAGTGACCTTGAAATAGGTCGTGACACATCGTCTACCCAAGATGCATAAATTGTCCAAGTTTGATGATTGTAAGCCTAATAGTTTTCTAGTTATGAGCCAAACAAAATCACAAAATAAAAAAGAAAAAATGCCTGTAAAATGCAGAAAAATCATCCAATCACTATGAAAATCCCAGGTGCACACCTTCATATGGTGAATAATAAGTGTATAAATTTTCAGACAAATTCCAAGAGTTTCTGAGAAATGGTCCGGACAAAATCTTGTCTGACAGACGGACAGACGGACATGGTGATTCCAATATACCCCCCTAAACTTATAGGTCGTGACACATCGTCTACCCAAGATGCATAAATTGTCCAAGTTTGATGATTGTAAGCCTAATAGTTTTCTAGTTATGAGCCAAACAAAATCACAAAATAAAAAGGAAAAAATGCCTGTAAAATGCAGAAAAATCATCCAATCATGATGAAAATCCCAGGTGCACACCTTCATATGGTGAATAATAAGTGTATAAATTTTCAGACAAATCCATCCAAGAGTTTCTGAGAAATGGTCCGGACAAAATCTTGTCTACAGACAGACGGACAGACGGACATGGTGATTCCAATATACCCCCCTAAACTTATAGGTCGTGACACATCGTCTACCCAAGATGCATAAATTGTCCAAGTTTGATGATTGTAAGCCTAATAGTTTTCTAGTTATGAGCCAAACAAAATCACAAAATAAAAAAGAAAAAATGCCTGTAAAATGCAGAAAAATCATCCAATCATGATGAAAATCCCAGGTGCACATTCATATGGTGAATAATAAGTGTATAAATTTTCAGACAAATCCATCAAGACTGAGAAATGGTCCGGACAAAATCTTGTTACAGACAGACGGACAGACGGACATGGTGACAATATACCCCGCTAAACTTATAGGTCGTGACACATCGTCTACCCAAGATGCATAAATTGTCCAAGTTTGATGATTGTAAGCCTAATAGTTTTCTAGTTATGAGCCAAACAAAATCACAAAATAAAAAAGAAAAAATGCCTGTATGCAGTGGAAATCATCCAATCATGATGAAAATCCCAGGTGCACACCTTCATATGGTGAATAATAAGTGTATAAATTTTCAGACAAATCCATCCAAGAGTTTCTGAGAAATGGACCGGACAAAATCTTTGACAGAATACGGACAGACGGACATGGTGATTCCAATATACCCCCCTAAACTTATAGGTCGTGACACATCGTCTACCCAAGATGGATAAATTGTCCAAGTTTGATGATTGTAAGCCTAATAGTTTTCTAGTTATGAGCCAAACAAAATCACAAAATAAAAAAGAAAAAATGTAAAATGCAGAAAAATCATCCAATCATGATGAAAATCCCAGGTGCACACCTTCATATGGTGAATAATAAGTGTATAAATTTTCAGACAAATCCATCTAACAGTTTCTGAGAAAAGGTCCGGACAAAATCTTGTATACAGACAGACGGACAACGGACATGGTGATTCCAATATACCCCCCTAAACTTCGTTTGCGGGGGTATAAAAATTTCATTCTGATGCATGTCATTTTATATTAAATAACTTTTAAATCATTTAATGCTCTAAAGTACATTTATGCAACCCCTCCCCCAAAAAGGGGGGGGGGGCTTTAAAAAATGCAGGTCATATGTATGAGACAATTTTTTAAAAGCAGGAAAATATGTAGTATATATGATAAACAAACAATATCATATCAACAAATATCAGTACTAAAGGCTAAGAAAAGTGGCAAGAAAAAAGGAGATTGAATTTGATTTCTATATAAATTATAAAAACCCTCTACTTTAAAACAATTCTCTGATGAGAAAATAGAGCATCTAATATATATATATATATATATATATTACTTTTTGCAAGTTCACAGTTAAATGTATGTCTATGATACAATGCATTGTACATTCTTAAACATATACATGTACATGCTCTAAAGAAAATGTAGAATGATGGCTTTTAGAAAATATTAGGAATTTAAAGTGTTAAAAGTTATACCATGTCACGAATTCAAAATCCAGGTACTCCCTGAACAAAGAGAGATGTAGAAGATGAAAGGTGGTTTCCTCAGGGGTGGCAGGTCTATAAATATAGAACAAAAAGTTACAAAAAATATACAATCACAAAAGATCTATATTTGTAAACAGAACAGGGGTTTAACATTAGTAAAACAAATAATCTTATCTACACACATTCTGAAAAGTTTTTTAATGGTAGACAAACTGTTTGTTTTTCTTTCCTCCAAATCTGACTTCTTCTCTCAACAGTGAGAAATGTGGCTCATGTGTGGCCAACCCTAGCATCATCTGTAGAAAATCATAATATTGCTGTTAAATTCATTGAACAGGGCTCTTTATATGTTTTTCTTTTCCTTATGGAATTTTAATAATATATAAGAATAGCTATAAATTTTTTTATTCATTTAATAATTCCATACAGACAGTGTCGGGTATTTGGGTCGTAGCCAGGTTTAGATTTCTGACATCTGATGAAGTCCATAACCTTGTGTTCCCCCTCTCCTGGAGTCTGAAACAAATAACAACTTACTGGGATTCAAGTTAAGTAACAAATAACAACTTACTGGGCATCAAGTTGAGTGATGTACATTTAATTGCTCAAAAAAAAATTCATATCTAAATTTTACCCAAATATATAAAATTTACGCAATTTTTCTTTGTTTTATTTTAATTATTTATTCACTTTTTTTTTTTTTTTTGATTGGGGGGGGGGGGGTTATGAATCAATACCTACCTCATGTCCGAGAAATACACATTCACTCCATGCCACAAAGGATCACTGGAGACTTTACTGGTGACAAAATACTTCAGCTGTTCCTGTAGCTTTACCATGAACTCTGTACCTGTTACAGATAGAATACATATACTGTACAGTGGCTCATTGTACAAAAAATGATGCAACAAATTATTTTTATTTGCTTGTCACTACTTCAATACTTCGCTACTTATTTGATTGTCCCTACTTGATTTTGAAAACATCCAAAAATATATATAATGATAAAGAAGCTATATATCACATTTAACACAAACATGTATAGGTAAAACTTGGTTATACATGTACTTGTAATTAAGTCACTTAGAAGAATGCAAATACTTCACTATATCTGTAATTTGTTATATCATTAAAAATTTGTAAAGCCTTTTTAAATTAAAAATTTATCTGCGGTTGTATTAAACTAGTTTTACTGTATATTCAAAGAAAAGTAATGCCCCATGTGGAAAATAAATACTTAAAATTATGTTCCTGTTGGAGTGATGCTAAAATCACGTTGTTTAATGTGTAGGGGGGGGCTTTTTTCTCCAGGAGCTAGCCCCGAGCTTAGATCTGGAAAATCAAATGACAAATTAGATGGAAATTGCCATATACATTTCACCAAAATCATAGAGTACCAATTAAATAAATTGGGCAAAAAGAAAAAAAATAATCTGACAAACAAAAGAAATGAAACATTAAAAGTAACGACTAACATCTTGATTCACACATTTTGAAGTTCTCTAAACAAATATTTCAAATCTGTATTGTTAGCAACACATGCATTTAAAGTCATTGCAAGATTTGGGCCTTACATGCTTTTACTATAATTTTATTAATATATAAGAATACAATTATTATATAATAATTTGGATTGAAATAATGTCTAAGCATTTTTGCTTTTAATATTAATTTTATAAATATATAAGTAGTATTGAATATAAATAATTTGGATTGAAATGAATATTAAGCATTTTTGCCCTTGTGTACGTTACCTAAATCGTCTTCCTCTCTGTTGGTTCATTTTGGCTCTTGGTGCCACTCCATCTATCGCCATGAAAAATACTTTCCTAGGTTTAATGATTCGGAACAAAAACTACAAAGAAATGACATAATATGTTTATTTTTATATAATAATTCTATAATTCAACATACACACTATGAAATTTTGCAAACAATAAGATTTTGTATGCCATTACTCGAACTAAGACAGTTGATTATAAAAGAAGAAAATCTGGGAAATTGATATGGTTCTTAAATGTTTGTTAAGTAAATACAGTACACATGTACATTGCAGTGACTGCATTTTTCACTAATTGTATTTATGATGTGAATGAGAGTTAGGTTAATAAAAAGTCATTGTATAAAGATTTTTACACAAAAAATATTATGATGTACCTCTAAGTAATGAAAGATATCTTTAAAGATTTTCTCCTCTGTGATTCTGAAGTGAGGGTTGTCATCCTCTGGATGTGAACAAACATGAATGATTCCATTCATGTCCAAATACAAGTTGTCAAATTCAGGAATCTGTCCAAATATAGAAAACATTCCAGTTTACTGCATTCATTTACATTTTGGTATGCATTATATCAACTAAAGAGAAAAATGTACAATAAGACTTGAGCATCTTGCAAGACTAGCATTGCTTCAGTCATCATCCTACAACCATTTGTATGATTTAACCCTTAGGCTGTAATAAAAATATTCCTAGATTCTCATCTGCCACATTTTTTACCTCCTGCCTCTATTTTTATTTTTCTTCGTCTTCATTTTGATCAGGATCGGTATTCAACTACTGCAAAAGTTGACATGATTTTGACAGCTGAAATATGGTAATTGCTGTAATATACAAGGGTCATTGGTTGTGAAAGATTAGTGATGATGTCTAGTAAGAGATAAATGTGACTACTATGACTGTTTTTTGGGTATTATAGATAAATCTGCACCAATTGACCAGTAAAACGAGCCTGCCTTGATTTAAAAAAAAATTGGATGAGAATCTATGAATCTTTTTATTATGGCCTTAGAAACATGGAAATAAGATATCTGCATTCATCAAATGTCCTAATAATTTCTGGAAAATACAATATCAAATGTGAAAGTTAAATACATTTCCTGGTAACAATAAATAGACATAGATTATCCCTGTCTGATAACAAATTATATATATGATCTATGTAAACACTAAACAGACACAATTTATATATTATTCTTTATAAATTTTATCCTTTACAACTGATTTTCATGCATTAAATAACTACATATTTACATATAGTTATTAGCTTTTTGTTGAAAGCCGGGAAACATTTTAAAATATGGAGAAAAAAAATTATTACAATATTTTTACCTGGAATTCCTTAACGGTTTCACTGAGACACGGGTATCTTTCGCTAACCCATCTATAGAATTTTGGTACACCCATAATGATGACGTTAAGTGAGAAAGCATAAAGAATTTTTCAATATTCTTTGTAAAATATGTGTCAAGTTGTGAAACACATACAATTTTTCTTCACCGGAACTAGTATCTATTATGTAGCTTCTTTATCTCTTTAAAGCTGAAGAGTTCCACTTTAAGTACACGACAACTTCCCTCTCCATAATCAACTTCTCGGCTGGCATTTTCAGTCTCTGCATTATCATAAAATGGACCTTACACAATTCCTCCCCGAGAAATTTAAGAAGATTCCCTGTCATATGGTAGTTTATTAAAACTGTTTGTTCGATCTGTCGTAAGGAATTAAATATCGTTTATCGAGAAATTTAATTCCATATGTTAGCGTCAGAATTTCCTCAGTAATTTTGTAATGCATCTTTAACTTGAATTTAAAGTATTTTAAATTCTTTTAATGACTTATATTTTCTTTTACAATATTTATTGTCTTAATGTGTTCCAGGACTATGAAGGACAGAAACGCGCAGAACAGTTATTTCAAGTCATCATTGTCTTGTTTGGGGTATGTGTATTATGTTTTACCAGGTCTGGAACAATCTCTTGATTAAGCCAGATAGCTTTATTTAGCCATTTTTTCCTAATTTTTACTAAATGTGTTATTTTTCAGCATTTACAAAAAGTTGCACCTTGGTGAAGTGATAATAATATGAACGCTTTTGAATACGAAGCATGTAAAAATCATTAATCAAATTGCTCCTCTTCAAAAGACTTTGTATGCAATAGGGCTGTATCAATATATTGATACGTATTGATATTCAAGAATCATATTGTATCGAAAAATAACTTCCAATATGTATCGGGTAGGCATTATTCTTCTAATTCTGTGAAAAAAGATGTGAATTTTAATCACTAACATTATACTTAACTTTTTAAAATTAAAACTGACCAATAAAATATAATCATTAAGGACATAGTACAACTTATCAAGGCCGTAACTAGGCTCAAATTTTTAGTGAGGCAAGGGTGCTGGGCATTCCTAGTCCCAGACGGGGCAAGGGTAGTATCTGATGGCCAGTGATGGTGGGTCCAGGGAGAGGGGGTCCAGAAACCTGGGTGTTAGGAAATAAAAAAAATGATCTAAAAAAGTTGTTTCTTACGTTTTGAATTGTCCGCATGGAGTGGTTGGAGCGTATGCTCTAGAGTCGCAGACTTAGGAGTCGATCCTGACATCGCGGGTTCAAACCCCACTGTGGGATGTAGGTATACCGGTCCTTCGGATGAGACTGTAAAAACCGAGGTCCTATGTCATAGTAAGTGATGTCACAAACAAAATCTCTCACTGTTCAAACATCTTCAGTGACCTGAAAGCCCAGTACATATTTAAAACTTGCAGCCCTCCACCGGCAAGTACTTGTAGTGGTGTCTCAATATGAATGAGGAATTCTTAGAAGGGATCTTTAACAATCAAACAATTTATAGAACAAACATTTTGAATTATATTTTACATGCATTCTAAATGAAAATGAGGCATCTGGTGAGATGAATGATTTACAGAAATTGAAACAAAAGTTAAAAATATTAATTCAGCACGACGAAACACACAATTCATAACTTCAATTTAAAAACTTTTTTCACTTTTTAGAAAACTCTAAAAATTTAGTGAGGCATTTGCCTCACTTGCCTCAATGGTAGTTACGGCCTTGCTTATATGATTAGACTAAATACATAGAAAATTTTATTTTAACATGCTGATTTTTCAGTCATTAAAAGTTTTAATTTGAAGTGTTATTTGTAATAGCATTGAGGCAAGAACTTTGAAATGGATTATAAAACACTTAGTTTTTATGAATTTCATGCATTAAATAAGACTTTTTTGAAGGACTTGTTTAAGCATATCGCTTTAAAAAATATTGTATGGTATCAAAATTTTTTGCTCAATTCACAGCCCTAGTACTCAAAGTTTTAAAAGTTTTTAGCTATTGATGAGTGACTACACAGTTACTCTTTAATGAAAATATGAAGGAGGGCAGTTATGGTCAATAGAATAATTAATATTACTTTGTTACCAACTGATCCAGGAAACATATAAGTACTTCAACTTTCATTTATTTTGTATTTTTCCAGAAGAATAAAGAAGTTCTCTACACTTTGTAGTTAGAAACAAAATGAAACACTGATCTTGAATTGTCTCACTGTCGATGTTAGTAGATGTAGATGTAAGTTTTGGTTTAGAAATAAATTTCAGTCCTAGTTTTATTGTACAAACTGTACTGCTAAACTGAGAAATTGTTTAACAATTATTAATAGTGAATTTTTGTCTGTACAGGTTGTAGGATTTATATGGGGATACATCTGCCAGCAGTTTTCTCAAACAATGTACATCTTATTGGCTGGATTTGCTCTATCATGCATTGTAAGTAGTAGCCATTTTCTTCTTTGTATATACATGTACTATATGATATACTGAGTAGTACAAGTTATTCAAAATTTATTCTATTTTATATCATTTCGTGTTCAAACTTTAGGCCTGTCAATCAACCTGATACCTAAACAGATGTACGGGAGGATTAATAAATTTTAAATTCAGTCTGTCCTTTCTGTCAGTAGTAAAATAAGTTTAGTAACTTTCCTAACATATTTCTGATGTTATTTCAATTTCTTCATTTCAACTGAATTAAGTCAGAAAGAAAAAGAGCTCTTATATTAAATGTGCAATATAAAAGGAAGTTTTACATGTAATACTGTACAGACACCTAGCAGAGAGTATGCAACTAAAAATGTTAATCAGCAGCCGGAAACAAGTTTACATTTTATCTGTCACCAGTAAAACAGACAAATCTGGTACAGGATCATTAACTTTATAGGGTAACCAATCCTTCAGAATTTTGAGTTAAAATACGCAGTGATGAAAACTGGATGTACATGTATCAAGATTAAACTCTTCCTTGAAGTTGTCTCCTGGAAATAAAAAAAAATTGTTTTTTACTGTTTTTGCAACAATTTTTTCTTAATTTGTCATTTTAGTTGACTTTACCTCCTTGGCCAATGTTTAGAAGAAAACCACTACAATGGCAGAAAGCACGACCCGAACCTGCAGAGGATTCTGGGAAGGATTCTACTTCATCGTCCTCACAGAGTTCACAAAAATCAAAGAAAAAGAAGTAGAGATCTGCAGAGTCTATTTCAGTGGGTGTTGTGGTGCTAAATGTTTCTGATGTGACTGACTGATGACTTTAAGATTCAGATTAATTTTGCTTCATATGTCATTTCCATGACTTTTTATCATGATAATTATGGGGGGGGGGGGGGTCTTGCATTTTTTTAATTCAAGCTCTACTCTGCACTCTGCAGCAACTCTCATTCATAAAGACAAAGTTCAACTTGGTTCAATAGAGAACTCAACAAGGGTCTGGATGTTTGCAAGGAAAAATAGGTGCAATATCATTATATGTTTCATTTTTTGTGTTGATCTGAGAAAGTACTGTAAATAAAAAAGAATGTGTCTCTCTTTTTTTTATGATATTAATCAGGTTGGAGAGATTACTCAAAATTGGGTATCAGCTGTGAGATTGTATATAATACCCCCTATATTGGCTACTGCTGAATCTGTGAAATCGCATATAGGCAGTGCAGTCCACTTACCCGATACATACATATAAAGTTTAGCAACGTAATGGCACATTTTGCTACTTTTTTCATCTGAGACAAATGTATTGCAAAAATATTAGTTGTCATGGAAGGGTTTCCAGGTTTTAGAAAAGTGCACTTAGCAACAAATATTCTCGCAGAGCCTAGTATGTTTTACATTCTGTCCCCAAATAGGCCTTTTTAAGTGGTGTATTCTCCTTTATATTTTCTAAAATGCTAAAAGAATTTCCAATACCCAGTGTTCAATTTATTAATTCATCAGACAAGAACCATTTGTAAATGCCATTTATATATGCACACAATGTGATAGGTACAATTTATCAGAAGAGCCAGTCAGGGCCCTTGGGTCTTTTGTTTTACTATATATTCCTATGGGAAACTTTTATCCCACATTGTGGCCCCTATACCCCTGGAGGTCACAACTTTAATATATTTGAATCTACACTATGTATTGAAGAGTTTAAATAAGTTTCAACTTTGGCCAAGTGGCTCTTGAAATTTTTTTTTAAAGATACCACGGAAATTTCAGTAATTCTTAATTAATTCCCCTTGATAGAGGGCATGCCTCTTCAACTGAAAATAAATTGGAATCTCCTCTACCAAAGGATGTTTTGTTGCAAATTTGGTTGAAATAAATGGAAAGGAGAAAATGTATGACTGGACCGGAAATAGAACCTGGGACCCCTGTATCTCCAGTCAGGTGCTCTACCAACTGAGCTATCCAGGCCGATATCCATGGCCCAAACCATTACATTCCTCCCTCCTTAAATGGTCTTCGCCCTCGAAGACACAACCCAAGTTTTTATTGCCCCAGGCAGGAATTTTGCCTGCAATTCCAGGGGTGGTCAATGGCACCAAATCTGTAACAGGAAAGGAGAAAATGTATGGCTGGACCGGGAATCGAACCCAGGACCCCTGTATCTCCAGTCAGGTGCTCTACCAACTGAGCTATCCAGGCCGATATCCACGGCCCAAACCATTACATAAACCCAGTGGCTCTGGAAAATGTGAGCTAATAAAGCATTATGGAAAGAAGAAATATATGGTTTATGCATAGAGCATTGGATACGACAGGAATTACCAGGTATTCGTGATTTTGGGGGTTCTAGTCAGGTGATTTGAATCTAATCTGAATGTTCAAATTTGACAAAATCCCAAACTTTAACAAAAAACATTCTTCACTGTAACTCTTTTATTTACACATTAACATTATAAATTACAAACAACTGATGAACAGTTTCATGCAAAAAACAAAATACATGTACCAACATTCAAGCCATTTATGTTAGACAAAACACATTAAGACACATGTATGTATCTTCATTTAATCGAGATTGATGAATCAGTAGTTTATTTTCTTCATACATGTGCTGAACAATATTTTGTCAGCATTAAACTGATGATTTGTTTAGGGAAAAAGATTAAAATGATAACACATCATGACAAGAGGCCCAGGGGCCACATCGCTCACCTGAGCTAGGAAAAAGAACAAATCAGATCCGAATTGAAAAGATTACTGAGGGGGTGGGGGGGAGGGGCTTGAATTCTAATACTACTTCAGAATGCCTCCATATCAATACTGCATATAACTTCTTAAGATAGTTCTTGAGAAAAAGATTTTTTAAGATTTTTTTTTCAAGATTTTGTTTGTATATATTACTTTTAATAATTGGAATTTGACTCCCCATTGTTTCCCTCCCTACCCCCATTGTGGCCCCATCCTATCTCTGGAGGTTATGATTTAAACAAACTAGTATCTACATTACCTGAGGATGCTTCCATATGAATATCACTAATCACGGCTTTGCAGTACTTGAGAATCAAAATTTTTAAAGATTTCCCTATATATTTCTATGTAAAACTTTGATCGGCCATGGTGGTCCCACCGTACCCCCGGGGGTCATGATTGGAACAAACTTGAATGTACACTACCTGAGTATGATTCAACATGAGTTTCATCTTTCCTGTCCCAATGGTTCCTGAGAAGAAGATTTTTAAAGATTTTTCCTATATATTCCTATGTAAAACTTTGATCCGCCATTGTGGCCCCACCCTACCCCCGGGGGTCATGATTGGAACAAACTTGAATGTACACTACCTGAGGATGATTCAACATGAGTTTCATTTTTTCTGTTCTGATGGTTCTTGAGAAAAAGATTTTTAAGGATTTTCACTATATATTCCTATGTAAAACTTTGATCCGCCATTGTGGCCCACCCTACCCCCAGGGGTCATGATTTGAACAAGCTTGAATGTTCACTTTCTGAGGATGATTTAACATAAAAGTATCATCTTTCCTATCCCTATGGATCTTGAGAAGAAGATTTTTAAACATTTTTCCTATATATTCCTTTGTAAAACTTTGATTGGCCATTGTGGCCCCACCCTACACTACCTGAGGATAATTCAACATGAGTTTCATCTTTCCTGTCCCAATGGTTCCTGAGAAGAAGGTTTTTAAAGATTTTTCCTATATATTCCTATGTAAAACTTTGATCGGCCATTGTGGCCCCACCCTACCCCCCGGGGGTCATGACTGGAACAAATTTGAATCTACACTACCTGAGAATGATTTAACAAAAGTTTCATCTTTCCTGTCCTTATGGATCTTGAGAAGAAGATTTTTAAAGATTTTTCCTATATATTTCTATATAAAACTTTGATCAGCCATTGCAGCCCCACCCTACCCCCAGGGGTCATGATTGGGAAAAAATTGAATGTACACTACCTTAGGATGATTCAACATGAGTTTCATCTTTCCTGGCCCAATGGTTCTTGAGAAGAAGATTTTATAAGAATGCCATTAATTTTTCACTAATTCATAATTATCTCACCTTGGAAGAGGGCATGGCCCTTCATTTGAACAAACTTGAATCCCCTTTACCCAAGGATACTTTGTAGCAAGTTTGGTTGAAATTGGTCCAGTGGTTCTTGAGAAGAAGATGAAAATGCGAAAAGTTTACGACAACGACGATGACAACGACAGGCAACGGACAAATTTTGATTAGAAAAGCTCACTTGAGCCTTCGGCTCAGGTGAGTTAAAAATGACAGCAAACTTTGTTTGGATGCAACTTCAAATTGGGGTGGGGGGGGGTGTTCTTATTAAACAAACAATCTCTTGATAAACATAATACATGCACATGTTTTTTAATGATTTAATCAATGCTGTTGAAAACAGACACTGGACTAGTTTATCTTGTGAACTTAATACAAAGTCTACCATATATAAACAACCTGGTCAAAATCAATAAAGATCATACAAGGGAATGTAAATTCATGGGTAAAGCTAACCACAAAATCCACATACTGGCTTTTCAAGAAAAACGATGATTCCACGGTAGTTTTGTAGAGGGACTCTAAACTTAAATTCAGAGAATAAAAAACCTCAGAGATCTATCAGATCATATCAAACAACCAGTTTTAAAAATGTAAAGATTAAGATATTTTAAAATATAAAACATTGAAATCTCTGGATATTTATGCATAGAATCACAAGTTAGATCAAATATCTATAAGTGTCAAATAATGATATTAATTTATCATGTAATTTTGTTCAGAATGTAATGATACCTCACTAAAATTCCATCAAAACATAAAATGTCACCAGACTTTCAACAAAACACAATTTTACACTGCATATTATAAGCAACATTTGAAACTTAAATTTTTTGAAGTTTAAAACAGTAAATTTCCACAAAACAAATGCATTCCTTAAAATATCTGCACATAATATAAGTATGACTATTCAAAATATCAAATTAGGGATAGATTAGCATTGCAAACCACTCGGAGCTCCTCGGATGGCTCATACCTCGCACACTAACCTCGGACGTCAAAGGTATTCTACCATCTTGCTGATTCAGTAATGTGATCTTATTTGAATTTCATTCAAATGTTATACTGTAACATTTGAAATCTGAGTTACTTTGTGGCACACCAAAAACTATGTTCCTTCTTTTATAGACTACTAACATATGGTTGTACTTAATTAAAAGCAATATCGTACAATGAAGAATTAAGTTAAAAAACATTTTTGAAGAACTTTATGCAGAGCAAAATATGAAATGAGTGACAAGGCAGTTTCCGGTGGGGAGATGTATCAACCTGATGCGTATTCCTCCACCTATTACATCCGAGGTTTGAATGGAGTTTGGTAGAGTCAGCCAAGGAATGCCGATCGATTGCAGACCTTACATTAATACACTTTTACATGTTGCTCAAAACACATAATACATACATAAATGTAATCTATTGACATAATCACATAATATTGCACCATTTAAATCAGTGTATTTAAGGATAATCAACACAAACTTTTTATTTTCAGAAATCAGCGATTTTTCTCAGATTTAGATTCCAATAGGTATCCTGAATGATGTTTGATTGGTTTGTGAGAGAATTTTGTTGGATTTTTTCACAGTGTTAAAATGTATCTATAGAATTACACAGAAAATGACACAAGGTTGCATATTTAAGCCTACAATCTTTTTATTTTAGGAATTTATTAATTATGTCATTTGTATTCAAAATCAGTCAAAAAAGAAAAGGGGTATCGGTCCATGAATTAAATTTTTGTTTGTGTTATATGTATCCTCAAATCATGAATAATGACTACTTGATTTAGTTTAGATCTTCATTTACTTTAGATATACTTATCCCAACTCAAGCATGCATTGGGTGTCCTGAAAATTAAAAAAAAAAGAAAGCCAAATTAAAGCACCCATGTAAAACTTAAAGTTATGCAAAATAAAATGGGAAAAAACAAATGAAAGCAAAAGTCAGCTCGTCTGGTGTACTTGATATATCATAGTAAGTACATGTATAGTGAGCAAACATAATATTTTAAAGTTGTCCCAATAAACATAAATATATATCTTAGTATAGTCTACTTGTGTACAAAGTCATATGCAAATGCAACTGTGTAAAATGCATTTTGATTGGCTAATGTACTTATGTTTGAAGCAGTGAATCGATATAGCATTAACAAGAGTGAAAAGCTTTTCGTTTTGATGTCATCACAATGTCATAATGGAGACAAAAAAACAGAGCGTTCAATGACACATATATAACTAAACTCAACTAACTTAGATGTTTACATTTTACATGAAACAAAATGCATAAATTGCATTAGAATAGAAATGACTAGGCATCTTTTAGTTTGATATTTGTGACTGCATTGAAAATTGTTAACAGATTGACAGACAGACAAACACCTTTCTATTGCATAATTTCCTCTTGTCTTGAGCCAAAACAGAATGAAAACATTGAATATCGAAGAAATTGAGGAGAAAATGCATGCATGTATATTGACAAGAGGCCCATGGGCCACAATGCTCACCAGAATAACTTTGGCCCTGCTGTTCTGCATTAGATTTGCCCCCCCCCCCCAATATACATGTTCTATATGTTCCTGTATTCCTCTGATATTTTTTATCACTCTTTGTAGTCCAATTCTGTACACAGGGGCCCCGATATGAACACAAATGCTTCTAAACTACCACAGGATGCCTCCACATTAATATGATTCATCATTGATTTGCTCTGCAGATATTTTAAAGATTTCCCCTATTTATTCCCTATTGTGACCCCATCAGCCCCCTACTGGCCATAATGTACACAATTTACAATTTCTCCTACCCCAAGAAGCCTTTACAAAAGTTTCAGCTTTTCTTACCTAGTGGTTCTTGAAAAAAAGATTTTTTTAAAGACCTCACCCTATTTTGTCTTTTCTTGATTATCTCCCCTTGTAAAAGAGCTTGACACAATTTCTCCTACCCCAGGAAGCCTTTACAAAAGTTTTAGCTTTTCTCACCCATTGGTTCTTGAAAATAAGATTTTTTTAAAGACCTCACCCTATTTTGTCTTTTTTTGATGATCTCCCCTTGTAAAAGAGCTCGACACTTCCTTTAAATAATAACTCTTCACCCAGGGATGCTTTGTACCAACTCTGGTTAGAATTGGCTCTAGTTCTTGAGAAGAAGATGTGAAAAGTTTATAGAAGGCCAGACAGACAATGGGTGATCAGAAAAATACATATCAATGTTCCAGATATTAATGAAGTTTGCATACTTGTAATTTATTAAAAAAAAAGGTCATCTACAACATTACTAAAAGCAACAGATAAATACTGTTGGTGGATACAGAGCAACTGTCATTGTTTTAACAAATCAGAAGGCCTTTACAAGCTGACCAGCACAAAAGCTCTACAATCTTGTTTTTGCTAGCAACATGAACTTGAAGTGACAATATTTTAGGGGACATTGTTCCAAAACATTAGAAAAATTTTTGATGGATGTGAAATACAGGAATGGGTTTATACTGTATATATATACATGTATCTATTCTACAGAAATTCCAAAACTAACTGCATTGAAACTGAAAGAGTAATAGACTTATGCTACTATCTGCAGCTGTACAATCCATAGATTCTTGCAGTGTTTTTTGTATTTTGAACTTTGGACACTTTTTACCAAGTTCCTTTCAGCAAATTATTTCTTTCAGAGTCAAAATTTCACTGAATTATCATTAGACTATCATTTGTGAAGAATTAAAGGGCATTTACACTGATAATTGTAAAAACAAGAAACCAGTACTTCGATGTTATGAGCAGACTAGCTCTAGATACAGAGGCTACTAAAGGGAGTGGGCTTATGTTAAAACTAGTGGCATTACCTGATTCCGTGGTCTTCTTCTCTTCAGGAATTCCAAATATCTTTTCTTTAGTCTTATAAGGGGATTCATCGTATTGAAACACTTGTCCTAAAATAATATTCAGAGCAGCCACATCATACTTGTGGCAGCCTCTATATAGGTATAGAGGCTTCCTGTCCGTGCACCCCGTGTTTGAGGCCCCCACGGGGTTCAGGCAGTCACTAGACAGGGCACACTTTACCCACGGCAGCATCACCTTGCTGTGTAGTTTTTCTGTGTTGTGCAGAATCAGGGGGTTAGCTTGGGCCGTTTCCAGGAAGTAATACTGGTCAGCTGACGCTTTGAAGTATTTATACATTTTGTCGTAGGTTATGGTTGACACGGGGTCCTTACTTGTCCAGGCCACAATCCCATTCTCCTGAGCTTTCTTTAGAAGAGGCCTAATGTCTCCAGATATAAAACTGTATCCTGAAGGTTCCACCCATATCACTGTTCCATTGTCATTTAAAATTTCCTGAAGAAAAGTTCATCTTACTTAGACCATGATTCATTCAGTTTGAGAGATCATAGCTTAATAGGCTAACAATTCTTATCTAATTCAGCTCTGACAGACATATTGCTTAGAACTATTACATGTACAGGTAAACTGACTTTCCTCAGAAAGTAATAGTTCTTAATAAAGGAACCAAATTTCAGGCCTTCCAAAATCTGTTTGTACCCAGCACTTACCATGCTTTAATCATAAAAAATTATCCAATAATAATTTAATTTGTATGAGAACTAACACATAGCTAATTAACGAGAAATCTTCCTGTGAGAAAACTGACCCATATCTCAGATGTCTGAGATGTCTCATAGATAACTTGCTGAGATCAAGTTAATCTGTGTAAGAACTGCCCTGTAGCTGAGTATTGAGATGTTTGTTAGATGGCCCATTAAGTTAAGGTTATTCTCACCGGCCTGTAGCTGAGTATCGAGATGTTTGTTAGATGGCCCATTAAGTTAATTAAGGTTATTCTCACCGGCCTGTAGCTGAGTATCGAGATGTTTGTTAGATGGCCCATTAAGTTAATTAAGGTTATTCTCACCGGCCTGTAGCTGAGCATCGAGATGTTTGTTACATTAATATTCTCACCTGTAAAAGCACTGGTCTGTAGCTGGGTATGGAGAGGTCTCTAAGATGAGATGGATATTTTTCAAATTCAAATGTCTTTACTGTACATGAAGAAGTTTTGTTGCAATGAACAGTCAACTGTAATACAGTGGAAAAAAACAAAGAATTTTCAAAATCAAGATATGTAGCGACATATACTGTAGCCAGTAGGTGGCAGGTGGCCACCAAAAAATTATCTGGCAGCCGAGAGAAAGTAAACTGGCAGCTGCCATATAATTTCCTGGTAGCTGCCAAATAAAAAGATCTGGTCTTTGCCGCATAAATAAATATCTGGCAACCATCAAAAAATTATCTAGCCACTGCAAAATAATTATCTGGTGGTTGCCAGAAATTATATGGTGGAATCAAGATAACTCTCTGGTGGCTGCTAGAAAATTGTATGGCACCTGCCAAATATGAATTATCTGGCAGGTGCCAAAAATTATTTGGTGGGTGCCAGAAATGTTATCTGACATTATCTGACGTTATCTGACAGCTAGAAAATTATTTGATGGCTCCCAGATAAATTGGCAGGGCAACAGTAATTTTTCTGGTGACCATTATTTGGGGGCTGCCACAAACTCATCTGCTAGCCATCAGATAAAATAGTTTTTCTACCTGGCATTTATGTACTTTTGTATATATAAAAATTAACATGGCCTAATACATTTATGAAAGTGATTGCATCAGCTATTAGGAAAGATTTTCCATATTCTGAAATTAAAATGATTTCCATATATTTAAAATATACATTTTAAAATGTATTCATGATAGTTGAGTATACACGTACATGTAGTTACATATTTTTACAATTCTTTGACTCATATAAGCAGACTTCACAGTATCCAAAGAAGTAATTTACATGAAAACTTTGCAAAATATTAGAAGCAATGCATTTAACTAAACAAAGATATATTACATAAATTACTCATACCTTTAAATGTTTCTGGTAGCTGAGTCCTAGATCATATATTATAACAGGAACATCTGGTAGAAATTTGCCGGCTGATTTGACAAGTGCAATAACTTTATCTAAGGATTTTGGAAGAGCAGGTATAGCTATAACAGGCTTGTTGATTGTTGCATTAATCTTTTTAATTTTATCCTTGCTGAACTTCATTACATTTTCTGTATTAATGGGATCTACATCAAATCCAAGTTTATCCAACAACTTAAGGTCTACATGGAAATCCTCCTGATTTGAACTGCGAATGTTGCTTGGAATGTTTTTGAAATTGTTAATCTGTTTATGGGTTTGTGCAACAATTGTGTTAAAATTTGGTGTTGGATTACTTAGTAACCACAAAGACATGGAAGTTGCTCCCAAGAAGGCTAGCATAATATAAAAATTTTTGGTCTTCATCTTTTCCCTCAGACTAATGCTCTTCCACTTTTGGCACAAATTTTGAACAGCATCTAGCAACTCTTTCATCACATGTGTTCTGTGTTATCAGAAAGATAGAGGGTAAAAGACTTTACGTCCATGCATCAACAATAAAGCTTGGTTGAGAGTATCTGCTCTTTTGTCCAATCTTGGCTGTCATGTTTGCAGTTTTATTATCTACATATTGATGAACAGTCCTTTGAAACTATGTAGCATCTAAAACAGACAAAATAAATTTCTTCATTATTCAAGTAAGTTTTATGATATTTACACTTAAAATATTCAATGCTAGTTAGATACTTTATCTATCTGTTTTAGTCTTTTCTGTAAGTCAAAATTTTTCTTAAATAGAAAATATATAAACAGATAAGATATAACCTCATCATGAATAAACCCATCTTCGCTAGCCAAGGGTTTCTGATACGCTACTCTCCTCATAATTATAATGATTATGAGGAGAATAGCGAATCAGAAATTCCTGGCTAGCAAAGATGAAACAAACCTATCTGCAGAATAGTAGCTCTCCGAATGAAATATTTTGACAGACAGGAGAGATACAGTGCCATCCATTGTAAAAACTGTATATTTATTGTGCAAAAAAAGTTGTACTTAGTTCTGGATAAATTCTTCTAAATTCTTACCTCAATCATGAAAAAGATAGATTTAAAAAAATTCTTACTCCTCTATGAAGTTACTCTTGTAGTTGACATCTGCACAAAGTGTGTTGGACCGAATTATCTTGGCAGTATAAATAGATAAACTTTTCGATGATCTCAATTTCAGGGCCAGGAGGGTTATTAACAACAATTATAGCGAGCAAGTGAGTGTTGCGAAGTGACACTCATCACTGCGAGCTCTTAGAGCAACGCCTGGGTGAAGAGAAAATTTGGACTACTGCATATTCATTCATCAGAATTTTTTTCCTCAGTAACTCTGGACCCACAATGCATCACTTGTTAAAGCTAAGTTCTCACGAGAATAGCAGCAAAAGTTCAACTAAAAGTTGACACGCCCTGATTTAATGGATAAATATTGAAGATAAATAGTAAATGAAACGTTCTTCATACATACTTTCAGCACTGTTCAGGCTTCTTTTTGGTAATGTAACTTACATACGACGTCATGTGATGTCAGAGTCTTGACGCATTTAATTGGCACATTCGGCTTAAGAAGCCCGATCTAAATTATAACAAAAGAAATATCTACGCTCGCCATAATGGTCGCACTGTCAACATATTAAGGAATGTTCTGTTGTGTAAACAGTGAAAGAATATGTTAGGAACATACGGTTAGTAATTTTTTTAGATGACAGTTCAAAAACATGGAGAAATAAATCTAGAAACAGCGCTTTTTTTTGTGTGCAATAAATATACAGTTTTCTCAATGGGTGGCACTGTATCTCTCCGGTCTGTCAATATATTTTTTCAGAGACAGAGTTCTTGAAATCTTTTTTTCGCTGTCAGTCATTTGGACTTACTGCCATGTGAAGTTTGTCAGTCCAGACAAATTTCTATCAGTCCAAAAAAATCAATAAAAAGATGAAAACTGTATTTGAATTTTATTATCAATACATTGTGTACCCAGCGAAAATAAACACTGCACACTTCATGCTGATTTCATCGTCGTATAACAACTTTCATTGAATTCTCGTGGGGTCCATTTTCTTCATAAGTTTTTAATCTAGTTTGATTTTCTCACCTGGCTTAGCTCAGCTCCGTCAACAAACTAGTTTACCAATCATAGTTTGGAGTCTGCGTTCGTCGAAGAAGCCATTACAAGAAACAGAAAAGCGTTTGAAAGATTACGATCGCTCAGTTATAGGGAATTTGTACAAAATTTGGACGGATTGACGAAGTTCCTCTGTCAGCACTTATCGATCATTTGGACTGACAAAGAATGCAACGTTATCGGCCCTTGGTCATTTCTATCAGTTTTGCCGACAGGACCGAAAGATTTCAAGAACTCTGCGGAGAGCTACAGTTCTGCAGCTAGAATAAAGTTAAACCATGTTGATTTTTTAAATTTCTAATAAGCTGAATACATACATCATACAGAAGGCATTGCATATGCACCATTCTTCAATCAAATGCAGCTATGTATAAATGGTGCATAGTCTGCAAAATAATGACTAACACACTAGATGGCATTCATGAGTGTTCACCTCATTTCTGTTTACATTGAAAACTCCCCCAGTTCATTAAACATTACGAATGAAGAGCTTTAAAAATTAACAATCAAGTTCCATTGCCAAATAATCAAGAACAAATAAATTATTACCTTTAAAAAAGAACTTGTCTTATGATGTAGCTTCCAAACGGTCAAACCGGAAATGAAAATATGAAAGTAAAAGTATGAATGATCCGCAGGGAATTGGTATTTACGGCCACTGTGCAGACGATATTTTGCTCGGCTGGAAAACGGGCAATAAAATCTACAGGATAGGTGTAAGTAGATGGCACGAAATTTTAGAAATATATAAGCTATTTCATGTCCAAATATTTGATATTTTTTCCAATATCATTAAATGAGTAGTGCATTCCTTTTTCTGACAGTGACAGGGCACAAATGTCGTGTAGCAGCAAAATATGGATACAGTAGTTACTCTCCCTCCAGATCGGACAGCATAAAATAGCAAATAACGTGTTAAATTGATCTCTTTATACTGATCCATTTCAAGGTTGTAAATTATTTCATATTGAAACAGTTTTCTTCCCTAGATGTCTGTCTATCTGTCTGTTTACATAGGCGTCGGAACCGGGGGGGGGGGGGGGGGGGCGAGGGGGGGGTAGCCCCCCCCCCACTTTTTTTTGCAAATATATACATAATATAGGCATTGGAAATTGGGGTTTACCTTTTCTTGGTGGTTTAGCCCCCACTTTTAATTAGCCCCCCCCCTTTCAATTTGCTTCCGACACCTAGGGCCTATAGTTTAGATATATTGCTGACTTTGTCTGCAAAAACTTAAACTTTGTTCATAACTTTTTTGACTGAGAGGAGTGGTTTATTTCAGCAGTGTTTCACAAACTGTTTTTTTTTTTAAATTTTATCTTGTTTTATTTTAAAGAAAAGTCTTCTAATGAAACTGGTAGGGATGGGAGGGAGCACCCCTTCAAGTCCTTTCCTTAACCCCCTTGCTGAAATCTGGTGGACCTTGCATTTGATTGATTATATCATTATGCATTGACTTTTTAAAATCTTTATATATTTCACAGAAATGGAGGGAGAAATATTCGCATCTCCAATAGAACCCCTGTTTAATCATGAACATGCATTGGAGACAGATATTTTGCAAGACTGGTTGATAAATCTGGCAAAAAAGAATTTCAGGCACATCAATCAAGCACACTCTAAACAGGTATGCACAACTATATGTCACAGGGTGAATTATAATTAATTAATTAATATAATACTAATTATCATTCATATCATTTTCATATCTTATTATAAGGCATCATAATTTTATAGTTACTAGTGAATTCCGTCGTCACTACGGAATTTACTACGTTCATTCACTGCCTTATTCATTCATTCATTCATTTATACGGGTGAGTGGTCAGTGAGAGTATCCGAGTGTGTGAGTGGTTAAACTGGTTTTTTCTCTATCTCCTGCGCATTCGCGCCAATACTAACTTCTCGAGCACTCCAACCTTAGACTTTGGGGAGAGAAGACGCTCTCTCTCCCCAACACAAATTATCTTATGATATTGTGACAAATTCAGTCTAGGATTACGGTAAGAAATAATTGTTAAATTATTTCTTTGTCTATAATTATTCATTATCTATTTGATCATTTTATTTAACTGAAGTGATTTCTAAATTATCTAAATTCATAAGTTTAAATTATCCGCGTAAAAGTGTGAGTGAGGTGTGGAATATTAAATACATGTTTTATTATATTGCAGATCACCCTTTTTCTGATTACGTATAATATATTAAATAGTATTGAACCCAGCAGCCGTATTTGTGTTCATTTTTACAACTATAATACCTAGACTAGGCTGTGACAATGGCGCCCAACGTGGGGCCGTTGATGCATTTTTGAATTTAGACACTTCTGAGATATCTGATAAGCCAGTTAGTCATCAAACTTATGTTGACAAATTGAAGAAAAGATTAAATTTTGCGTATAATGTTGCAAAATCCAATGTTGAAAAGAACTCTTTAAGACATAAAGAGAACTATGATAACAGAGTTCGATTTTCAAAATTAGAAATCGGAGACAGAGTTCTAGTTCGTCTTTTAGCAAAGACTGGGAAATGCAAACTATCTGATAAATGGGAAAAAGATCCATATGTTGTATTAGATATTCCCAGTAGTGACATTCCTGTTTATAAAGTACAGAAGTCATCTGGCAAAGGACCAGTAAGATTACTTCATAGAAACTTACTGTTACCTTTTATGTTCTTGTCAGATGACGACTGTCTTTCAGATAACAAGACCAAGAAAAGTAAAATCAGTAAACAAAAACATACTGTTTCTGCAGAAAGTGGAACAGATTCTGAATCAAGTGATTCTGAATCAGAGATATTACTGGTGACTACACCAGCAAATACAAATAAATGTAATAATGTTTATAACACTTCTCGTGTTAACCATAATACTCGTCTCAATAGTTCAGATGAACATATGAGATCAGATGGTTTTACATTTAACACATTTAATATGTCAGATTTTAGTAGACCTATATCAAGGTTAGAAGATACTTCTTCCGTTGACCCTGGATATCAAATTCAGGACAGTGGTTCTTTTAATTCAATATCGAGTACAAATTCATCCGAAATGCGTGATAATTTGTCGCGAGATTGTACATCGAGCCCGTCTACTATTCAGCAAGGTATAAGACGTTCCACTAGGGTTAAAAATCCTCCTGATAGATACGGACAATGGGTTATAGGTGAGCATGAGGCTCAAGTATGGTATGTCTAGGAGGAGAATGTCACAGGAAAAATCTTACAGAGATTACTTAGAGTTCAGATAGTTAGTTGTATATAGTTTTATGACGTTGTATTATTATAGTATATCTTAAGTTAGTAGTGCTAAGATGTACTGATATACTTGATAGTTTTATGACTTACGTGATCGTTAGTTGATCATAGTACTTATATTTTAAGATACATTATTAATCATGGATTGCTTTTCAGCTTAGCCATTCGTGATGCCAGTTTTATGACAATTATACATACATGAATTGATTGAATTATTTTGTATTTCAGCTTGTGCTAATACAAAAGGCTTTCTTTTCTGCTACAAAGCAGAAGATGTTGCAAAACATTAGAAATCATTTGTGTGTTGATATATTTTAATATTAATAATTGTTTTATTTCAGTTGATATATTTTGTACTCTATTATTTGATGAAATGTGAGGACACATTTTTCTCAAAGAGGAGGAGAATGTCACAGGGTGAATTATAATTAATTAATTAATATAATACTAATTATCATTCATATCATTTTCATATCTTATTATAAGGCATCATAATTTTATAGTTACTAGTGAATTCCGTCGTCACTACGGAATTTACTACGTTCATTCACTGCCTTATTCATTCATTCATTCATTTATACGGGTGAGTGGTCAGTGAGAGTATCCGAGTGTGTGAGTGGTTAAACTGGTTTTTTCTCTATCTCCTGCGCATTCGCGCCAATACTAACTTCTCGAGCACTCCAACCGTAGACTTTGGGGAGAGAAGACGCTCTCTCTTCCCAACACAAATTATCTTATGATATTGTGACAAATTCAGTCTAGGATTATGGTAAGAAATAATTGTTAAATTATTTCTTTGTCTATAATTATTCATTATCTATTTGATCATTTTATTTAACTGAAGTGATTTCTAAATTATCTAAATTCATAAGTTTAAATTATCCGCGTAAAAGTGTGAGTGAGGTGTGGAATATTAAATACATGTTTTATTATATTGCAGATCACCCTTTTTCTGATTACGTATAATATATTAAATAGTATTGAACCCAGCAGCCGTATTTGTGTTCATTTTTACAACTATAATACCTAGACTAGGCTGTGACATATACATGGAGGAAATTTAAAATTATAGACTTTATGATTGATATTTTTTGGTTACAAGTTATTTCATTCATGTTTGATTTCAATTTAAGGGCCTGTTCAAACAAGTGAATGTTGTGGAGACTATCATGTATGCTGCTGAAAAATTGAAAATAGCACAAGAAGCCAAATATCTTGCAATCGAGTTATTTGACAGGTATGGATACATATACAGTAAAACTTGTTTATTCTGGACAGCAATGATTCCATAAGAATTGGCTGAATTAAAAAATATTCGAGATTAGACTCCATTTTTTAAAAATTTGTATCAAGTAAAAAAGGACGTTAATATCATTATAGATCCTAGGGAGTTTTGGTATAAAATTACATTGAATGAGCTCATCTTCCCTGTTCACTGTAGTTATACCAAATGAATTTATTTTATAATCATATGGATTCATATTATTTACCCTGTGTCAATGTTGTTGATTTTCTTCTCTCAGATTTTTATACAATCACCTTCAAGATCTTCGTGATCATGTGTTAAAGTTGCCAAAAAAAAGACAAATGAAGGAATGGAATAGTCTTCAGGAGGGTGTGTCAAACCAGGTGTTGCTGCGCATCGTATCTTGTTGTCAGATAGCCAGCAAATTAACATCTCACTATAAGGTATAAAGGGTTTTTTTTCAAAAGAGAGAGTGAAGTTAGATGGTTAAGGGAATTTTTTACCCATTGCATTAAAATTACATTGTACTTTTATGTTACATAAAAGTCAAGAGTTAATTAACTCATAATTTACAGTTTCATGGACACAAAATGTGGTTAATGTAATTTTTCATATGAACACCAATTTGAAGGTTATGTAAATTTAAGTCATGATAATAATAAAGTAAAGGATACTTTTCATTTTAAGATTTTCACTGACATCACTGCCTGTCAGGCATTCTTATTTCAGGTTGTTTCCATCAACAGAGCCAAGAGATTTCTGTGTACCTGTGGCTATCGCTATGCCTCTGAAAGTCTACTTCAATCCGAGCTTAGAGTGCTAAAAACTCTGAAATTCCAAGTCACAGAACCAACACCTATTGTTTTTATAGAAACTCTACTTGAAATTTTAGGTACATTTTTTGTATTACAAATTATATTTGTAAATACATGTAATGATTAAACTGAAGAGGAACGTATGTGTTGTATTTCATTAGTATATACATGTACATCACCTTGTTTGTTTATGCTCTGTTTTTAGCTTTAATTGATAACTTATTTATTGTTATTTTTATCTATTGAGAGGAAAAGCAATATTCACTGATTTTTTATTTTGCGAATTTGTTTGCATCAGTTTTTCTCCTTTTATTGAATTATCATTAGTCTAAATTATTTTCCTGATCATGACACTGTAACACAGTAATAAGAAAAAGACATGTAGAGTTATTCCCCTCTTAATCTTTAACTGCATTGTAAGTTTGTTTTACAATTTAGTAATTTTGAATTTCAGGTTGCAATAATACTAAAGCAGAGGTGAAAACATACTACTATGTTGCACTCAAACTGCTGGACTTGTTGTATTTGAAGTACCACACCTTTTATAAGATTCTGTTTGAAGTTACAAGTTCATCCAAGATACATTCCAAGGAACAAAAGTATTACAATCATCAAATAGTTGCATTCTTCAATAGAAAGAATCATCTTTTTTTTTACATACCATAAAAATGCAATATTTCATATTAAATTACATATTTTGTAAAACAAGCATTATTATTGCAATGTAATGAGAGTTACCCCCCTTTAACACATTTTCATATGAAGACTTAAATTTTTGAATCTACTACTACAATCTGTTACCTTTTATGCAGGAGGGAGTTTAGCAAAGTGAAAGCAGACCAACTACTGCTGGCCACTGCAGTCATAAGCTGCTCTGTTTACATGGTGCAAGAGGACAAGGCAGACGAAGTAATATAATATTTAAAAGAAGACTATGAAATAAAATAAATTGCTCAGATTTCCAGTATCCCAAGCTTCCATCTGGTCATTTTATTCATCTGAGAGCAAAAAAAAAAAATTAAATTTTTTTTTCCTGGTAATTGCAGATGATTAAAGAACTGTACAGGATTACAAGAATTTCTAAGAATGACATTGAAGACTTTGCCTCTGTTCTGATTCAGCTGGTAGAAGAGGAATAAATCACCATCAAAGTCTCAGTTTATATGAGATCAAAAGGACCTTTAATTTAAGCTTCTAACAGACATGTTAAATTTGACTTGCTCCACCCCTCTTTTTTTTTCAGGGGAGTGTCTTTTTATTTTTGCAACACATCAGTTGAAACATGCAAGACATGCCATATTTTAGTCTGTGATACAAATATCTTTTTTGAATTTAATTTGAACTATCTTTATGAAAAGTTACATTTTTTGCAAAGAGACTGTGATTGTTACTGTGCAATATGTGAAAGGAAACATGATGTATAAACATTAGGAACATTATTAGGTGGAACTACGTACCATTTTTTTTTACGACATGTAAAATAACCTGATATACTTTTTCCGTTTGCTTTAAAGTGTATTAGAGTAGAATTAAATTGATATTCACATTTACATATATTCTATTATATATCAATTATTGTGGAATCATTTAATTTGGTGTGGTCAATGTTCGTTAGCGGGCAAAATTATACTTGTTTGACAGGATAACATTTCATGGGTCACTCTCTTGACTAAAGGTAGATTCAGTAAGTAAATCCTTCAAGACCCATGTAGTCCAAAGTGAAATTCTGAACTTTAATACATTTTGAACAGTGAAATACCTTAATTTATCCATTGAATAAAAGTGATATCCTGTCACGGTGTGAAAGGATATCAAAATGATATCAAAATGATATCCTGTCACAGTGTGAAAGAATATCAGATGTGCTGGAAAACTCGATTTTCCTTCCCTTCACTAAGAGTGTTGTAAAAAATACTCCTTAACCTGTTATGATAAAAAAGAGTTCATAAACCATTCTGTCATAAAATAAAACTGCGAAAGTTCCCCAAATATGTTGCTGAAATTTATGTGTACAATGTTTTTCACTAGCTTATGACGTCTCATCCGCTCAACTATGACGTCATGTAGCCTAAGGCAGCATTACAAACTAGAGGCCCATGGGCCACATCGCTCACCTGAGCAATGTGGATAGGAAAAAAGCAGAAATCAGTTTATTGTTGAAAAGTTTAAACCCAGTAGTGGTCTAAAGTAAATCCTTAAAAGAGAGATGGTATGATTTGAACAAACTTGGGGGGATTACCTGGGGATTGCCCTTCACATTTGAACTTACATTGTGGACCCCCTATACCCCAAGGGGTCATGACTTGAACAAAATTGAATCTACACTACCCAAGAATGCTTCCATATGAACACGACTAATCATGGCTTTGCTGTTTTTGAAGTCTTTAAATATAACTTGGATTCCAGCCTGGGCTTTGAAGTACAAAAATTGAAAAGAAGATGCTTTAAAAATATAATCAGGCCTTTCCCTATATGTTTCCTATATATTTCAATGTAAAACTTTGATCAGTCACTGAAGCCTTGCCCTACCCCCAAGGGGTCATGATTTGAAAAAAAATTGAATCTACACTACCTGAGGATGCTTCCCTATAAGTTTCATCTTTCCTGGCAGTGTGGTTCTTGAGAAGATTTTTTAAAGAATTTTCCTATATATTTCTATGTAAAACTTTGATCGGCCATTGTGGCCCCACCCTATCCCCAGGGGTCATGATTTGAATAAACTTGAATCTTCACTACCTGAGGATGCTTCCCTATAAGTTTCATCTTTCCTGGCCCAGTGGTTCTTGAGAAGAAGATTTTTAAAGAATTTTCCTATATCTTTCTATGTAAAACTTTGATCGTCCATTGTGGCCCCGCCCTACACCCAGGGGTCATGATTTGAACAAATTTGAATCTACACTACCCCAGGATGCTTACCTATAAGTTTCATCTTTCCTGGCCCAGTGGTTCTTGAGAAGAAGATTTTTAAAGGTTTTCCCTACATATTTCTATGTAAAACTTTGATCGGCCATTGTGGCCCCACCCTATCCCCGGGGGTCATGATTTGAATAAACTTGAATCTTCACTACCTGAGGATGCTTCCCTATGAGTTTCATCTTTCCTGGCCCAGTGGTTCTTGAGAAGAAGATTTTTAAAGAATTTTCCTATATATTTCTATGTAAAACTTTGGTCGGCCATTTTGGCCCCGCCCTACCCCCGGGGGTCATGATTTGAACAAACTTGAATCTACACCACCTGAGGATGATTCCACATGAGTTTCATCTTTCCTGGCTCAGTGGTTCTTGAGAAGAAGATTTTTAAAAATGCCATTAATTTTTCTCTAATTCATAATTATCTCCCCTTTGAAAAGGACGTGGCCCTTCATTTGAACAAATTTGAATCCCCTTCACGTAAGGAAACTTTGTGCCAAGTTTGGTTGAAAGTGGCCCAGTGGTTCTTGAGAAGAAGTCGAAAATGTGAAATGTTTACGACAACGACGACAGACAACGGACAAATTTTGATCAGAAAAGCTCACTTGAGCCTTCGGCTCAGGTGAGCTAAAAAGACGTGGGCAAAGGGAAAATCAAAGAAAATGTAATAAATAGAAAATTCAATGTTTTGTAGATGAATATGGAATTTATTTCACTCGTGAGACCAGATTTTTTTATATTTTCATTCGTGCTTTGCACTTATGAAAATATAAAAAAATCCTGTCCCACTCGTGAAATATATAGCAATATATAGGCATATATAGCAATACATGGAAACTTACTACTTTTATCTACAGTGTATGATAATATATAATAAATCTCACAAGCATCAAAATGAAACGTTTCCAATCCTTTAATACATCTGATTTTTTTTTACATTAAAGTATTATAATAAAACAGCATGTGTAATACAAACAACATTTATATCTTACAAAATTGTCCACTTAATAAATACATTTACATGTATATAAAACTAACACAATACAGAGAAACTTATTGCTACATCTACGATGCAGTTCTTTATAAAATGCAGTGGATCTCTATTTTTTACATCTGTACGGAGGTGCAGAGGAAGTATTCACTTCAATACTAGAGTATTTCACCGAAATTCTCTGAAGAGAAATTAACAAAGCAACAATTTATTTGCATTAAATTGCACATATTTTAAGCTGCAAGACAAAATTAACTAATAAATAGTCTAAAATGTTGGCAAGTAGAAGACTGTTATGTAGTTTACTCACACATAAAAGAAAATCTCAACTATCACCCTCACATACAGTGAAACACGATTTCATTGTATCAGTAAGCTTACAATATGCTTTAAGCCCACGCGGAATGGTAATCACTTCACTGTAAGCATCAATTCATTAAAAATTTCTTGGCTATATTAAGCGTGTTTCACTGTACTTAGATTTATACAGTGTGCAGTAAAACTTGTATGATCAGGGTGGTATGTATTCCAAAATTGTATCCAACTTATAGTCCTCTTCAGTCAATTTAACTTTTTAAAATATTCTTTAACCTAGCTTTCTACGGTCAGGATGAAGGGTTGCCATGATTATAGACAAGTTTGTCTGTAAAATAAAAGATCATCTAGCAAAATATCACTTTATTATATAGCAATTGGTTGCCCAAATTACTAATCAGAATTATGAAAACACATAAAGGACAAATAATCACACTTAATTTTTACAATAAATATTGAAAGTTCCATAAATCCACCTGATCACGCTAGGACCATTTCCTTTACTCGATCGGTACAATAAATTCTTGAGATGAACTTGTAAGGAAATTAAAAATTCCATAAAACAACTCTTTATAGATGGTTTTCGTATATGTTGCCTCTCAGTTATTCCCTTTGGCCACCATTTTGTAGGATATAGTGATTTTTTTCTCTTTGAGCAACCAATTTTAAACATTCATGCCAGAAATATATGGGAAAAATAATTAAAATCTTGAAATTATGAATTAAAAGAAGCATTAACAAATGTAAATTCATAAGAAAAATAGTATTATCTTTACCTCAGTACCCATTATAACAAATTGAACTTGGTTGAATTATGAAGGGATCTGGGAATGTTGACCTACAATATGGCGGTCATGAGGAAATAACTTGCTTTAATCATCTCAATGCTAAAACCACCTATTACAATATTAATGAACATGTAAAAAAGTCAAAACATATTATATCAAAGAACAGAAACAATCATATAAAATAGCGATATGAACTTTTTAACTTTCAAATCCAAGATAATATAAATATGCCGTTTTTACTCAAATCATAACTGTATTCTTACATATCACCATTCTAGTCCATGTTAAAATACACTGACAATCAGTTTCTAATACTGGGTTTAGTAAACATAAAAAGTGTTCCAATATATTATTAAGTAGATTTCCAAGTTTAACAAGCACAAAATAACTTGAGTTCACATGGTCAGTAATTGTATTTTGAAATACAAGAAAATAATTTTGACCACAGAGCAAACATTTATAACAAGATGAAATAATCTTTGTCACGGATTTAGATTATGCCCAATCTATTCAAACACTCTTCATTCTGAAAAGAGAAAAAAAAACTTGTAAGGAAATGACCAAAATTACCAAGTATTAGTACTGAACTGATCATATTCCCTTTCTTACCAGTATTTACATTTTGTGTTGCTCAAGCATACATCACTTCGTACCACAAACACTTCCTGAGTCAAGGTCAAACAATGATATCAACCAGAAAGGAAAACTCACTTGTTCTGTCTTATTATTATACATTAACTTCCATCTGTTCGGGAGTAGAAGTTGTACGTTTACCCTCCTCCAGCATTTGTTCTACAATTCTCCACAGACAAGATTCCTTTGGAAAGTCATTGTCCACTAAGTTAACTAAGTAGTAACTGTTAAAAATGTGGTCGATGATTTTTCTGGACTGTGAGCCTTCAGGGTACAGGTCACCCCAGGGGTGTTTCCACAGTTCAAAGGCTTCATCCTGAAAAGTAAGCATATACACGTAAACAGAGATCTTAATCTAAACTGAAGCTCTATTTCTTTGTTAGAGTTAAAGATTCTGATTGTTTTTGTAATGATTACATGTATGCTCTTCAATAAGTAAAATAGATTGTCAGGCCAGGAGAAAAAAATTATTTCATCCTCATACCTTCCATGTTTTGAAGGCAATAGGATCCACCACTGTAGGTTGTATAATCTCTTTACCAGGGAACACTCCCCACGTGACTGCTATAGGAGTCGTCAGATCACAGTTTGTGTAGTCTGCCTCACCCTTAAAAATTAATAAAATCTGCTAAAACAGTATATCATAAACAGGTGCTTGTTAAAATTTTAGTCATATATCAAGCTTTGACTTACGCTCTTGTCCACTATATGATAATTGACCATGGGAAAGTTTTTCAGTATTTTCTTCAGAGCAATACCATTTTCTTTAGATGTGAAGAATTCCAAGTAAGCCTAGATAATGATAATATTCAAAGAATAAACATCACCAAAACAGAATTTGTAAACTGCAAACTTTCTCTTCAAAAATATTTTTCTCCTTTAATACTTTCATGATGGTAGGCTGATTGTCAGTAAAATGAACTTGATATTTTCAAATGAACTCTGACCTTTTGGTAGATGTAGCCATTGGGTGACCCCCAGCCCAATTTGCTGTCTGAGGAAGGAGCTCCGTTGACATTGGGCTGAGAGTTGATGGTGAGAACTCCACGTTTGTTGATGGCTTCGAGCTGTTCCTTGATGAAACCTGTCTCTGGTGACAATTCATCATCATTCCATGGCATAGAACGCACCTAGTGAAAGATATTATTTAGTTAGCGATTATTCACTTTTACAGATTTTAAAAATGCATTCTGGAGTCCCTGCATAATTTCATTTAATTTTTACTTTGTCTTATCTTGATCATTTTTTTTAGTGGAACATACAGATACTTAAAACTAACCTTGACCCTATTCTTATTTGAACATCCACCTAATTTTGTAACCTACCCTCGACTCAATTCGTGTTAAAACATCCAAAAACATGTACAGTTAATTCTCGATAAACCACCACCTTTTGTAATTTAGAAATCATGGCGGTATAACGAATTTGGCGAAGAATTGAATTTCCCATCTTTGAGGGAACACGAAGTAGAGTTACCATTCTTAGAAATACCATTTAGCGTTTCTATTCTTATTATTACATGTACATGTATATAAAAACATATTTCTTAATTTTAAAATACTTCAAGTAATTTTTATGTACAATTTCGCTAAAACAAAATGTGCAGTTCTGAAATAAAGACAAGTACATATGGATGTATATAAATTTGCAAGTCTGATAATGAAAAAAAACATGCTGAGTCGATCGTCGTGATATCTTGCCGATAGTACGTAAAATGAATTCTTGAATAAATTCATTGTTATTTCATCATTGTTAATGAAACGTTCACAATTTATACAGTATAATTTTTTAAAGCAAACTTTGCAAGGTTTAAAGCAGATATTATCAAAATAATATCGTTATCGGTGTAATTTAACAATGACCGCTTTCGTGGCGAAGCCATGACTAAATGATTTTTATTAAACAGAAATCAAAATTATATTATTATAACACTTCACTTAAAATTATTGTTCATTTAATTCTTATTTAATTATTTAATTGCATGTACCTCGTTTGGCTTTGCATGCTTTACAACAGGGATAGCGTCAACCAATTAGCCGCACTTCACTGACCACCTGCACCTGTGGCGGTATATCGAGATAATTGACACTTAAAAATGGACGTTTGTTTTGAAAACAGGGTGGTGGATGGCGGTATGCGAATTTGGCGTTATGAAGAGAATTTTATATAGCAGGAAAAACGTTCTTGGGAAATCATGGCGGTATGGCGAAAATGGCGATGAATTGAATGGCGATAATTCGAGAATTGACTGTACGTAAAATCAATCTTATGTACATGTACATCAAACATACCGTAAATCTGTTAATCTTTACGTCGATTTTATTTTGCGAATCTGGGTCAAATAGCTGTTGATTAATTTTTTACGTTTCAAAATTTTTAGAATAACCACTGCTTTGTTTACAGTTTATTATTGTTGATTTATTTTTAAGAAAACTATTTTTGCGAATCCAATGAAAAAACACGCAAATTTGCTAAAAAATTATCTACAGCAAAAATTTCCAGATCTACAGTATGTAAATCTAACCTTGACCAAATTCTTTTAGCAAACCCATTTATGTAAACTAACCTTGACCCCATCCTTATTGGAACATCCAGATATGTAATTCTGAAACACATCCCACACATCCTGCTCCGAGTTCAGTTCCTCTCCCCACATTTTGAGGAGGTCCTCTTTGGGAGGTTTATGCTTCAAGTAAAATAAGTAATAGTCTGTGAGATCACCAAAAGAAGCTGCTGAGGAGTTCCCCCAGCGACCATTGGGAAACTCATCCCAGTTTGAAGTTCTATAAATGTAACTCTTTGGTCGAGATCGCCAGAAGATCGGTCGCACATCCTCCTTACAGCGTGAATAATTCGCAGTCTGTTTCCATGGTAATGGTTTACATGGCTCCTCCACCCACATACCGAGTCTTTTGAGGATTTCAATGGTGGCTACTTCCCTGTTGAGTGTGTAGAAGTGAACACCGTGAATGTCCTCGTGTTTGAGAAGTTCACGACACATCTGGAATGCTTGTTCCACACCATAGTTTCTGATTGCTTCATCATTGTCTTTAATGGGTTCAATGGCATCCAGAATCTCCTTTGGTACTTCTAATCGGGACAATTTCACTATGTGCCTGAGGGACTGGTATGCCTATTTGTGGAAGGAATTTTTTTTAACATGGTCTTCATTCTTTTTACAGAATTATTAATGATACAAGTTTGCATCTTTAAAGAAAATTTAGTAAAGTATTTTACAAAAGCAATGAAGTCATAGAATTTGTAGTATATATACTAAAAGCATGTTAAATACCTGAATAGGAAGAACACCTGGTATAATTGGACAGGTAATTCCTATCTCTCTACAATCACGAACAAATTGAAAGAAAGTCTCTGCTTTGAAAAACAGCTGTGTTATAATGAAGTCTGCTCCTGCATCCACTTTTTCCTTCAGATGACGAAGATCTTCCGCATATGAAGTACACTCGGGATGTCCAGTTGGGTACCCTACAAAAATTTACAAATCACTTAAAAGCAGTGCACATTTGAGTGCAAGCCTATATGGGTAGCTAATAATATTCTTGCAGCATGACTCATTTGCCCCATCACACACTAGTGCCATCTTATGGTGTTATTTTGATTATCACTGAAAAGGTATCAATCTTGATAAAGAAAAAATACAGGAGACAAAATGTCTTCAAAGGACACTAAAACATAAATTTAACAAAGAATCTGATAAAAACAACATTAAAACAGTGAAAGTTCAGAAACTAATATTTATAGCACTATCCAATGGAATACATTCCTTACCAGCCACACAGATGGTGAAGTGGTCCCCATGTTCCTTTCGGATCAGTTTGACAAGATCTGTGGCATAGTTCAGTCCATCCTCCTGTTTTGTCCATGTTAGTCCACCATCAGGGGGATCTGAAACACAAAGTTAGTTTTCACGTTATAAAATTATTAATTTAAAAAAAAAAGACATGACTTCTTCTTAAATATTCCTTGATCTTGGAAAGATTTTTTCTAAAAAATATAAATACAAAGTAAAATGAAAGATTTCAGCATTTAAGATCTGCTTACATAATGAAAACTAAAAATTTCAGATTATTCTCATGATTTTTTTTAATAAAACAACTTTTAGTATTGCTTTACAGGTATTGTTCAAATTTGTTCTCTAAAAAAAGCTAGGCTTTAATTCTACCCACCCCCTCTGAGAGCTAACAGGTTCTTCAGTCCCATGTCTTTGGCTTTCTTCAGGTTCCTCTTTATATCTTCCTCGTCCTGATTACTACACGTGATGTGAAGCATCGTCTCTACTCCGCAGTAGTTCAGCATGGTGACCGCCATACACGTGGAGCTCGTGGGTTTCTCTGTGTTCCCGGGGTCACCTGCAGGGTGCCACGTAATATCACAAAACAGGGGGCCACCCTCACTCATCCTCTCTATCCTAGTGTAACAGATTAAAAACAAATTATAAAATTAATATTAACCATATAATATTTTATTTTAAATCAATATTTTCATCTAACATTTGTTTATAATGTGAATTATTTGACCTTGTTTTTTTTCAATTTGGTGATCATGCTGCAAGTATAATTTTTTTTTCATAGGTACATATTTAAATCGTTACAGAAAAAAAACAAAATTAGGTACAGAAGGGTCAAAGAAGAGTCCGCAGGTTGTTTGTAATTTTTATAATACAATGTATAAAATCAAAGCCATATGTTGCAGAGAACTGTCTTTTATGTAATTAATTAAGGTGCCAAAAATATTAATTTCTGCTCTTTTACTCTAAGTATTTAATGGAGTCATTGCCAGTCACAGCTTATCTAATACAAACATAGGCAACCATGCCATGCGGAAATAACCCAAATATTCCATGACCTTCAGATAACCAAATCGGATTTTCCCTTCTCCTGAAAGCTATTTTTAACACTCATAAAATACCAACTGCATGGCAGAGTGAATATTGCATGACAAATCTGTATGAAAACAGGAACGTATTTGTTAAAGCTAGTAAGAGACTTTATTTTTCTGATTACTTGAAAAGCTTATATCATGTGTAATTTGCACTAATAGCCACTAGAAGGGGTCTTTTTTTATTGTTCACATGTTTATGGCTCAAGGATTAACAACATGCAAAAAAAAAATTTAAAATTATATACCGCTAAAAAAACGTATAATATTCCAATATTTTTATTTAATATCTTCAAAGTAAAACTAGGGGATCAAACTACCATTTGACTTTTTAAAATAAATAATTGTATAACGGCTTAAATATTTTGCATACTGGTATAGCCAACCAGTTGTATTTCCTTTTGTACTGAGTAGCATGCTCTATAGACTTCACAATAAAAACAAGGTGAAGGTCAAATATGTATCACGCTAGGCATGTATGAATGAATCCAATAACTGTTAAATATTACTGACAACCTGCAGGAAATTTTTTAAAAATCCTTAGCCCATCCATTTCCCAGTTTCTCTTTTAATCCTTGAAGACCATGAAGACATTTACAATATTATGAATAAATTTCACATAGTAATGACACGCTGTAGTGATGATTATATATGTGTCAGTGTACTTTAAGGAAATAAAGGAATGCAGCGGAGTTTCAAGTCAGACGCACAGTGCATGATATAGTTGTATTGGTGCGCATGCACAATTTGTATTGGACAAAACATGACATCAACATTCAGTGTTTCAATGATATATTTTTAGTATTAATAATATGATAAGCTCTGTTATTATTTTTTTCTTAAATTATAATGTTGTAATTTTCAAGGGGTGCAGTTACTACGATCAGTATGTTGTACCATTTTCTTATACATAATTACATATATCCTTTTTAACATTAACTTCTTTTAAAATTTCTAAGTTTAATAAGTGACTGTGATAAACACATGCAGATTTAGAAAATCAGATGACTTAATTACTATTTAGTATCCAGTAAAAATCCTGTACCTGAGTGAATGGTCACACTATACAAGCAAATAAGACTTATCTAAAACTTCCCTTTTAATAATTTTTCTAATTTTTGTACTGAAGAGATCTCTGGTTACTTAGTCAACTTTGGTACCAGATGAATTAATTCAGCTACCTTTACCCATACTTTCTGTTTATAGAAAATTAGGAACCACTCACCTGCTAACAAGATTGACTGCTCCATTAGCTGTCCTGGGAGGGAAGAACTCGAGGGAATAGAAGGGGTCCCCGGACTGGATTCTCTGGTTAATGCGCTCAATCACACTCCGGTATTCCCCGTACTCTGGCTCCTGTACTGGGGAGTGGGGAACCACCCCATGGGTGCCATTGACCGTGGTCCCATTCAGTAATTCAGGCATGGCTGCAGATCACCTGCTAAAATAAAAAGATCAAAATCACCCCAAGTTTCTTCAACAAATAGAAATCAATTGACTTTATTTCAAAAATTAAACACCGATTTATTGATTTGAAAAACGTCCCCTCACACCTCTCATCTTTCTCTAACAGTAGACTGCATGGTCAAATTAGAAAAGTTCTAAACAGAGAGGCAATTATAGATACTGAAAATGAGTTCAATTTAGAACCTAGGCCTTGTGCTGTATAGACAAAAATCCAAGTTTTGATCTAAGGGTAAGTTGCTGATGTTACATGTAGACACTTGGATTCATTCATATATTTTCAGGGTCGTATTTCTAGTATTTCATCAGTGAATTGATTATAACAAGGGAATCTTCTATTACCATTACCTGAAGAAATTGAATTGTCCATCCTACTAGTGCGATTCCTATAAATGAATAAATTTGCTCAAACATGTAAAGTGTAAAGTGTAAAAGACGAAGCATATAAAGAAGTGCTAGCGCACTTCATGAAAGCCCAAATTATTCACACACCATAATCAATGACAAGGTCTTAAAAAGATTCCATTTCCTATATTTTTTTACACTAATAAGCTGTCAGAAATACGATTTGGTGATACAAACTCGCCTTATAATACATGTATAAGTACATGAAGAATATCCGATCTATTTCAAACGACATGAACAAAACAACGTACTTGAATTGATATTTTTTATTTTCAAATCATTGGACGTATCTTCCAAAATACATTTTTTTCAGTTTAATTTCTTATTAGATTGCTGTAAATAATTTTGTTATGTAAATACAAGTGATTATATAGATCAATGTGTAAAAAGAAAAATAATCTATACTATAGATCTACAATACTTTCAGTCTTAATATTGGATGGAAATATTAAATAATCCACCCTACAACTGTGGTACTGCTCTTTTGCAGGGTAAATTAATCAAATTTGAAGTTTTTCATTACATAAGTAAATGCGATAACATACTTTTCCAATTATCAATTTGCCCTGCAAATGAAACTGCTTGGTACAAGTGAAATTAAATTATTAACATTTGAAGTTTTTCATTACATAATTAAATTCAATTACATATTTCTCCAAATATCAATATTTGGTGATGGTTATTCACAGTTTTAAATGCATATGTCAGCTGTAGAGGTCAAATTTAAAGCAAATTATTTTTTTACCTAGGGACTCTCATCCAACAGAATTATAAAAGTTCAAACAAAAACATCTGTCAAAATATTTCCGAGCTGTCATATCCTCGTTAAAATCCATGTTACTTCTTTTTTTTTAAATAAAAAATTACATGCACTGAGAATTTAGCAAAGTTTTCATAATCATTTGATAAAGTAAACATAGGCACAAACAATAAAACATTGACAAGCATGCAATGTTTTGTTTACAGTTTCCGCATCGCCGAATAACGATGACCAATAATTATAATAAATCCTTCTTCCAAAGCTTGGCAATAAATTTAACTTTAATCATAGATTCATACTACCTGCAGTGTTTGCATAATTTTCCCATTCATGAACTAACTTTTACTATTCAATACCTTTAATTAAAGCAGCTGATATTCAGTTTTTCGGCAAACAGTTTTTTCTAACAGACTAGTTCTCGCTTGCAATGAAAAACTGAAGAGAACAACATTGGTTTAGAGCTGGATTTATATACAGGCAGCCAACCAATGAAAATCAAGCTAAATTTAGTGTCGTGCTATCGGAAAACCTCAGGTTATAACAAGCAATCGATACTCTCAGTATTTATCATAAAGAAGATAAAGAGAGGTGGTGGATCTCTGTACAAAACAAGGCGCGTTATATATCCCATAATTACGCCTATGTGCCATAAATAGTCGTCGAAAGATCAGGACCCAAATGGAAATCAAATGGAATAAATATATATTTCAAATATGAAATTACAAGTAATAATTGTATTTTTAAAGCTCATATACTATTTTTTTTGAACATAATTGCAATTTTAACAAAATTGGTAAACATTTCAAATATCACTGTTAGAAAAAAATACCCCTTTGTTTTTCAATTTTAACAAATTCGTTATATTGAGATATCATAATTATAACTACGAAGTATTTTTTTCGGTAATAATTACTAATAAATTATCCCCATGGCAACTGATCCCCATTCCGATGTTTTTTGGAGGTCCATATTATGAACTCTTTCATCATATTGTGTCAAATTAAGGAAATACCGGTATATTGTGAAACTCCAGAAGAGAAAACTAATTCAAATAACTTTTTGTCTTCGCTTCGATAAAAAGAGGCTGAAAGAACTACTTAAGGAAAATACATTGTATGCAGAATGAAAAAAGTGAAGATAAAGATAAATCTATAAGCTCTCTAAATCTAAAAACAATACACATCTGCGAAGAGAGCAAGGAACACGAACCCCCGAAATTCTACATTTCCATCGTGAAGTAATATTCCGCTATCACATGCTATGGTGTTTACATCTCAAATATCGTTATGCTGTTTCACTTCACAACTTATTCAATATCCAAGAGCAAGCTCCGAGTCCGATCATTTTTTAACCGAGGCAGGCTACTGACAGATAAGTTGATGTTAAAGGACATTAACAGCCTCGTTTAAAGTCGGTGTTTTATAAACTCTATGATCGTTATATTGACCTTATTAGCCAATATAATCTAATATTGAGTAATTGAGTACCAATTGTTAGGCCTTTGTTTTTATACTGAATTTGATTACGAAATGTTAGTTTCTTCTACCTGATCAATATAGGGTTAACGGCGAATGTGACCGGACGACAGGGGATGCTCACTCCTTATAGACACCTGATTCCACCTCTGTGATTCTCAAGGATCCGTGTTTATACCCCCTTCACAGACTGACTTACTGGTAATAGAGTTTTTGAGATCGATCACTGTTCGTTTATAATCTTTACCCTTTTCATTCATAGAGAATATTCCTTTTTGAATACTATACACCCGTAAGCGAAGATTGAGGGTATATAGTTTTTGCCCTGTCCGTCCGTCTGTCTGTTTAACGATTTCCCCGCAAAACATTTTAACATCGACCTTAACTTTTGAACTGTTGGAGCTATATATGTGTCTCATATTTCACATTTGTATTCCTTGTGACAAGACATTTCTTTGAGTACCAACATATTTGACTTTTGACCTTGGAGTTTGACCCAACATTGCAAGAAATAACCCAATTTTATATTAACCACGGCAGTAACTCTTGAACAGTTGGTGCTAAGGTTTTCATACTTCACATGCATATTTGTATTCATTGTGATGTGTCCCTTCCATGGATATCATACATTGTATTTAATTTTTTTTTTACCGTGACCTTTGAGTTTGACCCACTTTAAAATTGTATATAACCTTTGAACAATTAGAACTAGGTCTTTTATATTTCACAGATGTATTCCATGTGACAAGGCCTTCCTTTTGATACCAACAACTTTGATCTTACCTTGGAGTTTGACCCACTTTTAAAGATCTTTAACCCTGGCCATAACTTCTGATCAGTTGGTGCTAGGACTTAAATATTGCACAGGTATAATATTCACTGAGAACAAATCCTTCCTTTGGGTAACAACATTTTTCAACCCTTGACCTCGAGAGTTTGATTTATAATTAAGAGACTTTAGCATTTTATTGCCAAAAGCTGTTATACGGGGACATCGGTGTGACGGTGTCAAAAACACATCTTGTTATACCCCCGCTTGAAAAGCGGGAGGGTATATAGTAATCGTTAACCCTTGACCGTCCGAGAGTTTGATATCCGCAACGCCTTATACCATGAATGAAATTTGATGAAACTTTCACAGAAAACTTTATTTTATTGCCAAATTTTAGCTGACATATATTTTGGATTTTCCGGCAAAACATGGACCTGCCATTTTATTCATATGGGAGGCGGGGGGTATCATTTAGTGAGCTCAACACATCTTGTTTTTAATAATAGTTGACAAATCATTTACATAAACTGATTTTGATTTTTAAAATAAATTTATGAGGAAAAAATCTCGTAGTAAGCAAAGTGCTCCCACTTAAAAACGTTTATGTCAACTTTAGCGTAATGCAAACATTCCTCTGAAACACGGGGCAATACTACGGTGTACCGAGAGGGTCAATCTCTTCTTTGTTTTAAGGCCGGTGAATTTGCAAGCATACTGTGGCGACTAAACGAGAGAAGAAAAAACGAGGGAGCAGTCATCTCAAAGCAAAGATGATGCAAATGCCGCATTGTTACCCCTCACCTTCTCATTGACTTGCCCTGTCGCTATTGCATTCTTGCCTTTTGCCCTTGGTTCATTCAATGTCGCCTCCCCCCTCTCACCTCCCTCCCTACGTCGTCTCCCTCATTTTGGTGTCCCCGCTCCGTGCCCACCTCCCCAGTCGTCGCCCTTCTTATCTTGGTCCCGTTTCCTGGCCGAGGAGAACGAATGACCCTATCTGTACACCGTACTGTGCAAATTTAACTTTTTATCATTGAAACGCGCGATAAATCACTGTTCATCCACTTTTCATTTGAAAAGCTGGAAGTAATTTAATTTTGTTTACCTGGAACTATTTTTGAGCTGTGTTTCAAACCAGGTGAGTGAATCTATACCCCGAAAAAAATGGTATGATTGTTAAACTTGTAGATTCTATCTTGTTTCTTCAATAAAGCAAGCAGAGTACATTTAGTGCAACAAAAAAAGTCTACATTGTTAAAACATGTTGCTTTGATATACATTTTTGCATGCATAAACTTGAAATTCAGACATAAAGTAACAATGCAGTACCAGTGTTTAGGAATAAGGAAAATAAAGATGTAAACCTCTGCAACGCTACCTACAACCATAAACTATTAATAAGCGATGCACCCTCCGAAATATAAACGAATGAAATATGTGGAGATAACAAACAGTATTCGAGCTCAAAAGTCCATTAAACATTACAAAATAAGAGCGGAACAAACACCTACCTCTAAAACATCAGAGGTGGGATCATGTGCAATGGAGGAGTGAGTATCCCCTGTCGACCAGTCACACCCGCTGTGTGCTCCATGTCATGTTCGGGGAAAAAACGAAAAAAATATCCCTGGACAACTCCGTGCATGTATAAATAATGGTCAAACAATCAGTATGAAAAAAATCAGTCAGCATTTGACGTAAATTGTATTTCCTGACAAGGTCATTGTATCGACTATAGAACTTACGAAATGATGACTTTAAACGAAACTGCTGATATTCTTGCTTCATCAATTTGTTTGTCAATAACTTACCTCGTTTTCGAAATCGTTCCTACGTAGAGCATGCTCTTCCGTATTATATAAACTCCGTATGAGGTGAAAAAGGTATATATTGCTGCATAAATAAGGGAGTTGCGTTTGAAAAGTTATAGTCATCACGTTTATCATATAGTTTTTTCAAGTTTCAAGTTTTTATTTAAGACCCCAAACTGAGGTATATGAATACAGATAATACAAGGTTTTAACATATACTAGTAAACAAAAATATATGGATGAATGAGTGGCACTAATGTTATTTACGATGCACATGTATACTTCAAAACATGTCCCTCTCCTTGTAAAAAAAACTATAATTATGTATTATAAGAGGAACAAAGATCACAAATACGATCATCTCTGTCAACTCTCCATAAGCGATCTTTTTTAATACGAAATCTGTGATTCATACATCTAAATTTACATAAAGCTTTTCTCAAATCCTTGGGTAGATATATCAAATAATTTTCAAAATAATGTTCTAATAAATTTGAATATCCTATAATGTTGTCATATTTGGATGCTTTTTACAAGAAATTAAAAAAATCCAAATATGTAAGTGTTTCTAAGAATGGAAATAATTATTGTTATATGACAATAAGTCGTCGGTATATCTAGATGTCGAGTTGATGACCACATTTTTAAGTTAAAGATTTGTAACAAATTCTACTTCATATGAATACAAAAAAGGTCTGTTTACAACGAGTACCCATGGGATTTTCAATAGATTGGTGGAAGAGCTGGTCTCCAAAAATCACATAGATATTGTCGATTAGAAACTCGAGCATCTTTTTAATATCAACTTCAGAGTATTTGTGTGTAAAATCAAAATGTTTTTAACAAAGTAATTTTGAAAATGACCAATGACAAGTTAAAAGAATTTATGAGTACCGTTTTTGTTGTAAAAGCAGTTGTCAATGATTTTAGAAAGCCTGGACTTTAATTTATCGTATAGGAAATAGTTGTATATAAAGTTGAATCGAAAGTTTTTATGTATTTGAATTGGGTAAAATTGTGTGATTTTAAATGTTCCAAAAGTTCCTTTGAATTTTTAGTATCCACATCTGATTTACAAAACTTAAATTCTCGAATATATTGTTGAACAGTACTCTAGAAGTTTCTCCTTCACCACTGTCAATATCTTAGTGAGGAGTAAAGAAAGCGGCTTGGTTGAACATTTACTGGAACTCGCTCTGTATCTTTGTTTGTAAGGATTTATATGAAGTTTCCGTATCCAATATAAATATGGTAATAAAAATAAAAAAAAATTAAGCATTGTCCTTCATGATTCGATGGAACGAACAAGTACAATGTGAAAATCGAAATAAGGACTGGAGCACAGGTACCTAAGTTACTTATTTTTCTTATATTAAAAAAATTATAACCTCATATCTATAATATATTTTTGTTATGGCGTTAATTTTTGTTATTAATTAAAAATAAGTAAAGTAAGGTGTTTGTGGACTGGAGATATGAATTATAATTGTATTTCAAGATTCCCTTCCCAAGCAATAGATCTAATATCCCGTAACTTAGAGCTCGTTTAAATTAAACTCAATGTAATTAAGTTTACAGAAGAACTTTCGCTTAGTTGTATTTATTGTCCCTTTCGCTAGCTACGCCGTAGGAATACAAATTAAAATTGAGGCGTTTTAAACAGAGTTCAAAATAAAAATTATATATAGAAAAAAATGGATACTTGTATGTCAAAATTTGAATTGAAAATTATATAAATTTTGTTGAGCACAAGGGTTATCTTTTATGTCTCGAGATTTTTCAATCGTTTGATAGGACGAAAATAACACATGACGAAGATATCCCAGTAAACGCATAAGAAAAAAAATCCAGTATACAGTATACACATACTCTATATATTCAAGGAGTATATTACTGGTATTAGCTTTGTATGAAGATAAAATCGATTTAAGATTAGCAATAAGTTCAGATGAAACATGGAGATGACGAACAGTATTCAAGATCAAAAGTCCATAAAACAATACAAAATAGGAGCAGAGCAAACACGGACCTCCAAAACACCAGAGGTGGAATCAGATGCCAATCCCCTACCGGTCAAGCCGTGTGCTCCTTTTCATGATCAAGAAATAACGGAAAAATCTGTCGTCAATTCAGTGTATAAAGAATGGACTTACATTTAGTATGAAAAACGGCAGTCAGCATTTGACTTAATGATAAATTGTATTTGCAGACAAGGTCATTGTATCGACCATAGAACTTACGAAATGATGACTTTAACAAAATTGCTGAAATTCTTGCCTCATCAACTTGTTTGTCAATAATTTACCTCGTTTTAGAAATTGTTCATATGTAGAACATGTTCTTGCGTATCGAATCAACTGAGATATATAAACCTCTTATGCAGGTGATGAAGGGATATTGCTGCATAAGTAAGGGAACTTGAAGATAGTAAAGTTAAGTAAAATATCCAATCATGAAACAGATGTGTCAGACTCTGTGGTATGTCTTATCTCAAGCTCACTAGGATACATCGTATTGACATAAGAATGGAAATTACCATTGTTAATTGACAGTACGTCGTCGATATATCTAAATGTCGAGTTGATGGCCACAGCAATGGTTTTCTTCTTTTCACGCATAAGATTTTGGACAAATTCTGCTTCATATGAATACAAATATAGGTCTGCTAATAACGGGGCGCAATTTGTATCCATGGGAATTCCATTAGATTGTTGGAAGACCTGGTCTCCAAATATACTTTTTTCATTATCTTAATTAGTATTAGAAGTTACAAATGGTATAGATAATGTACTGATCTATAATATCTTACACTTTATATTCGCAAAGAAACTAGAGTTTTAAAGGTAAAATGCATGAATTTGAATTTCTCCCAACGCTTTTGAAATTTTTTATTTTTACCATTGAACGGGTCAAACGCGTGACGCAGGGGATAGATCGTCTGTTCTAGAATATAGGGGGTTGATCCTTACGTCGCGGTTTCGAAGCCCACTGCGGAACGTGGAGACCGGTCCTTCGGGTGAGATCGCATAAACCGAGATCCCCTGTCCCAGTAAGTGCTGACACGACAAATCTCAACGGCTCTGAGTGCCGACTTTGTCTAACTTTGCAGCCCTCCACCGGCAAGTGCATGGTGGCGTCTCCAAAAGAGTGAAGTTAAATGACTAACAAACAAACAAAAAACCGATGAATTTACCTTTGTGTTTCTGTTGTAGGTTCAAAATGAGTCAGAGAGGAGGAAGAGTAAAACTTGGATTGCTCATCTTTATCTTTCTTGTTGGCTGTGTTGTTGTCGCCGTTGTGACGTGGCATTTCACTAAACGCTCGAACGAAAACAACACGTCTTCACACACAAGTCCACAGAAGTCAGTCACTGAAATGAATCTTGGTGAAACGACAATACAAAACAATTTGAAAATTGACATTAAACGTAAAACTCAAACTGTACTATCAGGACAATTGTGGGATGATAAGTTGCGTGTTAATTTTAAGGAATGGTCAAACACAAATGATTGGAAGAGAACTGCGACATGGTCACGTGATAGGAAGTTGGATGTCTCTTACAAAGAAGAGGGCGGGGTTCCTTGTTATCAGTTTCATTGGAAGGTAACGGTCGGCTTGGAGTCAGTTTTGTCAGACTGTTGGGACATAGGAGACGCACACTGGTATGGCGGGTTTGAAGATTACTATCAACCGTGGCCCCTGGAAAAAATGTCGCGAAATATGTCGGCTTACATTGTCGACGATTCATATCAAAAGAAACTGGGTGGCGTACAGGAGAGGTATTTTATTACCTCTAAAGGGGTTGGTATTTATATAGAGGAAGACGTGCCATTATATATCAGCATCAACGCCTCAAACGACAGGAAAGTTTGTTTACAAGCCAAGTACGAAAAATACCCTTACCAAAACTATAAGAAGCTCCTTCCTTCACTTAATTACCATATTTGTGTGTCAACTGATGTGAAATTAATTCATGATTTCATGTCAAGAACCTTCATAAAACTTCGACCAACAGATATTCCAGATAGCAGTATGTTCCGAAAGCCGATATGGTCGACATGGGCACAATATCATAAAGACATTAACCAGTCTTTAATCCTAGACTTTGCAAACAATATAATAAGAAATAATTTTACTCACTCTCAGCTAGAAATTGACGATGACTGGACGCCAAAATATGGAGACATTGACTTCAATGTTGCAAAGTTTCCGAATGCAAGAGCAATGATCAAGCAGTTAAATGACATGGGATTTCGTGTGACAGTCTGGCTTCATCCCTTCTTTAACCTCGATTCGAACGCGTTCACTGAAGCAGCATCAAGGTTCTTCCTGATTCGTCAGTTTGATTCCCCGCTACCTGGACTGGTTTCTTGGTGGGATGGTAAACTTGCTGGAATTATTGATGCAACAAATCCAGAGGCAGTTGAATGGTATCTAAATCAAACCAAGTTTCTCCAAAACACGTACAACATAAGCTCCTTCAAATTTGATGCTGGTGAGGTGAATTGGCTTCCAAAGGTTTATTCTGCAAACTTTGACATACCGAACGAATACAGCAAACACTGGGCAAATCTTGCGTATAAAGCCGATGAAACAGTTCGTCACCAAGAGGTGCGTGTTGGCTATAAAACGCAGGATTTGCCAATTTTTGTAAGAATGCTCGATAAAGACAGCAACTGGGATTATACCAATGGACTGAAAACTCTGATTCCTACGGCCCTGACCTTTGGCATTCTGGGATATCCATTTATACTTCCGGATATGATAGGAGGGAATGCATATTATACTCACCCAGAGAGAGAACTCTATATCCGCTGGATGCAGGCGAATGTGTTTCTGCCTTCGCTTCAGTTTTCCATAGTACCATGGCAATACGACGAGGAGGTGATAAATCTAACTCGCCGCTTTATTCAGCTTCACGAAGACTATACAGAAACCATCCTAAAACTTGCAAGGGAAGCCACGGCTACTGGAGCGCCTATCGTACGACCCTTATGGTGGATAGCACCAAAAGACGAAGTGGCTCTGACCATAGATTCGGAATTCCTTCTAGGAAACGACATTCTTGTGGCACCGGTTCTTGACAAAGGTGCATCGTCACGTGATGTGTACTTACCGGGGGGACAGTGGAATGATGTTCTTAGAGGGGGAGTCAAACAAGGAGGCTGGTATAGAAACTACAAGGCTGACCTTCATGAGCTTCCTTATTTCATACGGAATAATTAGGGAAACTATTGCTGTAAATAAAACGTTATTCTTGAGATACTAGTATTTACTATGCCTATGTTTTATTTCGGGCAAAGTATGCCTTGAAAAATATAAGGAGTGTATTATTTAAAAACCTCGTTTCATTGGTCTTTTAAATTCGCATCTACATTATATGCGAAAGATTTTACTTGAAATGATTAAATCTGTACATAGTCTTGGTATTCGTTCCATTACATTTAATGCGTGGTTTTACTCATTCCTTTGCCACTTGATAGCTCCAGTGTCAAGGTTTTTTTACTCATATAGAAACGTCACCATATACTAGTACCGATGAAAGGCTTCAATTTTAATCCTTTACTCGGCACTTAGGGTCATTGAGCAGTGCGAGTTCTTTACTGTGCCTACCTACTCCTACAAAGAAGAGCTTCGGTTAACGTCCCTACGCTCCTTATATACCGGAACCTCTAGCATGCTGGAGTACTTGCCTACCGTGACACGGGGGCTCGGTTTATAAGGTCTCATCTGAAGGACCCGTAGCTTTCACTCCAAGCCAAGCGCTTGTCGAAGGAACAGTTGCAATACCTATTTTTATCGCGGTGAAGCTAAATATTATCATAGAAGACAATGGACAAAACAGATCAGTAAATAACTTGTTTTATTTTCAATTAAAAATTTATTAATAAATAATCAATACATGTATACAATCAAGTCTCGAGATTTTAAAAGCAAACAAAACAAAAGAAAAAAAGCTACATGCAACATGCATTACGTTGATATTCGTGCAGAGTCAATTTAAAGGGCGCTTAGAACTGCCAGAATGTTTTTGGCCGTGTTTGTACTCATAGCTATTCTGGTTTCCGTGGTGTTAGTGCCCATATGAGGTAGAATCACACAGTTGGGTTGCGAGAGGAGAGGGTGACCCACAGGAAGTGGTTCTGGGTCAGTTACATCCAATCCGGCGGCGGCAATCGTTCCGTCCTTCAGTGCGTCTGCCAGATCGTCATGGTTGACAATGACCCCTCTAGATGTGTTTATAAGAATGGAGGAGTTTTTCATCTTTTGCATTAATTTAGTATCAACCATTCCTTTGGTCACCGCAGAGACGCCACAACAGATACAGAGTATGTCTGCGGAGCTGAAGAGAGAATCCAGAGACACGTAGTCAGCACAGTTCTCGGCGTATTCCACCTCCTCCAAGTCGTGGTAGATTATACGCTGCACTCCGAAAGGTTTCATTCTTCGTGCTATTCCGAACCCGACCCGTCCGAATCCAAGTATCCCGATGGTTTTGTTGATAAGACCCGTACCACACAACCAGAAAGGTTTCCAGCACTTGAACTCATTTTGACGGATGGCGTCAATACCTAAAATACATTTATGTAGAATTGTAGATCACGCATACAAATAATAAATACATGTAATATAAAATTGTCCTTCTGCATTTTCTTAAGAACTGAAGAGTCCCCATAAGAATTTGAGTTGAAGGAAAGAAGTTTGTATACGAGTATAAAACTCTATCTGACGAAATATATCACAGTTCTTACATTATATATTGCAAATTAATTTTTCCAGTGTTTGATTTGTATTCCTGACGATTGAGTATCGTCGAGTAACATTTTATTATTTTTTTTTTATGGATGCGTTAGGCCTACAAAACTTAAGGAGGCTGGGGGTCAACAAATTAACCATCAAATTTAAGTTCATTTTTCCGTTGTCTGTCGTCGTCGTCGTTGTCGTCGTCGTCGGCGTCGGCGTAAACTTTTCACATTTTCGACTTCTTCTCAAGAACCGCTGGGCCAATTTCAACCAAACTTGCCACAAAGCATCCTTGGGTGAAGGGGATTCAAGTTTGTTCAAATGAAGGGCCAAGCCCTCATTTAAGGGGAGATAATTGGGAATTAATGAAAATTTGGTGGTATGTTTTAAAAATCTTCTTCTCAAGAACCACTGAGCCAGGAAAGATGAAACTTATGGGTAAACATCCTCAGGTAGTGTAGATTCAAGTTTGTTCAAATCATGACCCCCGGGGGTAGGGTGGGGCCACAATGGCCGACCAAAGTTTTACATAGAAATATATAGGAAAATTCTTTAAAAATCTTCTTCTCAAGAATAACAAAGCCATAATTGATCATATTTATATGGAAGCATCCTCAGGTAGTGTAGATTCAAGTTTGTTCAAATCATGACCCCCGGGGGTAGGGCGGGGCCACAATGGCCGACCAAAGTTTTACATAGAAATATATAGGAAAATTCTTTAAAAATCTCTTCTCAAGAATAACAAAGCCTTAATTGATCATATTTATGTGGAAGTATCCTCAGGTAGTGTAGGTTCAAGTTTGTTCAAATCATGAGCCCTCGGGGTAGGGCGGGGCCACAATGGCCGACTAAAGTTTTACATAGAAATATATAGGAAAATTCTATAAAAATCTTCTTCTCAAGAATATCAAAGCCATAATTGATCATATTTATATGGAAGCATCCTCAGGTAGTATAGATTCAAGTTTGTTCAAATCATGACCCCCGTTGTAGGGCGGGGCCACAATGGCCGACCAAAGTTTTACATAGGAATATATAGGAAAATTCTTTAAAAATCATCTTCTCAAGAATAACAAACTTAAGCCATAATTGATCATATTTATATGGAAGCATCCTCAGGTAGTATAGATTTAAGTTTGTTCAAATCATGACCCCCGTTGTAGGGCGGGGCCACAATGGCCGACCAAAGTTTTATATAGGAATATATAGGAAAATTCTTTAAAAATCATCTTCTCAATAATAACAAAGCCATAATTGATCATATTTATATATGGAAGCATCCTCAGGTAGTATAGATTCAAGTTTGTTCAAATCATGACCCCCAGGGGTAGGGCGGGGCCACAATGGCCGGCCAAAGTTTTACATAGAAATATATAGGAAAATTCTTAAAAAATCATCTTCTCAAAAATAACAAAGCCATAATTGATCATATTTATACGGAAGCATCCTCAGGTAGTGTAGATTCAAGTTTGTTCAAACAATGACCCCCGGGGGTAGGGCGGGGCTACAATGGCCAACCAAAGTTTTACATAGAAATGTATAGGAAAATTCTTTAAAAATCATTTTCTCAAGAATAGCAAAACCATAACTGGTCAAAGGTTTACTTTTGGATTTAAACTTTTCAATAATAAACCAATTTCTACTTTTTTCCTAGCCAAGTGCTCAGGTGAGCGATGTGGCCCATGGGCCTCTTGTTATATATGCTGTCTTAAGCTGTCAAGTATCATTTGGCAAAAATTTTTCATTTTTTTAGTTTTAAAATTTCCTCATTTTTGTATATCTTCATATGGAGCTCTTCTTCTAAAGGAGATCAATATAGTTTAAAAATGACCACAACCCCCTAGCTCCTTTAATAATTTTGACCTACCTTGAACAATTTTTCGTGATGTCATCAATATCAGTGCCACCGCAATGTCCGCGGCGGCGTCTGCTGCGATGTCCGGTGTCTTGCAGACCTCAATCCCACGGCGACAACACTCCGAGACGTCTATGTTATCTGTGCCGGCGGACATCGTGGCTACCACCTTAAGACAAGGTCCTGCAAAATATTTTTTATTCAATAAACAAAATGCAGTTTCTGTTAAAGAGAGACAAATCTGCCAAGCTTATTATAAAACAGAACTCGCTTACCTGCCGCTTCCAGAACGTCGGAGTCGATCGTATCGCTAACTGTGCAGAACAAGGCTGATGCGCCCTTCACGTCTTTTAAAAGTGTTTCTCTTGGAATGGGCTCTTCGCTGTCCCATACATCTACAGCACATTTTCCCTCTAAAAGTGACAACGCCTCCTGTCCCACTTGCCGGGTAATGTATACTCGGTGTTCAGGCATCCTCTTCTTTCATTAAATTTCTGAGGCGCAATAGCTTTTCAAGGGACGTAACTCCCGACTGTTGTTTCATGAATAAAGTCGAAATAATTTATTTCATGAATAAAATCGATGTTTTTATTATGATTAAAAAACATAATGCTCATATACCCACGCGGGAAAGAGAGAGGGGGAGGAGAGAGAGAGAGAGAGAGAAGCACAATATCCAGAATCCCTTTGAACCACAACAGCTGCATACATTGTATTTTCATTTAGATTCTATATCAAGACAATTATTCGAATGTTGGATCAGACATATTTTAAACAATACATGTACTGGTTAGATCACTGAAAAGCTGTCACGACCTTTTTATATACGATTACTATCAGACTGGGATTAGTTTATTTATATTTATATCAACAAACAACTCTTTGCCTGGTAGAATTCAAATAAATCTTGCTCTTGAAAGTTTCTATGTTTTTTTTTTGTTTTTTTTTTTATAAATGCATAGTTAAATGTTATGTTTGACAGCAAAAAGTTTGAAAGAGAGCACGAAATCATAGAGACTTGAGCAAGTCTAAATTCAAGTACATGTATTCTAATTAGTGTTTACTACATATTGCACGACGTATATTAATTAAGAATCATGGGTTGAATTTAATTGAAATATGTTAATAACCATTAGTAATTGAGCTCAAAAGACCACTGGAACAATACATATTGGAATCAAGCAAACAACATCAGAATTATCATGTTGTAGCAAATTAAACGGAAAATCAGCAATCAATTTAGTGTGTAAACAAGCTAATTCAGAGAATTCGTGTCCCCCGCTTAGGGAAAAAGTCGGATCCCCCTGACTGAATTTGTAGAGTTATTAAATGTATACATGTATACTGAAGCAAATAAAATACATGTATGTCAATATGCATATAAAGATTTGATTGCTTATTCTTTATTATGTGTATAGAAGATTCTATTTATCACACTGTGATGATGATTTTATAACCTCATAAATTTTTCATTTCACATGCTGAATACTATCATTTAATAAAAAAAGTATTTTAAAAAAAAAAAAAAAGAAAAAAAAAAAGACAGGTTCGACCGAGATTCGATCCTGGGACCTCCCGCATGTGCAGCGAGTGATATAACCACTAAACCACGGAATCGCTTTAACCGGTATTAAGTATATGCAGAACTAAAGTCACATACATGTGTATATTCATGTTCGGTATTCTCAAAATTTTACACAATCCATGGTGTTTGATTTATTTAGCCATTATTAAACAGTTCTAATAGATGTAATAAGAACATAAAGTCCGCCGAGAACCTGTTTTATACGCAATAACTCTCCTCATGCCCCTGCGCTAAAAATAGCGACATGTAATACTATAAATACTAATAAAACAAACGGGGCGGGGCACTTTGAGAGGGGCGAGAGACGTTCTAGGGAGTTTTGGTATAAAATTACATTGCATAAGCTCAAAATCTTCTTGAAATATCGCCCGGAAATGATAGTGTTACACACAGACAGAATGTATAAATTTAAGACCTTGAACTTTGACCTTTTGACCTCAAAATCAATAGGGGTCTTCATTAGGCCACAGGGAGTTGTTATGTAAAATTTCATTGCAATAGCTCAAATGGTTCTAGACATATCGTGTGGAAACGAAAGTGTTTTAACAAACAGAATTTGCTTATTTATGACCTTGACCTTTGACCTTTTGACCTCAAAATCAATAGGGGTCTTCTTTAGTCCATAGGGAGTTGCTATGCTAAATTTCATTGCAAAAGCTCAAAGGGTTCTCGAGATATCGTGTGGAAACGAAAGCGTTACAGACAGACAGAAAGACGGACGGACGGACAAACCCAAATTAATATCCCCCACTTTTCAAGCGGGGGACAATAATGCCGTAACAGTGAGTATGAAAACGTCAATCAGCATTTCACTTAATGATGAATTGCGTTTGTTGACAAGGTCGTTGTATCGACCACTGAACTTACGAAAGTCTGACTATGATTAACGATATTGTTGATCTCTTTGTTTCATCAACTTGTTTGTCAATAGTTTTTCCTCAGTTTTGGAAACTGTTCTACGCGTTTTCTTGCCAACACACAAACTCTATATGATAAGATTTATTGTTACATAAATACTATGTACATAAATACTAGTAAGGGGAAGTTAAAGCCATTGCGATTACAGTAAAGTTTTGTTTTTAGCTTACAATTTACGTCTTTTTAAAAAGTAAAATACTAGTATCCAGCTATGAAATAGATGTGTCAAACTCTTTGGTATCTTTCAGTTCAAAATTACTTAGACATATATTGAGACATATATTGAGAAGACATATCAATGGAAGTAACTATAATTGTTACTTGATACTGAAATACTCGTACATCGCCGATATGCTTGTACCTAAATGTCTAGTTGAAGGCCACGGCAGTTTCTTCACAGGTATAATTTTTCATACAAATGACAGATTGTTTGAAAACCTAATATGCAAAACCTATAGATAAGATAAGATTTATTAATACCAATTTGGGGCCCATCAGGGCATACAAGAAAAGAGAAAAACATACAAGAAGAAATTCAAATTTGATAGTAGCAACTAACAAAAGATTAATGATGATACAGCAGTTGGGGATTACAACATACATGTATATAATCGACATTCTGTACATATAAGGCTTTTTAGGTCACCTGAGTAACTCAGGTGACCTATTGCTATCCGTTTTCGTCCGTCGTCGTCCGTCGTGCGTCGTGTGTCGTGTGTTAACATTTGAACATTTTCAGCTTCTTCTCTAAAACCACTGAACCAATTTCAACCAAATCTGGTATACAGCATCTATGGGTGAAGGGGAACAAAAATTGTGAATTTCATGGTCCCCGCCCCCCTGGGGCCTGAGGGGTGGGGCCAAAACCACTAAAATTAATGAAATCTTTAAAAATCTTCTTCTTTACTCCTGGACATCAAGCAGGCAAACTGTTGGCATGAATGTAATGAGCATTGTGTCCTCTACCAAAATTGTGAAATTCATGGCCCCAGGGTCAGGGGTTCTAGTGCTAGGGCGGGGCTCTATAGATTATATAGTGAAAATGCATTATTTCTTTGAAAATCTTCTTCTCTGCTCCTAGGTATTAAATAAACTAAATAAGCACATAGTTATGATAAGCAAGAGTGCCTCTTCCAGATTTGTGAATTTTATAGCCCCAGGGTCAGGGGTTCTGGTGTTAGGGCGGGGCTCTATAGATTATATAGTGAAAATGCATTATTTCTTTGAAAATCTTTTTCTCTGCTCCTGGGTATTAAATAAACTAACTTAGCACATAGTTATGATGAGCAAGAGTGCCTCTTCCAGATTTGTGAAATTCATGGCCCCTGGGTCAGGGTTTCTAGCGCTAGGGCGGGGCTCTGTAGATTATATAGTGAAAATGCATTATTTCTTTGAAAATCTTCTTCTCTGCTCCTGGGTATTAAATAAACTAACTAAGCACATAGTTATGATGAGCAAGAGTGCCTCTTCCAGATTTGTGAATTTAATGGCCCCAGGGTCAGGGGTTCTAGTGCTAGGGCGGGGCTCTATAGATTATATAGTGAAAATGCATTATATTTTTGAAAATCTTCTTCTCTGCTCCTGGGTATTAAATAAACTAACTAAGCACATAGTTATGATAAGCAAGAGTGCCTCTTCCAGATTTGTGAATTTTATGGCCCCAGGGTCAGGGGTTCTGGTGTTAGGACGGGGCTCTATAGATTATATAGTGAAAATGCATTATTTCTTTGAAAATCTTCTTCTCTGCTCCTGGGTATTAAATAAACTAACTAAGCACATAGTTATGATGAGCAAGAGTGCCTCTTCCAGATTTGTGAATTTTATGGCCCCAGGGTCAGGGTTCTGGTCGTAGGGCAGGGCTCTTTTGATTATATAGTGAAAATGCATTTATTCTCTGAAAATCTTCTTCTCTGCTTCTGGGTATTAAATAAACTAACTAAGCACATAGTTATGATGAGCAAGAGTGTCTCTTCCAGATTTGTGAATTTTATGAAGGGTCAGGGGTTCTGGTGTTAGGACTGGGCTCTATAGATTATATAGTGAAAATGCATTATTTCTTTGAAAATCTTCTTCTCTGCTCCTGGGTATTAAATAAACTAACTAAGCACATAGTTATGATGAGCAAGAGTGCTTCTTCCAGATTTGTGAAATTCATGGCCCCAGGGTCAGGGGTTCTAGTGCTAGGGCGGGGCTCTGTAGATTATATAGTGAAAATGCATTATTTCTTTGAAAATCTTCTTCTCTGCTCCTGGGTATTAAATAAACTAACTAAGCACATAGTTATGATAAACAAGAGTGCCTCTTCCAGATTTGTGAATTTTATGGTCCCAGGGTCAGGGGTTCTGGTGTTAGGGCGAGGCTCTATTGATTATATAGTAAAAATACATTAATTCTTTGAAAATATTTTTCTTTGCTTCTGGGTTTTATGCCAATGATCTAAGTATATATATATTTATGATGAAGAAAGGTGCATCTAGCAAATTTAAGGTGCTTTTTTATGCCCCCAGGGTCAAAGGGGGGGGGGGGTTACATAGTCTGAAAATAAATTAATGCTTTGATTACATTTGCAAAATTTTGAAATATGTGGCCCAGGCCATGGGTCAGTGGGTGAGGTACACAACTGGTTATAAAGTGGAAGTGCATTTTCTCTTTGTTACTCTGATCTATCTCTGGGTATTAAGTAAATAGAGTAAGCATGCTAAGTTAATAATTATGATAAGCAATGGTGCCTCTTTCAAAATTGTAAATTGTGAATTTCATGGCCTCCGGTTTAAAATATGAACCAAATATAATTGTTTGAAAGTTGTTGCACAATACTCAGGTGACCTATAAGGCCCATGGGCCTCTTGTTTTTTACTAGAGTATAAACATTATTACTCTTTTGTATTTATTTGTTTCTTTTTTTTAACATTGCATAATTCGCTATTTCTTATTTTAAAGATATTGATTAAAAAATTACCCAGCTTGATAAGCAACATGTCATTTTCGTTAGACATAATCCATTTTTTCTTTATTTGTTAAAGAATAGAAATTTTTATTA